TAGTTTTGAAACACCTAATAAATTGAAGCTTTTTGTTTTTTTTTTTGTTTTTGTTAATAAAGTATTAAATTGAATTTATTGAATAAAAATAATTGATTTTAGTTATTTATTTGATGAATTGTAAAATTATATTAAGGTTTTGAAATTGATTTAAAGTTATAATTTGGAGAAGTAAGTGTAATATTGAATGGGAATAAAAAGTTGATTTTCTCTATACTTTTATTTTTCTGAAATGCTTGTCTTAATTAAGGTTTTGTGATTCTCTCTTTCAATTTTGGTTTTTGTGTAAATTTACGTTTTACATATAATTATTTGTTAGTGATCATAATTAATCAACTTGATCCTTAATAACTTCCAAATGATCATTTAATTTCTTTGCTAGACACTAGTTACCATTACACTAATCCAAATGATACAGTGATGTAAAAAGTTTTGGGGGTATTTGGTGTAAAATGTTAAGTATTTTTGATTCTGAGCAAAATGGTTCAACAAATTTGAGCAAGCAATGGTTCCATCCTTGGAGTTTTGGAATACCATATAAAAAACATTGATATTCATTCTGATGGATAATCAATTATTAGTTTTGATCTATGATGGTGTTGCTTCTTATGCAAGATTAAAGTACTTTAGTTAACATTCTGCGCACTACCAATTTACCTTCAATGTTACCATATATTTCCATACTTTGACACTTGAGCTAATGAAATACCAACAAATTTCGTTAATTGATGTAAAAAGCACAAGTAGTGTTAACATCACCGTAGCCTGGTGTTCCATAAAAAGGTTTAGTGCAACATCAAAGCTGTTTGAGACACACTTCCAAATACTTAAAAATTAAACCTTTCTTTCCTTCACTTCTGAGTAATGATAAAATTTAGTCTTCATATATGAATTAACTAATTAGATGAATATCAGCAAAACTTCAAAAACAGAAAGTAGTAACTTCTCAATTGAACAAAACCAAACGAAAAACAAATAAGAAAACTGAAACTGAAACTAAAACAAAAGCAAAAGCAAAATTCCAACAAAACCAAGTTGAGTATAGAATTATCTAGATTTCAGCCATATCGATCAATTTTTTAATCAAATGCTAATTTGAATCTAATCTGGAATTCTAACACGATACGAGAACTTCACCTATCCAGTTTAATCTTTAATCTTGCATGTGTAAATAATTTGAAGATTCTATTATTAATCAACATTGAATAGTTTGGCTGAAGGTAACTTCACAATCTTGTGCACTCCCAATGATACGACACAGACGCATTGAACGGATGATTTACCAATAAACTTCATTAATATAGTGAGCTCAACTTAAGATAAGCATTCTCTCCCTTTGATGAAGTTAGACCATATTTTAATCTCCTTAAGTCACACTTGTCGCAACTTAAAAATATAAATTTAATTCTAGTCTCAAGCCAGCATTAACTCACTCTCATTAATGAACGTAATAAAATAATATGTTGAGACTCTACCTTTAATTTAAGTCACCATCTCCAAATGATTGATAACATACATGAAACAAGAATTCAAAACCAGGAAAAATTATTATTTTAATTTTTTTCATAAAAATACCCTTATCCTTCCTATTACAAATATCATTAATTCTCAATCATTGGTGAATCGATTAAATAAATTCGACTGTTGTCCAGAGTCTGAATTGCATTAATTTTTCAGGTATTGTTTAGCATTTTAAAATAATTTGAGCTTAAAACAAATAATTAGTTTGTTTGTATAAATTCAATTGTTGTAGCATACATACTTCATAACTTATGAAAAGTCTTCTAGTGATGATATAAGTCAATTTCTCAAAAACTTTGCTCAAAACATGATTTGTTTGGTTATTATCATTCCTTATCAATCAATTTAAAATTGATGGAATTTTAAATAATTTGCCGTTCGATCCATACTCGAGATACGCCGATATTGCTTATTGTTAAGATTTTGTAGATTTGACGATACAAAAATCTTGTGATGCATTCATACTTCCTTTGATGTGAGTTTTAAAAAGAAGAAAACCCTTTTGTTTTGATGGTCTTTGACGTTTGTTAGCATTGTTGTCCGCTTCAAATATGTATTTTGTACAAGTTTATTGAATGAAATACTAGCTCTGAGCTGAATTGAGGTTTATCGATAACCCACATTCAATACATTAATGCATGAATTCTTATTAAAACTTTGACTATAATGACCGTAGTTATCTTTTCATTAAATTTATCAACAACACTTATTTGTGTTGATGATGATTTATTCTTACTTTCTTTGTATGTCTGGGCTTTTTAAATTGAGACACAACATTTGCGTCACGCACTTTTTATTTAATAACCAATAATATGAGAAATTTTAATTAAAAAATTATAACTTTTGAAACATCTTGTTTGATATCCATTTTTTAACTCAGCACAACTTAATAATCACAATTAAAGCTTATGTTGTTAATCAGAAACAATGAGAAAATAGAATTATGAAGTTTTAAAAATAATGCGGACCAAAATTGGTTCATTTATCTTAAAATTTTGAAAAAATTTGCAGCAAAATTCTAATACACTGATTTTCGCAGCAATCTTCAAAAATATGGAAGAAACTAATAAAGTTTATATTGAAGCGCGAGATTATAGTATAATCAGACCATAGATTGCAAGTAAACTTCTTTCAAGATCATATCTTCCAAACTGATGACGTTATGAACTAAGTCAGCTCAATGATCTTGCTTGTAAATACCAACAAAAAATTGAAAATCGAGTGCAGAGGAAGCGAAAAATAATGTAAGAGAAAATCAAATAAATAAAAAAACATCTCAAGTTGTATCCAGCTATTCTTTAAACCTCGTACGTGCTTTGGCCATATTCACATATACATAAGCTTCATGTCCTTTAGGCCCAATTGACCATTGACAGCTTTGTTTAAATTATACCACGTACATTCATGAGGATTTGTTTCAGGTGTAAATGAGTGTTCTTGTAAATGTGAATAAAACAACAATATAAAAAACAGTAACGAAACCCCAGAAACAAATAAGTGATTTTTTTAACAAAACAAAAGTTGTCAAAAGGACTTGTAAAACACTAGCCGAAGACTTTCTAAATATTATTAGTATTAGGTAAAACTTTATATTTTACTTTTATTATTGTTAAATGGTTTAGTAAGTTTTGAATTTCTTGGGTACGACCTGGAATAAAAAATGATGAAGTTTACGTCGTGCGTAGTACTACCAGATGTGGTATTTTAGCGAAATCAAATTCTGAATATTTTCATCAAAATAAGAAGAAAGTTGGGTTAGCCATTAAACAAATCAATAGACGATTCAGACTGTCCATCTACAACCAAGATTTGAATAGAAATAACTATGTGAGTTAGCTCAAACCCCCTAATTCCTTTTGTTTCATCACATTTTATATAGTATCTCAACCACACTTACTTATTTTTAAATCGTATTCTATTGGTGATGAAAACATCATTTAGTAAAGACCTAGACTTCACTTACTATTTCAATAATTGAAAAGATCAGGATATATATGACGTCTTGGTTGAGCATTTTGTTTCAAAGTTAGACTTGTTGAAATTTTATGATCATGCTTATTGTTCAATACTGGAATCGTCTTCCACATTTCATTTTGGAAATTTACATCCTACAATTTGTTCAATGTGCTTTGTACTTGACAGTTCATTGTTAGAAGACGACAATCTGGTGTTATGATGTTTTCATTGACTCTGTGTGTCTTGATAGTTAGCTTAATTGCGAAAGGGTTTTCTTGTTAAAACATATTTCGAAGAACAACAACAGAGGATAGTATTATTTGTGGAATCACCTATGAAGGAATTCGACAAAGATTTAAAGAATCTTCTTCTTTCTTCTTTACAAGTTCAACTGAATTTATTAAATTAAGCTCAAACTTGAAACTCTGAATAATATATTCGTTTACTTATTCGCTCTCACCCAATCTTGTTCGAAATTTACAATGTCAATATTTGAAGTAAAAAAAATTCTATTAATATTTACAAACACCTTGACCTTATCCTATTGTCAGTTCGTTGTAATGATATTTCATGTACCAATAAAGAATACCAATAATAAGATAATAAATGCAATCATATTATGATAAATTACTATGCTCCAAAAACCATATGGAATGAATCAATAGCGACACATAATCACACGCATCAAGAGAATGTATCAAGTAATCAAGCCATTTCTGTATCATCAGCCGGTATTCGAGCTTTAATATATCAATTTCAGGCATTTTACTTAAGAACTCCAGTAAAATTATTTCGACCTTCAAGATTCGACTATATGGCATACGTTAGGGCTTATGCAAACAAGTTAGACAATATAGATAAAAAGCCATACAAATTTAGAACTCATTCCTCCATAGCAATGTTATATAATGTGGTACGAAAGGAGGGCCTCAAATTTATACCTGATCAAATTCTTCCACCCTTGATTTTTAATTCCGCCACTGGTATCATACTTTACGGTGTATATTTAACGAGTTTAGATCATTACCAGAAAAAACGAGGGAAAGGAAGAGGTGAATTTAATTGGTACTCTCCCATAGATACATGGAGAGCAGGTTTTACAGCAGGCGCTGCCCAATCTTTAGCAGCTGCTGCTGTAGATGGCATTTACAATCGACTGACAATATCTGAAATTTTAGATGGAACTCATCAAAACTTATGGCAATTTGGTATAAACAAACTAAAACAAATTGGATTTGTTGGAGTATTTGCAGGATATGGATTTTCGTTTATAAAAGAAAGTTTCGGATTTGCATTTTATTTTTCAACTTTTGAAACTGTCAAAACTCAAGGTTATAATATTACTTATAAAATTTTAAAGTTTTATAGACTACAAGAAGATAAAATCAAAAGTCATTTACAAAAAGTTTTTCACTGGAATGAGGAACAAACTGATGCCAAATTGGAGAAGTTAGAAAGATATAGGTCTGATAGAATTTTGAAAACGACATTTGTTTTGATAGCTGGAGCTTCAGCAGCATTTGCATTGTTAGCTATTCAATATCCAATCACTAAAATACAAAAAATACATTTATCAAGACTAGAAGCTTTAGATGTATATAATGCATCAAATAGGCAACACAAACCTTTTTTTAAATTATATTACAATTCATATATCGACACAATTAATCAAGTCATACGAATGAAAAAAAGAGCAAAAGTAACTTGGTTTAAAGCTGCATATAGTGGTTTTGTACGAAATGCTTTGTCAACTATCCCAGCTACGTCCATAGCTCTATTGGTTTTTGAAATTACAAGAACAAGACTTGCTGATAATTTTGAAGAATATGAATCATTAGATCCATAAGACTTGTACATAAAGAATATAGACTTTTTCATTTCCCAATTCTTTTTAAATAAGCATTCCAACCAGCTTCTTTATATCTTTTCCCTTGTTCTACGGGGTCTCTTCCTTTTCCAAATAATCCTCTTCCAACAATTATGATATCAGTACCATTAGCTACAACTTCATCAACAGTACGATATTGTTGTCCCAAATTATCTCCCTTATCATCTAATCCTACACCTGGAGTCATTATAACCCAATCAAACCCTTCATCCTCTCCTTTCATATGATTCTGCGCTATAAATCCCATTACAAATTCTTTGTCAGATTTAGCTATCTCCACTGTTTTTTGTGAATATTCTCCATAAGCTAAGGAACCCTTTGATGAAAGCTCAGCTAACATAAGTAAACCTCTAGGTTTATTTGTTGTTTCATTTGCTCCACTTTTTAAGCCTTGAACAACACCAGCACCAGTTACACCATGCGCATTTGTAATGTCTGCCCAAAGAGCTATTTTATATACCCCACCTACGTATTGATTTTTTACCGTATTGCCAATATCAGCAAATTTTCTATCCTCAAAAATCATGAAATTATGCTGTTTGGACAACTCAACCAACGGTATCACAGTTCCCTCATATGTAAAATCATCTATTATATCTATATGAGTCTTGACTAAACATATATATGGACCTAATTTTTCAATTAATTCTAGTAATTCTTTGGTGGTTCTAACATCTATTGAAGCACATAAATTTGATTGTTTTTGTTCAATAATTTGAAACAATTTTTTAGTAACGGCACATTGGCTCGCTCTAGATCTTTCACCATAAGATTTTGTATAGCTCATCGTGTTTGAAATATTGAATTTAAATTTAAATCGTCACCGGGAGATAGTTGATATCCATCATGGTTGACCTCGAATATTTTTTTTCATTACTTAAAAACACAAAAATCATTTGTAGTAAGTATGTTTGAAATGAAGCGAAAATAAAGAGATGAAATACTAGTTTAAGCTAACTGACCGGCTTGTAATTATTTTACAGGTTCAATACAAATCTATTAATTAGCGTCCTTCTTCTCACTATCTTTAAAATTGGAATTGGTATTTTTAGAATGTTCAGGTTCTTTCAAATTTTTTTCAGGCTTAAGCTCTTTACTTAAAAGCGGGAAAAGTTCATCAATCTTCTTCCAAGTTTTTGTATAAAATTCATCATTTTTCTCAACAAGTATTCCATTAGTTTCCAATACAAGCAATAGATTCTTGATACTTTCTGCATTTGATTCAAATTGTTCAGCTTTTAAAAAGTTACCATTATTCTCTTTAAAATTTTCAAAATTCTTTAAAATTTCAAACCAAATTTCTTTAATAGTTTCACTATCCAATTTATCTAAATTTTTCAATAACACTTTACACATAACTGAAAATACTTCATTCTGAGTTGCATCAAATCCGTTAGAACCCTTTTGAAAAACTTCAGGTTTTGATAACTCCTTGAATAATGGAAACAAACTAGCAGTATATAAACCATTCAAAAACTTGCTTTGATCAAATTCAATTGAAAGAGTTGAAGATCTTAATGCTTTAATTGCAAACTCTCTTATCTCTCTACATGGATTAAAACATTGGTGACCAAGAGCTTGAATTGCATAAATTGTTAAGTCCTTTTCTTTGTACTCTTCTTTCTCCTTTGATTTTTGCGTTAATATAGTTGTTAATTCAATGGACTTTTTGGATAATGATATGACATCTCTGTAATAAACACTGTCAATTTTCTTACTATTACCTAAATTTTGATTTTCTTGTTCAAACTGTGATCCAATTGCACCCAATGATGATATTTCATCCAACAATGCTAATATATAGACAAAATTGGTTGGGCTTATTTCATCTTTAGCATTAACAATAAATCCTTCAAGAAATGGAACTATATCAAATGCATACACTTGTAAAGAACCTAAAAATCTTAATGTGTTCCAATATTCTTCTTCAGACAATAATTTCTTACAACTCCATGCGTCATCATCTAATAGTGAGAGCAATGGTTGCACAATTTGTCCGCCTTGTTTACCTATAAGCTCCTTTTCAAACGAAGTGATTGACTTTATTGTTTCTATCAATTCAGAATAATCTTCACAATATCTTAAAATTAATAATTTATATGCCGTTAATCTTACTTGATTCTTTTCGCTAATGTTTTTGGGGTTCAAAAATGGCAAAACATGTAACATTATACTTTGTTCATTCAATAATAAACAAAAACAAACACAAGCCTCCAAAATAAATAATGTTTCAGTTTCATAAAATCTTTTCGTTTTATCATCATATTTTGGTAAACCCATAAGTAACATTTTTATGAATTTATCTAAATTCCTCGATTCACTTTTGGAAACAGTTACAAATACATTCGCTATATTCAATGATTTAATACAATCCATTGATGATAATGTCGCTTCAATTTCAGCATCTGATGGTTCTGGTGGATCCTCAGAATAACCTTTCAAAAACGATGAGAAGGTGGATAATAATCCAGAATTATTTAAAGATTTTGTATTTTTAATGACAAATATTGGTGGAACTTTATTTAATTGACCAAGTTGAACTTTTTTCTGAAATTCAATAAAAATATTTGGATCGACTAAACAATTTTCAAATAAGTGTAATATTACTTCAACGACTTTATTCCAAGATTTGGTTATTTTGCATTTACTTTTCCTTAGTAATCTAAACAACATGACTGCAGCTAATTGAGCTTTAAAATTTCTTCCGAACCACACAGCTAAATCACTTACATAAACATCATCTTCTTTATTTTCCACTTTGATTTGAGTAATAGGGATTTCATCTCTAATATTATCATCAGTTTGTACTTTTTTGATAGGGGATTTGGATAATGTACTAAATTTGATAAGTTTGTTAATCACATCATCAACAGAACTATCTAAATCATATTTTAAACAAATGTTAACGACTTTATCGATAGATGACATCAATCTGGTAACAACATGATCATCAGACGCATGGTTGTAAACATTCATGATAGTACTAATAACTTTTTCAACAACTGACTCAAAAAAGAATTTATCAAATTCATAAAATTCAACTAAATCATCATCTTCAACAACATTTGTTTGTTTGAAATCTTGGGTCGATATAAGATTGTGCCAAACATCATCAAACCATTTATCTGTTCCATGGTGCTCTTCCGGCATTATAATTTCACGATCTTTAATTGATGAATATATTTTTGAAAGATACCATTCTGGAAAATCCTTACCATTATTAACTCCTCTAAGATTTCTTTTATAATCTTCTAAAAGCATTTGTCTTTTAACTTGAGGATTATGTAAGTCTGTATTTAACATGATGATTGAGTACGATAAAATAAATACGGAATCTTTATCTGGTTTAACTGGTTCTAATTCAACATCAACCGTATCAGATCCTTTTTTAGGACTACTACCACTAAGTCTTCTATTCTCGTTACTTTTTTCTTGACATGAAACATAAACTTCTGCAAATTTTTCGACTATTCGTTCAATTTGTTGAGACTCTCCTGGTAATCTAAATGCTTTTAATAATACTCTTAAAGCTTCATCAACTCTTAAATTTTCAAATTCAAATAAATTTATAAATTTCTCTAAAAGATCAGCATTTTTGGGTTTAGCTAAATATTCACCCAACATTTTTTTATTTAATCTACCTGCTTTTGAAAAAAAGAAATTTGCTAAATCATCAATATTATCATCCAGTATGAATTTCTCTTTGGCTAATAATCTAATCCCCTCATTAGGATCCTTATTTAATAATTCTGTACATTTAATAAATGCAGTTTTCTTCATTTTTCTTTGAATATATTTATTCTTTTTAGCTCTTTTATTGTCATAATTTAAATTTTTTGCCCTTTCATTAACTCCAACTACAAATGATAAAACTCCTTCCAAACATAATGGGGGAACATTATGAGTAGTAAGTTTAGCAGATTCTGGTAATGATAATTTACATAAGAATGAAATTATATTTTCTGCTAAATCTGACTTGTCAAAATTACAATCATAATCGATATAAAGTTGAGTGAAAAATGATGGAGATCTAGTCCACAATAAACTTAATGATTCAAGTAAAAGTTCTTTCACAATTGGTGATTTGTTTATATTGTTATTTTTTGGTTTTGTCATTTGATCTCTTTTTATCTTTTTAACTTCTGGTGTTAGGGTTTGAATAATTAATGAAACAGATAATTCAAATTGAGGTTTAAGTTGATCTCCTAAAATTATTGAAATGGTTGAAAACAATTGTAAAGCAGCTCTTAAAAGTGTTACGGATTCAGTAGTTGTAATTATTTGCAAAATATGTTTTGATACTGGGTCTGCAATCATTGTTAAAAGTGATGAATGCTTAGGTATTTCTGAACCAGCAACTTCAACAGCTGTATTTATAAGAGATAATGCAAAAACTCTTGTGCTCTCCATATGTTGATATTGATTTGAAGGAGATATTATAGAAACAAGTATTCCCAAGAATTCATTTATGCAAATTATTCCAAATTCTTCATCAACTTGTTCAAACAGATTCCTTGAAGAAGAATTATCAGAAACTAAATTTTCTGTTGAAACATTTTTATCATTAATTTCTATTGCAGCAGTTCCTCCAATTATATCCTCTGGTAATTTTGTGTTTGAAAAATTTGTTCTTAAATCATCAGCTGTTTCCTTATCTAAATCAATTTCTCGTAGTCTGGTAAAGATCTCCATAGTTATTGACATCATTGTCATTTCAGCTGCTCTTCGTAGTACTTCACTTCTCTTTTTATTACATGCTAATGATAAACAAGTTTGTACTATTTCTGATACACTCTCATTTGAAAATAAACTTGAAAGTTGACTTTCCATAAGTTTTTCCATCAACCTCAAAACTTTGAGTAATACAGCATCATCTGAATTTTGATCGGCAGCTTCAAATCGACAATGAGTTAATGCAGAAACTATTTGAATTAATGAATGTTGAAGATTTTTGGAATTAATTGATATAATATCATAAGTCAAAAATTTTGAAACTGCATTTAATGATAATCCTGTAACATATCCTGATGTGGTAGATGATTTAATAACCAACAAAAAAGGTTGTAGTAAAGTTAAACTATCAATATCATATATATTTTTGGAATCAGTAAGAATTGTTCTTAATTGTAAAAATGATGATAATAAAGGATTACCTTGAATTGGTCTATTATTGTTACTTGAACCATTTGAATCAAAACTTTTATCAGACAAAATATTATGATTATTTAATATTGAAGATATTCCTAAACTATTGGAAAAACCATCTCCATCATCATTTCCTCCAAAAAGTTCACTTGCATTCAAAAGACTTGCAACTCCACCTTGTGACCATTTATTTGACCTCCTCATGGCTGATACCATTATCATACATTCGTTAATGACTAAAGTAATAGGATCAACACTAACAATTCTTCCATTACGCACACCATGATTATTAGATAGTATTCCGTTAATCTTATGTGACATTTGAATCGTTGATTTCTGTTTTGATGTAAATGTTGAGTCAAAAGGTTGAAATTTGATGATGATGTAAATGATACTTTAAAATAATCTCTTCGAAAACAATTCTCCACACTAACTTTTTATCAAACTTCTAAATATTTATGAATTATTAGTTGATTCAATATAGTAGTAATGTGTTAACAAGTACCAATTGTAATTACCAATTCGAATACTCCAATTAGGTAAATATGATTCTAGTTAGATTGGTTAGATTGGTTAGATTGGTTATGTAAGCTTGAATTTATATAATATTTGATTATAAGATTGTTAAAGATCAGAATAAATTTACTTAGAATTTCGTTGTATCAAGAAGTGATAAATCTGTCAAATTTAAAATTGTATTACTAGTAAGTAGCTACCACATTAGCCTCATATTTATTCATTGAACAACATATAAAACCAAACTGTTATAAGTCTTAGAGCAATAGAAGTATACAAGAATTAAGTGTTTTGTCTCCAAACTATTTTAATCAAGTCAACTTAGATATTTTTGGATAAGTTCTTGTAAAGAATACGTTGCATTGGAAAAAAAACTATAACAGTACATAGAATTTCGACTTTAATATGCTCTCAGAACCATCATGATCTCTGAGATTAACTGGATAATCATGATTCATCAATGTGTAACCCATGAATATATTCTGACGTTTTCATCAGAACCATTGTTTCGTATAAGTAGACCTATCTATTCTTTTTGTTTAATGTACTTAATAACTTAGTTTAATCTATTAGATAAATCTGTCTGAAAAATTTAAAAATTAACATGATGTAATAATTAAAGTGAATTTTAACCAAAAGCATTATTCAAATTGATTTAAACAAGAATAAAGACACTAGAGATCAACAGAATTGGCTACTTAAAATGGCTTCAGTTGCACCAAATAGAAACAATTCAATACCAACTACATTATCAAATAAACCAAATAATAGATCATTAAGGAAAAAAGTATCAAATACCTCATCATTATCATCATCATCATCATCATTATCAAGTAGCTCAAAATATTCAAAAAAACAATTTCAACAAGGACAACAAAAAACTAAACTTATAATACGATTATTACCACCATCATTAACTCAAGATAAATTTTTAAATCAATTAGCAAATATATATCCATATCATGCAACTAAAATTTTAAAATTTTATTATATAAAAGGTTCATATCCAAAAAATTCTTTTGAAATTCCTTATTATAGCAGAGCTTATTTAGAATTTAATAATTTAAATGATTTAGAAGAATTTATAAAATTTTGTTTAAATAAATCATTTGAAGATGAAAAAGATTGTTTAATTCCAATAATTGAAAAATGTATATATAATAAAATGATTGATGAAAGGAAAAATTATGAACAACACAATAGTAATAAACAGAATCAAACAATTAACAATAACAATAACAACAAAGAAAATATGAGTTTGGAGAATGATGAAATCTATAAGAAATTCTTAACATTTTTAAATAATCATATTGGAGAATTTGATTTACTTAAAATTTCTAATTCATTACCAAAAAAGCAAAAAACAGAAGTTAATAAAATAGATTCATTGACAAATTCAAATAAAAAGAAACAAAAACAAACCAAGAAGAAAAATGTTAAAGGGGAAGAGAAAACAGATAAAAGTAATGAATTGAAAAAGAAAGATGTTAAAGAAAATATTAAACAAGAAGATGATGAAATTAATTCCAATCAGAAAGATAACAAGGAAAGCTCAAAGAAGAAAGAAGCTGCAATAAAAAAGAATAAACTGAAAAATAAACAAAGTGATATTAATACGAAACTAAAATCAGAGACAAATTCTATGAAAGAACAAAGTCAAACCAACTCAAAAGACTCAAATAAAGGAGATAATGAACAAGTTAAACCAAAAAGAATAAGGAATCGCAAAAAGATAAATGATAACAATAATACTAAACAAGTAAAAGAAAATAATACTACGAAAGTAGAAAACAATAATTCTAAAAATGATCGAACAAAACAAGAACAAATTAAAGACAATAAAACCAGACCAACTAAAATACTTAATAAAAGTGTAAATAAAGTTTATATACGAAATGAAGTTGAAAAATAAATAATTCATGAACAGTCCAGTAAGTAATAAATCTATTTACAAGATTCGAATTTTTGTAGACTCAAACCAACCAAAATTCCCTAATTTATATTTTTCTTTGATAATAATCTTTAAATGAAATCCAAGCTAATCTCCATTCAGGTTGTTGAAAATTTAAATTTAAAATATCAAAATCATTTTTTTCTAATTTTTTTAAAAATAAATTTGTTGGTATACAAATCATAAGAGGAGTGAAAATTGAATCTGGTATTTTACCTTTCCAATTTTTGGAAAATTTTTGTAATTTCAAGTCATTTGAGCTGCTAACAACATTCGGTACTTCCAATTTAAAATCTTGTAGTTTCTTTTGTGCTGTTAATATATGATCATTTGCTACTATTGCAGTATTATATACAACTTGTTTTAATTTATCTTTTATTTCATTAATTTCTTCTTCATCCAGAATTGAACCATTAAATAATTTTAAAATTGATTCTTGTGATAAATTTTCATTATTCATTAAATCTATTGGTAAAGTAATTTGATTTCTTGAAGTTGCATAATATTTTAAACCTTGTATCATTGATGCTATGGCAGTAGCTTGACCAATATGAGCAGCAATATCAATTATATTTGATTGTAACTGGGTTGAATTTTCTAATAGTTTTATTGAAGATGGTGAAATTTGTGGTGATAATAATAAATTTTGAGTTAAATAATTTAATTGAGAATAAGTACCTTCTCCATAACTACAAATTTCATTTGTATTCATAAATGAAGCATTATTCTTTATGAAAGATCTTCTTGTTTGTAAAAATTTTTGAAAATATGTAATATCAAGATTTAAATTTTGATTTAATGCATCTCTTAATAATATAGCAATTGGTTCACCTAAATCTGAAGTGCTGTTGTTATCGGTAAACACTCTCAACAATAAATCACTCCAAAATTTAAATTTTAAATCACTTGTTGACATTCCTAAAGTTTGTGACATTTGTTTTGAAGCTTTAGAAGCAATTGATTGTTGATTTAATCCACCTTCATTTATTTTATTAATTTCTAAATTAAATGCTCTTATTGCCATAAATGTATTTCTTGCAGGTTCTGGTATATATCTTGATAATATATATGATGATCTATCATTTTTTTCAAGAATTTGATTTATATTTTCAACTGAATTTTGTATTAATTGATTATAAGTAGTAGAGTAATATTTTATGTGTTTGGTTATTATTATTTTAGTTTTAAAATTTGGTTTTGAACAATTCGGTAGTAGCATCTTGTTGTATTGTATTATTATCAAATAAACTGGTTGCAAATATATTGGTTGCTTAAAATTCAATTCATAAATCTTTGAGTATTATAATTTTGATTCTCGGAGGTTTTTTATGAGATGATTGCGATTTAAAGAGGGTTATTGAAGATATCAGTATTATCACTAAAGAGGGTTTTGATAAGAAAAACAGTACGGTTGGAAGAGGTATTTCCATGAGAAGCTATTTTACTGATTAAAGAGGTTTTTTATAGTAGGAGAAAATATCCCTATTTTAAGAGTTTCTAATAAGAAAAGAAGATATCACTATTTAAAGAGGGTTATTTTGTAAGATTTAATACACTTTCCATAATGTCAATTCAATTGAATTATCAAACATAGAAATACAAATCTTAGCTCTCAAAGATCAATTGATCTACGATAGATACCATTTGGTCTAATACTTTTTTCTCTTAGTTCTTTGTTAGAGTATTTATTGTTGGGCTAATGTATTGATTGATTCCCATCGGATTCTAGATATCAAACCCATTGGCCTAGTACTTGCTAATTAAATATTTTGTATTCTGTGGTAACTCAAGAATCTACTTGACTAATCAAACAGTAGAAGGAAGAATTTAAAGAAAGGATTTTATCATGGTAAGTAGTTCCAAAGTAATTGATAACTTCACATTTAAATATTCTTAAGTCTCAAAATCTACCATGTTCTTTCATGAGAACATTCAAGTGCTTGTTTGTAGTTGGATCTTATGACACATTTGAATGGATTGATGATGATGATATATTTTTTACCTAAAATAATGATCAATTTGTACCTTAATTATTGTAAGTACCCTTGATATCTCTTATGTATGTAGACCTGTATATAAAAAGATAATTATATAAAAGATCAAAACTTGTTACCAAATTTAGATTAATTAAAAACATAAATACTTACGTATCACATTACAATACAAACACAAGAAATTCTATTTTTAAATATGAAGAAGCTCACAAATACACAAATTGAATAAATTGAAAAATAAGGAGAAATATGATTTATAATAAAATCATTGAATCATCACGAGAAGTTTGCTTCTTTCATTAGATGAAATAAATAATATTAGACATTTAGAATATTCAATCATACTTCATCGCTTTATAGATATAATTGTGATAGCTATTATTCATTCATCATTTTATACTTTCAAACTGGATCTATATTTAATCAAGAGTTGTAAATTCCATCCTTCAGATATTGGTGAAAGTTTAATTTTATATTTTATTTTCAATTCATTAACATTTCTTCAATTTCAAAATTCAATCAATTGGATCATCAATTTCACTCAATTTTTATTTATCATAACTTGATTGTACTTGCATTTTTCACTAATACCACATTTATTGCATTTTTTAAAGTTTCACTTCATATTCACATTTAACACCTAATATCAAAAGAGCTAAACATGTCTAATGATCCATTCAATGATTTATCAGAAGAAGAAGAGGATGACTTATTTGGTGACAACCACAACTTTCACAACAATACAGCTACAGCAAATCCATTCCTAAGTACAAATAATTTAACCTATAACCCTCCATCCTTTGGCTCTACTAATCCTCCATTCAACAATTTAAATCACAAATACTCACTAACTACAACATCATCATCAAATTCATCAAATTCAAAAAAATCATCATCTTTAAATACATTAACAAAAAATATATATCAAGAATCAGATTCAGATGATGAATTTTATAAAGATTATGATAATCAATATAATTTTCCAAAACGTACAAAAACTGTCACATTTGGTGAAAATGACAGCAGCCATGAATATAATGAAAAATTAAGTTATCCTCCTATAATTTATAATTCAAATTTGAAAAATAATAATGATTTTTATGAATTTGATTATGAAAATTCAAATTCTTCATCAATTACTGATAAATTATATAATCATAGCAATACTGGTAATAATAAATTTTTTACGGGAGATGATTATATGATAAATCCATTAGAAGATGCTAATTATGAAGGAGATGATGATGATTTTCTTGATGAAAATAACGATAATGATGAAGATGATTTATTTTCATTAGGTGAAATTGATCCAAATGAAGATCCAGATTTATTTAGAAAAGCGACAATATTATCAAAAAAGAAATCAATTAAATTTAATAATGGTAGTTTAAGAAGAAGTGGTGGTACTATCAAGAAAACAAAAAGTAGAGGTTCAACAATAACATTTGATGATGATTTAATTAATTTAAAAAATTTAAAATATACCAAAACCATAAAAAAGGCAAAATTAATTAATGGAAACTATATAATTGATGCACCAATCCCCAAAGCTTTATTAGATACATTTGGTAAGAACATTAATGATTTAGATACAAGTAGAGAAATGAAATTTATGAGATATACTGCAGCAACATGTGGTCCATCAAATTATATAAAATTTAATTATAATTTACGTCAAGAATTATATAAACCCACCCGTCAAACAGAAATAATGGTTTGTATAACAATGTATAATGAAGATGAAATATTATTAGCTAAAACTCTTAAGGGAGTTTTTGAAAATATAAAAGATTTACAAAATAGATCAAATTTAAAATGGGGTGAAAATTCTTGGAAAAAAATTGTTGTTTGTATTATAAGTGATGGTAGATTACAATTAAATAAAAGAACTGAAATTTTATTATCAACTTTTGGAATATTTCAAGATGGTTATGCAAAATCTAAAATTAATGATAAATCAGTAAAAGCTCATATTTATGAATATACTTCAACTGTTGGAATAGATACTATAAATGATCATGTACATTTATCAACAAATTCAATGCCTGTTCAATTTATTTTCTGTTTGAAGGAAACAAATTCTAAAAAGATTAATAGTCATCGTTGGTGTTTTCAAGCATTTGCACCAATTTTAAATCCTAAAATCATAATGTTATTAGATGTTGGTACAAAACCTGCTAAGGATGCTTTTTATCATTTATGGAAAAATTTTCAAGATCCAACTGTTGCAGGAGCATGTGGAGAAATGAAAGTAAGTTTAGGAGAAAATAAAAAATTATTAATGAATCCTCTTGTTGCAGCACAAAATTTTGAATATAAAATTTCAAATATATTAGATAAACCAATGGAATCAGTATTTGGATTTATTAGTGTATTACCTGGTGCTTTTAGTGCTTATAGATATGAAGCATTATTAAATGTTAATGGGAAAGGTCCATTGGAAAAATATTTTAAAGGAGAATATTTACATAGTATAACATCAAATGAAGATGAAGATTCAGATTCAGATGATGAAAAAGAAATTAAAGAAAGAAATTTTAAAGATTCTGGTATTTTTACATCAAATATGTATTTAGCAGAAGATAGAATATTATGTTTTGAATTAATTGCTAAAAAAAATAATAATTATAAATTAAGATATGTTAAAGAAGCAAAAGCAGAAACTGATGTACCAGAATCAATAGATGAATTTATATTACAAAGAAGAAGATGGTTGAATGGATCCCTTTTTGCAGCAACTTATGCTATTGTACATTGGACCAAAATATGGAAATCAAATCATTCTTTGGGTAGAAAATTATTTTTACAATTTGAATTTTATTATCAATTAATTACAATATTAGTATCATGGTTTTCATTAAGTTCATTTTTTTTAGTATTTAGAATTTTAACTGCTAATTTAGGAGCAGTTGATATGAATTTTGCAATTGGTAAAATATTAGCTATTATATTTTTATGGTTTTATATTGGTTGTATTGTATGTACTTTTGTTTTATCATTTGGAAACACTCCAAGAGGTACAAAAAAATTTTATTTAATTATAAGTTATATATTTGCAATTATGATGATTTATATGTTATTTTCAGCAATATTTTTAGCAATTCATACAATAAATTCAATATTAGATGCCCACAAAAGTGATTTTAAAATTATAATGATTTTTCAAAATTCAAAATTTAGAGATTTAGTAATATCAATGTTATCAACTTATTTATTATATTTTATTGGTTCATTATTATATGGAGAACCAAGTTTTATGTTTACTTCATTTATTCAATATATTTTATTATCTCCAACATATATTAATGTTTTAAATATTTATTCAATATGTAATATTCATGATGTTTCTTGGGGTACAAAAGGGAATGAAAATGCCAAAAATTTAGGTAATATAAAAACTATAGGTAATAATAAAGATAAAATATTAATGATTGCACCAGAAATTAATGAAATTACAAATGAAAATTATTTAAACAAGATTAACTACCTAAAGACAACTTTAGCATCACAAGAGAAAAAACCTATTATAAATCATAAATTAAAAGATGATTCATATTATGCATTTATTAGAACAATAACAGTATTAATATGGATGTTAACAAATTCCATATTAATTTTAATAGTATTAGAAAATGGTGGTATAAATATTTTAACAAATCATATAACTATAAATAAAGATGGTTCAATAATTGCAAATTCTGAAATTTTTTTAACTATTATATTATGGATTGTTGCTGGGTTAGCAATTTTTAGATTTTTTGGTTGTTTAATTTATTTGATTGGTAATGGATTTAGACCATTAAAATGGAAAATTAAAAATAGGAAAAATAAGAAGAAGCAGTTGCAAAAAAATTTAAATAAAGAAGTTGAAGTATGAAAGTTTATGAGAAGTGCATGACTGTATAGCATGAATGTATTACAATTCATTATCTATTAGAGATTCCATAATCTTTCAAATCTTGTATGTAATTCTACACCTGTTAGACTAAAGTATGATCAATTTACATGCAAATTTACTGTAATTAAATTTTTTCTTTTTCGATATCTATTTAAAAAAAGTAGTAACAAGTGAGTTCAGATGAATTTCTGTATAAGAATTTATGAATCGAATTTAACCGATCATGAAATTATCTCATCAATCCAATTTTCATATCAATATCTCAACACTGAGTGCTATAATAAAATAATAAATCTCAATATGTTTGATAAAGTAAGTACAAAACAAATTATTATAATTTCAATTTGTAAATTAATTAGCGAGTAATTACGTCATTTTCTTATCGTTTCAAGATTACTTCCATCAACTTACAATTCAAATACGATACGATCCGAGATTAGTTATAGTTCGAACTATTCCATGGAAATTTATTATATCTATTCTGTGCTTAGTTTTAGAAAGTATTAGTGATAGAATAAACTAAGGATATAATACAAAGTTAGAGACAAGGCTATTTTCAATCTATGGCTGAAATGAAACCAATACTTATTTAAATGTATATAAAACAATAAATACAATAACTACAATAGGGTGTGAGATCTCAGGTACACAAGCTTAGAAATCAAAAGTTAACAATAAGGGTTTTCTTATGGACCAAAATCTCTAGAGCAAATCTAATTTTAAAACTCTCTTTACTATTATTCTTAGCTCATTTCCTCCCTTAGTTACAACAACAGATCTTATCAGATCTAATAATAGTCATAAATAATCCAGTATTTACTGTTGATGAAAATGAAAGAAAATAGCAATCAATTGATACGGTATGAGAAAACGTAAATCAATATTGAAATTATATTTTTCCCAGGATAAACATGTGTGCTAAAATAACAGTTTAAAACATACGTACGTACGTACTTATGCACACACACCAGAGTACATACATAACATCAATTGAAATACTAGACTATTCCATATAGAAATAAAAAAAGTTTATTAATTAATTGATTAGCCATTTAATAAATCATACTTCTTTGATGATTATTAATTCTTCCAAAACTATTTTTATTCATTAGATAAGATTTTTATCTGGCTAGATTTAATTTTTTAACCAGCCGATCTGTATAAAATTTTTTGAACCGCATAAGAGTTATAAAAGATATAGTTACATATATTACTGTTGAAAATACCTGGTTATAAGAATTTAAAATACGAAATATTACTAACCTAAAAATCTAGAAATGTAAAGCATTAGACTAATAGTTATTATGTTAAAAAAATCCAGCTTTAATATTAGGTAATGGGTGTACCTTTTTATTTTTATTTTTGAAAGAGTATTGATCCTTCTAACTATCTAATATAGTCTAGTAATGTAATTTTTTTTGTATCATTTAGGGTTTCTGACTTTACCCTATTCTTTCAATTATATGAAACCGAAGATATCTAATGTTAATCTAATTTATAACAGAAATCTATCAAATCGGATTAATTAATTTTTTAGTTTTGTCAAGTAAACGAGAGGATTTATTTATAAAACCGAGAACGAACGTTTTGTATGGGAGAAAATTTTTTTTTTTTTTAACGACACAAAAGTTACAAATAATAGGTGAGGTTTTAAAATTTCTGAAACATCAACTCAACCCAACCAGCTATATCAGGCTCTTAAGTAATTGTTTTGCCAAAGCTAAGAAAATTTCTAAGAAAAAAAGAAATTGGACCTGAAACAAAAACTAACGAAGTTGATCATTATTTTTTTGTGTAGATTCAAACTTTGTATCAGTATCTACGTTACAATATATAGTGAGTTAATATATTTTTGATACCAAATTTAAAGAACTAGATTGTAATATGTGAGTTGTAAATCATACACAATCGATTGGAAATGTAATTCACAGGCTGACCTCTAATCAAACTTTCATTAGTGAGAAAGAGGCTACAATTTAAATCACACAAATGAAAAACTTGGAGATTTTTTTTTTAAAAAATTTTGCAAAGAAACATTTGTGTAAAATAAGTTTTAGACCTAATTTTTTTTTACAAATCAATCAAATGAATCAAGATCAAATCATGATAGAAGATAAACAAAGAGTTCATATAAATCAATGGAGAATAATATAAAGCACAAGTGTGACAATTAACCCGATTTAATTAAATCATGGAGATAAAAAAATATAAAAATTTCTGAAACTTTAGCGGTATTAGTTTATTATATTTACTAGTCTATGATAAGTCTATATAAATTTATTTACTACTTTATATCCGATCGGTTATAATATTTGTTAATAAATTACTTTAGTGTATGTGTGGATAGTGTGTATTACTCAAAAAAAATAAATAGCCATCTCAGTACTGTATATAATAAAATAATCAATTTTAAAATTTTAAGAAATTTGCATTGAGGGATTTTTCAAATTAATTTTCTTTTCTTTTAGGTCGGAGTTTCTACCATATGGAATAAGATTAGGTCCAAATATTTAATGCGAGGTCTGACTAAATTCATACAATAGAACATCCTTATTACAGATGCCATTACACCCAGATCTTGCTTACATACAGATTTGTGAGATTTAATTTAGATAGAAAAAAAAAGAAACAATAAAAGACAATAATACGAAATTTTTAATTTAGAATAAGTAGAAGATGTAAAGATGTTTAAACTTTTTATTGGATGGTATGAACCAATTAAATTGAATCTTTTTGAATATTGAGGATATATTCCAACTGAAAATATATATCGTTTAAAGGAATATATAATTCATTCAATGTTACAAATGTTTATTAACAGATCTAATGAATCTTATTGTAAGAATATTATTGGTTAATAAACTCAACAAAATTTCTTTTCCAGTACCCCCTCTTTCCTCTCTCTCCCATCTCTCTATCTTCTCTTCCTTGTTTTCCTCCCTAAATAAGACAGAAACATAAATTTTATTCCGTCAAGCGTTTAAATTTTACTCTCCTGCTTGAAAAATAAATTTTAATTCTATATAGTCTATACAAATAGAAACCTGGTATTAACGGCTAAATTTGTACACAATTTTAAATATTTAGATAATGCACAATTTAGTTAATAAGTTGTACATTATTATGTATTAGCTGTTTATGTATGTATGTAGCCTATGTGTATATATCTCTTTCCCTTTGTGTATTAGTCTGGTTTAATATTATATCTTGCTTTTTTTTATTTATTTATTTGTTTATTATTTAACCTAATATTGTACTACTTATTCATTTATTATTATTATTATTATTGTTTTATTGTGTTGGTTTTAGTAACTAAAACATTAACAAAAAATTTTTAAAATCTCTCAATTTTCAATTTCTTCATTAAATTAAATAAATTAATAACTCAGTTTATAAAGTAATATAAAGTTATATATAATCGTTGATATTTCATCTAAAATTTTTTACTTACCATTTCTTCCTTTTTTTTTACATTTTAATTGAATCAATTTTTTAATTTTTCAAATTTTTCAATTAAAAACATTCATTCATTCCATTTTTTTTTTCTAACTACTACATATTCCCATTTTTTTTATTTTACAAATTTCATTTCAAAATAATAATTAATACCTAATAACTACTAAATATCACTAGAAAATAGATAATATAAGGAATTTGAAATAGAAAAATAAAGAAAATTTAGAAAAAATGAGTGCTACTGAACCAACTAATGAAAAAGTTGATAAAAATGTATCTGATGATGAAGAAGAAGATATTGATCAATTAGTTTTAGATTTACAATCTAATCCAGGAGCAATTGGTGAAGAAGAAGAAGAAGATGAAGATAATAAAGCAAGTTTTGTTGCAGTACCAGAAGAATTATTACAAACTGATCCAAGAGTTGGTTTAACTGATGATGAAGTTAATAAAAGAAGAAAAAGATATGGTTTAAATCAAATGGCTGAAGAACAAGAAAATATGGTTTTAAAATTCGTTATGTTCTTTGTTGGTCCAATTCAATTCGTTATGGAAGCCGCTGCTGTTTTAGCTGCTGGTTTAGAAGATTGGGTTGATTTCGGTGTTATTTGTGCTTTATTATTATTAAATGCTTTTGTTGGTTTTATTCAAGAATATCAAGCTGGTTCAATTGTTGATGAATTAAAAAAGACATTAGCAAATACTGCTTTAGTTGTTAGAAATGGTCAATTAGTTGAAATTCCAGCTAATGAAGTTGTTCCAGGTGATATTTTACAATTAGAAGATGGTACTGTTATTCCAACTGATGGTAGAATTGTTTCTGAAGATTGTTTATTACAAGTTGATCAATCTGCTATTACTGGTGAATCATTAGCTGTTGATAAAAGACATGGTGATAATTGTTATTCTTCATCAACTGTTAAAACTGGTGAAGCTTTTATGATTGTTACTGCTACTGGTGATAATACTTTCGTTGGTAGAGCTGCTTCTTTAGTTAACAAAGCTTCTTCAGGTACTGGTCATTTTACTGAAGTTTTAAATGGTATTGGTACTACTTTATTAGTTTTTGTTATTGTTACTTTATTAGTTGTTTGGGTTGCTTGTTTCTATAGAACTGTTAGAATTGTTCCAATTTTAAGATATACTTTAGCTATTACAATTATTGGTGTTCCAGTTGGTTTACCAGCTGTTGTTACTACTACTATGGCTGTTGGTGCTGCTTATTTAGCTAAAAAACAAGCTATTGTTCAAAAATTATCAGCTATTGAATCTTTAGCAGGTGTTGAAATTTTATGTTCAGATAAAACTGGTACTTTAACTAAAAATAAATTATCATTACATGAACCATATACTGTTGAAGGTGTTGAACCAGATGATTTAATGTTAACAGCTTGTTTAGCTGCTTCAAGAAAAAAGAAAGGTTTAGATGCTATTGATAAAGCATTTTTAAAATCTTTAATTAATTATCCAAGAGCAAAAGCTGCATTACCAAAATATAAAGTTATTGAATTTCAACCTTTTGATCCTGTTTCAAAAAAAGTTACTGCTATTGTTGAATCACCAGAAGGTGAAAGAATTATTTGTGTTAAAGGTGCTCCATTATTCGTCTTAAAGACTGTTGAAGATGATCATCCAATTCCAGAAGATATTCATGAAAATTATCAAAACACTGTTGCTGAATTTGCTTCAAGAGGTTTTAGATCTTTAGGTGTTGCAAGAAAAAGAGGTGAAGGTCATTGGGAAATTTTAGGTATTATGCCATGTATGGATCCTCCAAGAGATGATACTGCTGCAACTGTTAATGAAGCAAGAAATTTAGGTTTAAGAGTTAAAATGTTAACTGGTGATGCAGTTGGTATTGCAAAAGAAACTTGTAGACAATTAGGTTTAGGTACAAATATTTATGATGCTGATAGATTAGGTTTATCAGGTGGTGGTGATATGGCTGGTTCTGAAATTGCTGATTTCGTTGAAAATGCTGATGGATTTGCTGAAGTTTTCCCACAACATAAATATAATGCTGTTGAAATTTTACAATCAAGAGGTTATTTAGTTGCTATGACTGGTGATGGTGTTAATGATGCTCCTTCATTAAAAAAGGCAGATACTGGTATTGCTGTTGAAGGTGCAACTGATGCTGCAAGATCTGCTGCTGATATTGTCTTTTTAGCTCCTGGTTTATCTGCAATTATTGATGCTTTAAAAACTTCAAGACAAATTTTCCACAGAATGTATTCATATGTTGTTTATCGTATTGCTTTATCATTACATTTAGAAGTATTTTTAGGTTTATGGATTGCTATTTTAAATCATTCATTAAATATTGATTTAGTTGTTTTTATTGCTATTTTTGCTGATGTTGCTACTTTAGCTATTGCTTATGATAATGCTCCATATGATCCAAAACCAGTTAAATGGAATACTCCAAGATTATGGGGTATGTCAATTATTTTAGGTTTAATTTTAGCTATTGGTACTTGGATTACTTTAACTACTATGTTTTTACCAAAAGGTGGTATTATTCAAAATTTTGGTGGTTTAGATGGTATATTATTTTTACAAATTTCTTTAACTGAAAATTGGTTAATTTTTATTACAAGAGCTCAAGGTCCTTTCTGGTCATCAATTCCTTCATGGCAATTATCTGGTGCTGTTGCAATTGTTGATGTTTTAGCTACTTGTTTTACATTATTTGGTTGGTGGTCACAAAATTGGACTGATATTGTTACAGTTGTTAGAATTTGGGTTTGGTCATTTGGTGTTTTCTGTGTTATGGGAGGTGCTTATTATATTATGTCACAATCTGAAGCTTTTGATAACTTATGTAATGGTAGATCAGCTAAACCAAAACATGATTCAAGATCATTAGAAGATTTCTTAGTTTCTATGCAAAGAGTTTCAACTCAACATGAAAAATCAACTTAAATTTAATAATTTAATGAATTTATTCATTGTTGGCATCATTATAACTTAATTTTGTTAAAAATTATAAAATTTTCATTCAATAATTCAAAATTTTCAAAAAAGAAAAAAAAATTAATTCATTCATAACTACTACCCATTCATCATCCATTCCCCATCATTTCCCCAATTTTTTCAATTATATTCTCCCCAAATATAATTGAAATCACAATTTTTTTCATTTTGATTCTCCCCAAATCAAATTGAAGTTCAAACTCATCAATCATCATAATAATAATATTAAATAAATAGGTTGTCTAACTTAATCACATTTTTTTATTTATTTATCATCATATCATATACAAAAATTTTTTAGTTTTCATTTAGTGTTATATTATAGGTATTTATTTTAATAGTTTTTTTTTTATTTTTATTTAGTTACGTTAATTAATAGATAATAATATTTATAAAATAAGTTTTAGTGTTGTAAATTAGTACTTGAGTTAGAGATTGTTGTTTTAGTTCTTTCAGATCAATTTGAATGCTTGATATTAAAGGTTGGTTGTTAGAATTACAAAAGTGTTGATAATTTTGATTAAGCATTGCTACCACGTGTAATAAATTATTTTGGTAGCCACTTTTTTAAATTTAGTCCGAAATCAGCAGAAGAATATCCGAGGACTCATTTGTTAAGAGGTTACATTAAATAATTTTTCAGTAAGTTAGAATCAATAAGTAAGTACAAGTGTTCATGACATAAAATTCAGTCAAGAGCTCTTATTCATGTAGAACCAAACACTGTATAACTCTTCACTTATGGTTAACTCCCACACCAGATCAGCCCACAGGATTTCTTTCTAGAGGTTTTGGTTTTTCCAACTAGAATTTACTAGATGTTTAGGTCTTGGTATGAATTACTTTAAAGAGTGACTTCAAACGTGACTAACATAAAATAATTGATGTAATGCTTTTGATGGCGTTATGTACTATAGTCTAGTCATGCTTTCATAGGTATGGAATCATTGAAGTCAACGGTATTTCGTTAATACTTACATAGTAAATTAAAGCCAATAATGATTTTTATATAGTGAGTAAGTCCTCGGTAATAATTTTTTTTTCTGTTTTAATTATTTTTAAGCGGTCTTATACGTTGGACTTAATGCACAATTCAAAATTTAATTTCGACCTAAGAATAATAGAATAGAATATTACTGTAATCACAAGCTATTTAATTGTGGTACTAGTATTAGTAGTAGTATCAAGGAGTTTGACTTGAGTAACACGACCTATCTTTTCATTCTTTTACTCTACAAATAATGTGTGATAGATTGAAACAAACATATGTTAGATCAAACACAGGTAGAACGACGTTTGTAAGGATAGAAAAAATCAGATTAACAAGGATTTTTAATGATATAAACTTCATACTTTCTTTTCCATTGGTATTTTAGTTTTTCATCCCCATAAATTACACAAAGTTTGAAGTATTATAATTAACGAATAATTCCCCCCGCAAAAATTAAAATATTCTCTTACTGTTTAGAAAAATTTCCATAATCCGAATTTTCAATATAAGTAATATAGTTTGCCCCCTTTTATAAAGTACAATTAATTTGAACACTTTTTTTTGAAATAGAGTATATATATCAAATCAATCTTCAATTATATATATAATACATTATCATTCTTATCATAACATTTAATCAATTGAATTGAAAAGAGAAAATACAAAAATTACTGGTTAATTTAACATATTCATATTCATATTCATATATTTAAGAGAAAGATAAAAGTTATAAATAATGTCAAAAATAGATTTTAAAGATAAAGTAGTTATTATTACTGGTGCAGGAGGTGGTTTAGGTAAATTTTATTCATTAGAATTTGCAAAAAGAGGTGCAAAAGTTGTTGTTAATGATTTAGGTGGAGCATTAAGTGGTGAAGGAGGAAATTCAAAAGCAGCAGATGTTGTTGTTGATGAAATTAAAAAAAATGGTGGTATTGCTGTAGCAGATTATAATAATGTTTTAGATGGTGCAAAAATTGTTGATACAGCAGTTAAAAATTTTGGTACTGTTCATGTTATAATAAATAATGCAGGTATATTAAGAGATGCAAGTATTAAAAAAATGACTGAAAAAGATTTTAAATTAGTTTTAGATGTTCATTTAAATGGTGCTTTTGCTGTTACAAAAGCTGCTTGGCCATATTTTCAAAAACAAAATTATGGTAGAATTGTAAATACTTCTTCACCAGCTGGTCTTTATGGTAATTTTGGTCAAACTAATTATTCAGCTGCTAAAAGTGGTATGATTGGATTTGCTGAAACTTTAGCAAAAGAAGGTGAAAGATATAATATTAAAGCAAATACTATTGCTCCTTTAGCAAGATCAAGAATGACTGAATCAATTTTACCACCACCAGTTTTAGAAAAATTAGGTGCTGAAAAAGTTGCTCCATTAGTTTTATATTTATCTTCTTCAGAAAATGAATTATCTGGTCAAACTTTTGAAGTTGCTGCTGGATTTTATGGTCAAATTAGATGGGAAAGATCTGGTGGTATAATTGTTAAACCAGATGAAACTTTTACTGCTGAATTAGTTGCTAAAAGATTTAATGAAATTTTAGATTTTGATGATTCTAAAAAACCAGAATTATTAAAAAATCAACATCCATTTATGTTAAATGATTATACTTCATTAACTAAAGCTGCAAGAGAATTACCATCAAATGATTTATCTGGTGCTCCAAAAGTTTCATTAAAAGATAAAGTTGTTTTAATTACTGGTGCAGGTGCTGGTTTAGGTAAAGAATATGCTAAATGGTTTGCTAAATATGGTGCAAAAGTTGTTGTTAATGATTTTAAAGATGCTACTAAAACTGTTGATGAAATTAAAGCTGCAGGAGGTCAAGCTCATGCTGATCAACATAATGTTGCAACTGAAGCTGATGCAATTATTGAAAATGTATTACAAGCTTATGGTACTATTGATATTTTAGTTAATAATGCAGGAATTTTAAGAGATAGATCATTTGCTAAAATGACAAAAGATGAATGGGATCAAGTTCAAGCTGTTCATTTATTAGGAACATTTAATTTATGTAGATTAGCTTTCCCAATTATGACTGAAAAGAAATTTGGTAGAATTGTTAATATTACTTCAACTTCAGGAATTTATGGTAATTTTGGTCAAGCTAATTATGCTTCTGCAAAATCAGCTATTTTAGGTTTATCAAAAACTTTAGCTATTGAAGGTGCAAGAAATAATGTTAAAGTTAATATTGTTGCTCCTCATGCTGAAACTGCAATGACTTTAACTATTTTCAGAGAAGAAGATAAAAACTTATATCATGCTGATCAAGTTGCTCCATTATTAGTTTTCTTAGGTTCTGAAGAAGTTCCAGTAACTGGTGAAACCTTTGAAATCGGTGGTGGTTGGATTGGTAACACTAGATGGCAAAGAGCCAAAGGTGCTGTTTCTCATGATGCTGAAACTACTGTTGAATTTATTAAAGATCATTTAGAAGATATTATTGATTTTTCAAAAGATACTGAAAATCCAAAATCAACTACTGAATCATCAATGGCTATCTTATCTGCTGTTGGTGGAGATGATGACGACGAAGATGAAGAAGAAGAAGATGAAGGTGATGAAGAAGATGAAGAAGAAGAACCAGAAGAAGAAGATGATCCAGTTTGGAAATTCAATGATAGAGATGTTATATTATATAATATTGCATTAGGAGCAACAACAAAACAATTACAATATGTTTATGAAAATGATTCAGATTTCCAAGTTATTCCAACTTTTGGTCATTTAATTACTTTCAACTCAGGAAAATCACAAAATTCATTTGCAAAATATTTAAGAAATTTTAATCCAATGTTTTTATTACATGGTGAACATTATATTAAAGTTCATAAATGGCCACCACCAACTGAAGGTGAAATTAAAACTTCTTTCCAACCTTTACAAACTACTCAAAAGGGTACTAATGTTGTTATTGTTCATGGATCAAATTCAGTTGATAATAAAACTGGTGAAACTATTTATTCAAATGAAGCAACTTATTTTATTAGAAATTGTCAAGCTGATAATAAAACTTATGGAGATAGAAGATCATTTGCAACAAATCCATGGGTTGCACCAAAAAGAGAACCAGATTATGAAGTTGATGTTAAAGTTGGAGAAGATTTAGCTGCATTATATAGATTAACTGGTGATAGAAATCCTTTACATATTGATCCAAATTTTGCAAAAGGAGCAAAATTCCCAAAACCAATTTTACATGGTATGTGTACTTATGGATTATCAGCAAAAGCTTTAATTGATAAATTTGGTATGTTTGATGAAATTAAAGCAAGATTTACAGGAGTTGTTTATCCAGGTGAAACTTTAAGAGTTTTAGCTTGGAAAGAAGGTGAAAATGTTATTTTCCAAACTCATGTTAAAGAAAGAGGTACAGTTGCAATTAATAATGCTGCTATAAAATTAATTGGTGATAAACCAAATTTATAAGTTTATAAGTTTTTATTATAGTAATTAAATTTTATATTGAGTTTTAAATTTAGATTTTATGTAAAGCTTTTAAGTCTCTTTTTCAATAAGTATCTTAAGGATTTTGTAACTATATCCTTTTGGGATTTATTACACCTGATGGTGTTCTGTATTATGGAAACAGTAATTGATCGTAGGCTATACTTATTCGATATTCTTGACCTTTCAGTGTCGCAAAAATCAATGTCCTTGATAGGAATTTAAGACACTAAAACGCGTATTAAATTTAATCAGAATATTTTTTAACTAACAGAATCTAAACACACTATTTAATAGAATCAATCAATACGATATAAATAATCATTTAACTTCTAATTGAGTCAGCAAAAGAGATAGGAGTTGAAGGCCCTTGTTATTTTGTAGCTCACCACTGATTCCATTTCTTTTTCAGAAGTTATTGATCCATTTTCATCAATCAAACAATCATTCAAACATTATTCATATTTTAAGTCATTCACCATTAAATATATTTATCCAAGATCACAAAATAGATCACGAAAATTCCACTTTTCATCTTTCAATAAATGGAGCTAACCCAAGTATCTCAAACTCAACCAACTCAACAATCACCATTAACTCAAACACAAAATAAATTAGATCAATCAAATCCAAATCAAATATGTCAATTATTATGTTCAACAGGACAATATTCCAATAAAAAATTGAATATAACTGATAAATCTGAAATTAATGGTAAAATAACATGGTATTTTGGAAGATCTATTGAATCAGATCTACAATTAAATTCTTCTTCAAGATTATCAAATAAACATTTTCATATTTGGTTTAATTTAACTGATAAATCTCTTTGGATTAAAGATACTTCAACAAATGGTACTTCATTAAATGGGAGTAGATTAGTTAAAGGTTCAAATTATTTATTAAATCAAGGTGATGAAATTAGTGTTGGAAATGGTATACCAAAAGATGTTGTTAAATTTATTATAATTTTTACAGATAAATATAATCCTGCATTATCGCCAGATTCAAGTATAAAAGATCAAGGTATATATAAAGATTTTATCATAAAAAATGAAACTATTGGACAAGGAGCTTTTGCAACTGTTAAAAAATGTATTGAAAGATCTACTGGTAATGGATTTGCTGTTAAAATTATAAATAGAAGAAAAGCTTTAAATACAAGTGGAGGTGGTAATGCATTAGTTGGAGTTGATAGAGAATTATCAATATTAGAAAAATTAAATCATCCAAATATTGTTTCCCTAAAGGCATTTTATGAAGATCAAGAAAATTATTATATAGTAATGGAATTAGTACCAGGTGGTGATTTAATGGATTTTGTTGCAGCAAATGGAGCTATTGGGGAAGATGCTACTCAAGTTATAACAAAACAAATATTAGAAGGTATATTATATGTACATAAATTAGGTATATCTCATCGAGATTTAAAACCAGATAATATATTAATTATGCAAGATGATCCAATTTTTGTTAAAATTACAGATTTTGGATTAGCAAAATTTAGTGATAATTCAACTTTAATGAAAACTTTTTGTGGAACTTTAGCTTATGTTGCACCAGAAGTTATAACTGGGAAATATGGTTCCAGTCAAATTTTAACAGATTCTCCTAAAAATAATTATTCATCATTAGTTGATATATGGTCATTAGGATGTTTAGTATATGTTTTATTAACAAGTCATTTACCTTTCAATGGTAAAACTCAACAACAAATGTTTCAAAAAATAAAACAAGGAGAATTTCATGAATCTCCTTTAAATTCTTATGAAATAAGTGATGAAGGTAGAGATTTTTTAAAATGTTGTTTACAAGTTGATCCAACAAAAAGAATTACAGCAGAAGAAGCTTTAAAACATCAATGGATTCAAGATGCTATAGAAGAATCTCAATATGATGAATCATCACCAAAATCTCTTAGTTTATCACAATCACAATCACAACAATCAAGAAAAATTGATAACGGTATACATATTGAATCAATGAGTAAAATAGATGAAGATATAATGCTTCGACCTTTAGATAGTGAAAAAAATAGAAAATCAACAAAACAACAAGATTTTAAAAAACCAAAAAGAATTGTACCATTACCTCAATCACAACCACCATTAACAAATTTACCAATGTCACAACCTTTAAAAAGACCTTATCATATTGATCCAATAACTAATAAACGTGAAGAACTGCATAAAAGAATTAAAATTGATAATATATCAGTAAATACTAAATTATTGAAAAAATCACAACTTGGATCAGAAAATAAATTAAAACCATCATATTTTAATTCGAATCCTTCATCATCATCATCGTCTTCTTCTTCATCATCATCATCATCAATCTCAAAAAATTCTTCATCACCTTCATCAATTCCAAAAGAAATAAAACCTAATTCATCAGTGTTATCATCATCATCAAATCAAAATTCATTAATTTTAGAACCTTTATCATCATCACTAAATTCCAAAATTATAAAAATTAATAAAAATGATTTTTCAATAGGTAGAGCAGAAGTTTGTGATATTGTTATATCAGATGATAGATTATCAAAAGTTCATTGTATTCTAAAATTAAATAATCAAATGGAAATTTGGTTATGTGATATGAGTACAAATTCATGTAAAGTAAATGATAAAATTATTGGAAAAGGAAATAAAATAAAAATTCAAAATAATGATAAAATTTTTTTATTTGAAGATTTACTGACTAATGAATTTATTGGTTATAAAGCTAAAATAAATTTTAATAATGATGATAATGATAATATTAAAATTGATGAAGTAGAAGAAATTGAAAAAAATAATAGTAATAACAATATAGATTTAATATCTAAAAGAATTCAAAAACAAAGTATTGAAGAAATCAGTCTTAAGAATCAATTGATTCAAAGTATTATATAGAAAACTAGAAACCATTTAGCCAGACAATGTAATAATCTAATGAATAATGAAACTTTTTTGAAATTGTTGTACTAACTCTGGAGATACTTTTTGATGTCTCAGATTATCGCGTAAAAAATTAAATCAAAATCAATTACATCATAAGTTTCTACAAACACAATTAATAATCAATGACATTCATAAAACCAATTCGAAGAGTATATACACAAGAAGATTTAGAGAAATGGATAGATTCAAAAACTTATAATGAAATTTTGAACTTTATAATTGAATTACAAGAATCAGTATTATCAAAACCAAATGATTTCCTTGATACTACATCAAATAATGAAATAATATCAAAACTACTAAATTTATTTAATGAAATTGATAAAATAATAGATAATAATCCAATACATCCTAAAAATAATGATTCAAGATTTGGTAAAATTGAATTTAAAGATTTTTATAATGAGTTAAATTCCAAAATAGAAGATTTAGTTACACCAATTTGTTCAACGGGAATAATTGAAACTTCAACTTATTTATTAAATTCATTTGGTGATTTTAACAGGATAGATTATGGATCAGGTCATGAATTAAATTTTATTTGTTTCTTGTTATCTTTACAGAAACTTGGAGTGATACACAAGGAAGATTATACATCAATTATACTACAAATATTTACAAAATATATGTCAATTATGAGAAAATTACAAAAAAAATATTGGTTAGAACCAGCTGGTTCACATGGAGTTTGGGGATTAGATGATTATCATTTCCTACCTTTTTTATTTGGTTCTTCTCAATTAACAAATCACCAGTATTTAAAACCAAAATCTATTCACAATGATGAAATTATTGAACAATTTCAAAATCAATATATTTATTTTGAATGTATTTATTTTTTAAATCAAATAAAGACTACAAAGAATAATAATGAGAAGCTAAGTTTAAGATGGCATTCTCCAATGCTTGATGATATTTCAAGTGCAAAATCTTGGTTAAAAATTAAAGAAGGTATGATAAAAATGTATAAAGTTGAAGTATTGGGGAAATTACCAATAATTCAACATTTTTTATTTGGTTCTTTATTAAAATGTCCCGAAGGTATACCTGAGCATAGCGATGAATCAACGAATGACGATGGGTGTGGTCATACACATCAACATGATGTTATAAATACTTGGGGAGATTGTTGTGGAATAAAAATTCCAAGTGCTATCGCAGCTAGTGAGAGTCTAAAATTAGAAAGAAAACAAATTCCATTTGATTAACTCATCATTCTATTACATACATTTACTCATTATATCCTATACTTGTTGAAATTAAAATATTTCTTGGAAATATACCAGGAAAAGGTAATAAAACTTTTAATTTTTTTTTATCATCATCAAATTTTGAAACATGTATATAACCTAAAACAGAAGCATTTAATAGCTCTTTACCTAACTCGCCCAGCTGTTGTTGTTGTGGTGATTGTTCTAACTGAGTTATTGTAATTATAGAATTATCTAAATTTGAAGAACTTGGATTTTCAATTAATTTATAATACTTTTCTAATTCATTTTCCTTTTTTGTTGAATCTTTTTCAAAATCATCCCCGGCTGGTAAAAATGATAATGAATTAATTAAATCTTTTGTTAATATTCCTTTAAAAATTTTTAAACCATTTGCATCAATATCAGTTTTAAATGGTGATAACCTTGTTTTTGAATTACCATTAAAATATTCTTTTATTGCTAATTCTTGAGTCATTCTTATAAATTTATCATTTAATTCAACAACTCCTTGATTTTTTTTAATTTTGACTATTTGTAAACCATTATTTATTTTATGTTTTAATTTTTTGGTTAAATTTATTAATAATTTTTCATTTTCTATAACCACCACCAAATCAATTCTAAAATCACTAATTATATTTTCAATAACTGCAAAATCTTTTATACTTAATGGTGGTGTATCAACTATTATTCCAGAATTTTTAACTTTTAAATCATTTTCTAATCTTGATAATACAGTTATACCTAATTGAGAAATTTGATATTTATATAAATCTAAATTATCATAAATATTTGTAAATCCATAATTTTTTACAATTGGTTGTTTTGGAGTTTGTAAAGTACTTCCAGTTGTTGTTGTTGTTAATCCATAACCATTATAACTTTCAACATCTAAAAAATCATTTATTGGAGTTGCTGATATTGAACCAGGTAATGCAAATACACCATCTTGAGGATTTAAATTAACTAATATAGGACATTGATTCATTTTTACCGAATAATTTATTAAATTTTTAATTAATGTTGTTTTACCTGATTGTTTTGATCCAATAACTAATACTCTTGGACCCCAAATTTGTTCTTCATTTGATATATTATGATCTTGACATAATTGTCTTTTAGATTCTAAATATGAATGTAAATTTATTATTGATTCCATATTATTTTCTTTACTTAAATACTCAGTAAATTCATTATCTTCATCATCATTTGATATCATTATTGATGTATCATTATTATTTACTAGTAGATATTCTAATTTTGATTCAATTTTAGGTGAATATATACATGTTTTAGTACCTGTTAATTTAATTTCTATATTATTTGGTAATTCTGTTCCATTTATTTCACATATTCCTTCAATTATTTTAAATTTTAATATTTTACTGAAAGGTATTTCTATTCTCCATTCATATAATGATGGTATAGTTATAGTTTTGATGTTGATATTATCTTCATTGAATGAATCGGACCCGCCAAACCCAGGTATTGACATTTAATTGCGGTATAGTTATGAAGTTGGTTATATATCTTTAGCTTTACTTACAGAAAAAAAAATTAAGTTTCCAAATGTTTTCACATCTTTTGAAACATCACCAAAATTAAAACCCCAACAATCTAATTTTTAAAATGGAACGACATTGCAAAAGAGTAATCACGGTCTAACTACATTCGTTTTTTTGAATGACATTACTGAGGGAACATTTTAAGTACAATATTTAACAAGGCTTGAAAATTACATCTAAAAGAGTTTTAAAGAATTTAGAATCATGACATTTCATTAAAATCTCTATTATACTCTATTTACGATCTTCAATAGCAGTACCTCTAACATGTTTTTCCCTTTCTGTAGGACCTTTTTCATTTCTTTTATAATCACCATGATTTAATTTTTCATTATTTTCTTTTCTTTTTAAACTATTAATTTCAATTCTTTTAATTTCTTGAGCTTTCTTTATAATTTTAGGAACATGTCTATGTTTATTAATTCTTTTAATTTCGGGCATATATTGGAATTTTTCTTTTAATTTATTATCATATTCTAATTTATTTCTTTGTTTCATTGATTTTATTGATGATCTATCACTTGCATTTGATCTCCAAATTCTAATATTTGTATCATCTGATCCTGATAATATATATTTTGAATCCATTGAAAATTTAACTGCAAATATTTTTTGCATTCTTTTTGTATGATAAATATCTCTTGAATGTCCTGCTAGTACGGGATAAATTCTTATAGTTTTATCATATGATCCTGTTACTATTTCTTGTCCAGTAGGTGAAAAATCAATATCCATTATTGCTGCAACATGATCTTTATAAATATTTAATGATTTTTTTAAATTTCTCATATCCCATAAATAACCATTATGATCTTCATTACCTGTTACAAAATTGAATGCTTCCATTGGATTCCAAGATATACAATTATTTCTTAATGATGTTATACATTTTTGAATAGGAGTATTTGTTCTTATATCATATAAAACTATCAGATTATCTGATCCAGTACTTGCTATTATATTTGTTTCTGTTTTATTAAATTTAACAGTATTTATATTATCAACTCCCCAATTTAAATTACTTATATATTTTGATCTATTTATATCCCATAATTGAATTTGTGCACCTCCTGTTACAAATATTGAATCATCCCTATGATGATCTATACCTTTAAAAGAATGTTCACCATTAAAAATTCTTATTAATCCTTGATTTTTATTTGTATAAATTTCATCATCAGTTATAGTTTGATCAAATTCTTCACTATCAACAGACCATAACTTTATCAGTTTATCATCTCCACAACTTAACATTTGATTTTGCGGAGTAACAGTTAAACCAGTAACCATTCCATTATGACCTTTAAAACTTGCAGTTTCTAATCTTGTTGTTAAATTCCAATATTTTATTATACCATCACCTGAACCACTTGCAATTTGATTTGTTGCATTATAATTTTTTGCAATTACATAAACGCCATCTCTATGACCATCACCTAATTGACCTATAAATGGTTGAGCAAACATTCTTTCTAATTTTGTTGCTTGTAAAGCTCTTGTATATTCTCTTGCTCTTTCAAATGGATGTAATGCAGGATTTAAATTTCTAGGAAGTGAACTTTCTTGAGTATTTCGTACAGGTACATAAGTATCTGACGATCGACTTATTGTTTTTATCTTCATTATTGAGTGTGGGTGTGCGTTATATGATGTTTGGATCTATTGATTGTTTGTTAGTAGTATTGATTTAAATGTCATCTCATTATGAGACACTAAATCAAAACTTTTTTTTTCACTATCAAATGGTTATCAATTAATTTATAATAATCCCTAACTTCAACGATGTTTTAGTTTTATATCCACAACTAACTCATATATTAAGTATATACGACTTATATTATTGATTAATATTTTAGAATATCATCAGACTCATTCTACAGAATTATATCATAGAGGTTTTGTTCGATATAAATAAGAATAATCAGATTACGTAATAACACTAAATTAAGTTTCAATCATTTAGATAACTATTGATCATATAGTCGAATTTTCATTCGGCAAGATCAATCGTCAAAGATGACAAAAGAAAATAAATAGACTTCTTCAAGTGTTAAGGTTAATGAAATTTTGAATACAGGAAAGGAAGATTCGAATATAATGGAGAAACGAGATTCAACACCTAATCCAGGAAAAACTACAAGGTTCGTCAGACATCAACGAAAATGAATCCAACTTATCAAAGAGGACTTTGCGAGATTTGTTGCATTTTTAAAAGATGCTTGGTTTCGAGAAAGTTTTTATGTCAATTCAAAAACAAAATCAAAAGACCAGAAAGATGGAAGAAACAACTCAATCAGACGTTCAAAATTCTTAAAGATCAACTCCATCCTACTATTTCCCCCCAGTAGTATATGTGGTCTGATCTTCCATTACCCATAGGATGATAATTTTGATGAATTTACCAATTTGAATTTGAATAAATTTAATGCTTATCTAAATTTAACCACTTGATCTTGATATGGTTCTTTCTGATTGGAATAAGATAATGTAAAAACTTGATCTTACTCAAATTTTTGCATTACCTTATTCCAATCCGAAAGAACTAGAATCAACTTCATGAAAATCAGAAAAGAGATGCGAAGAAAAGATAAAGAGTCCAGCAAAAATATTAAAGAAAATCTGCAAACAACCTCAAATGAAATGGTTGAAAGTATAACAAGCAGTTACGGGATTAGTAATTCGGTGAATAAGTACTAAATGTACTTTGAAAGGTATATAAAGTACTTGTTCACTGAATTATTAATTCCTTGATTACTTGTTATCTGACCATTTCTCTTTTTACGGAGCTTTAATATAAAGAGAAACTTCAAGTATCTCTAACTCTCTACAAATTCAAATTTATAAAATTATTATTATTATTATTATTATTATTAAAATTCTATTAATGTTATTACAAATACGTATAATAGCATATATATATAAATATGTATGTATGATAAAAATTTATTATTATGCTTAGTTGAATAAAAATAAATTAGCTTTAATACTTCATCAATTCTTCTTGAATGACTAGTAAATTTGATTAGCTAATTAAAATATTTCCATTTGTATCAAACTTTTAACGAAGTAAAGTCCTGCTTTATTGATGAAAACAAGAAACAAAGATTCTATAGCTTTGAAAATTATATTGTATTAAAACTGTGTAAGTTGTAATGTAGTGAATTAATGAATGCAATTGATTTATTTGTATATATAATTATATTAAAAAACCTCAAAACCCCAAAATATCATAGTGATATATCTAAAACTAAAGCAACATTATCAACAACAGGTTTAGCTAAATCTTCTAAAAATGGTAATAAATCTAATAATTCATTATCATGAGTATCACTAAACCATGAACTTATTGGTATTGAATGTTGAGGATGAAATAAATAAGAAGCAGGTGAATTATCAATAATAATAATATCTTTTAAAGGTCTACCAATTTGTGATAAATTTTTTATAAAATTTCCTTGATAATTATAACAAGAATCTCTAAATAATCTATGATGTATAGAATTATTAAAATCTAATTTATTTAATAATGGATCTCCATATTTTGAAACTGAAGCAGTAAATACAACAACTTCATATAATTTTCCAACTTTTTGTAAAAATTCATCAACTCCTGGTCTTTTTATAACATAAACATGATGAATTTGATTATCTATTTCAACTGGTATTACAAAATCTGCTGTTCTTAAATATTTAAATGATGAATGTACTAAAGTTTCATCTAAATCTAATATAAGACATTTTTTATTTGAAAATTTTGAAGATTTAAAACCTAATAATGATCCTGTTTCTTCATCATGTGCTTGACCTGTTTGTAATCTTGTTAAATCTAATGATGATGTGTTGGAGTGTAAATCATCGTTTTCATTATTATTATTATCACCATAATATTCATCTACATCTGTATCTATATCTTCTATCGGTGGTTGTGGTTGATTTGGTGTTGGTAATGGTTGTTCATTTGGACTTGCTTGTGCTATTATATCTCCAACATTTGTGGGGTTGTTACTGTTGTGGCTGATGTTGTTAGTGTTGTTACTGTTGTGAATGTTCACTTCATGAGACGGTACGTTCTGTGAAGATTTTGGTGTATGATTATTTGATTCTTCATTTGTATTTGTTATTGTATCTGTTTCATTAATAGAATTATCATCATCTAAATCTTTCTTTGTATGATTATGATTCTTCCGACTTTTAAAATTTTCAGATTGATTTATTTCATTTGAGGAAAGTATTTGATCTGGATTTGGGTTTAAAGGTTGTGTTTGAATCTGTTTATTCACGTTATTATTGTTATTATTTTTAGTGGTTGATATATTTGAATTTGTTGAAGATGATGATGGATTTTTTGAACTTGAACCATTTGGTATTTGTTTATTATTTTGTGCTTGTCTTGATGAAGGTCTATCTTGATGTGTTGATGATGATTTAGATTGTTGTTGTTGTTGATTTTGATGTTGTTGCTGCATTTTATCTTCATTATCATCTGTTGTATCAGAACAGCAAAACAATGATAATACTCCCATACTTTTTGGTGGTGAATATATCAAAAGTCCAATTGAATGGGTTTATGGTTTAATGACGCGTTTTGATGGAGGTTTTTAAATGTTAAATTGGTTGTCAAATTATGTAAAAATTTCTGGTTATTATTATTATTTGTTTTTTTTTTCTTTTGATTGTTTGAACAAAATTTTATTTGGTGATAAAAATTATCACTAAAATTTAAATAATTCTATTGAAGTGTTCTTGTATCTTGTGAAATGGATGATGTATACTTATGACTGATTGATAGCTTCTAAAGGTATGTCTTTTGTTATATCATTTAGTTTAATTAAGTAAAGTAAATATAATAAAACGTTGATATTAAAGTGTTTTTTCTCTTTCTCTTTTTTTCATATGTCAAAATCTCTTTTTCTTTCGTATCGTTGAGTAAAAGAGTAATTGAAGTGTATACCTTAAAAGAGTAAAGTTAAAAGATATTTGTTATTGGTATTAAGTTTTGATTCAAGTAAAAGTTGATGAAGAGATTGTTATAATGTTATAAATAGGTTCAAAAGGTATGAACATCCAAAGAATAGATTAACACTGTCTTATTAGTGTGTACAAGTATTAGTTAAGAAAGTACTGTATAAAAAATAATCCTGATTAATTAAACTCCCTTTCATAACAGGATTATACTGGTTAAAATCAAAATAGAGTTAATATACAAATTTTAGTTTCAGCAGGTCTAATCCTATTTTCAAAAGATATCAATTTTATTGGTTGCTTTTCAAATAATTTAATTATCAAATTCTTCAATTTTACTATTCTTCGACACGCTAATCGGGCAAATTACGTACCAAGTTATTAGTATTGGAACGAAACCTTTCTTGGCTCTGATCATCCTCAATTAAAATTGGTTATTCAGTGTGATATTCTTTCATCTTAGTTGGATGGTTAATTATACCCTTAGTCGAAAATTAAGTTTCGTATTTTCTACCAAATTCGAATAATCTCGTATATTTTTAATATGAAAACCATTTTAAATAAACTATCCGATTTGATCCTTTTCAACAAATCAATTTACTCAGAATAGAAACTAGGCATCAGATTAGTTCACTCTGATGTTTGGTTCATTGAATATTTTAATAACTCTTAGGTGTATCAAATTATGAGCTAACCATTTCACTTTATTATTCTACAAGTTGTATAAATCTTAATCTACTTACCTTTTTTTGCTACACAATGGCTTCCGATCTAAGTGGATTTTAGTAGTTATAAATGAATGCCATTGATTTCATGATTAAAACTCTCTTTCAATGAGAAATTATCATACTTTGTGGTAATAAAACACCTATTAAAAGGTGTAATCATAGATCAACCAGCCATTTAAATCTAAATTTGCTGCAAAAAAAATTGTTAAGTAAAGAACGAGAAATTAAATTAAATAAAAATCCCTTAAATTACAACCAAAAAAAAAATTAATTCAAATTTAACAGGACGTGTTTCATTAGATCTATAGCCTACAACTTATTCTATCCATAGTACATCGGCACATTGGACCAACTACATCTCCATTCTTTGATTTGAAGTATCTACCACTACATTCACAATTGCTATAAATTCTTCCATTCATTCATTTGTTGTTGCTAAAAGTCACGTATCACATAAAAGCCAATCTTAAATCATGTCAAATCCATTTTTAGTACCTCAAACTCCACCAAGATTCAAATCAAACAATAATAATAAAGTATCATTTGATAATGATAGTCATATTGATAATAATCAAAAACATATGAATAATTATGAAACTCCAAATAGACCAAATAAATCAATTTTATTAACTCCTTCAACAATAAGTAAGAACAATAATCATAAAACTTCTATATTTGATCAACCATCACATTTACATCCACATTCACATTCACATATAAGGAGGAAATCTAATTCATCAAATTATAACAAATCATCATTTCCATTTACACCAAAAACTCCACAAAAATCACCTACGAAGTCTCAAAATCAATATCAAACGTCTACATCAAATCATCATATATATAATAGGAAAAAAAACTTAAATGATATATTCTTAGAATCATCATCTAATACAACTAGTTCATCATCTAATGCTGCATTACTAACTCCTAGCAAGAATGAAAAATTATCATTTGGTTTATTTTTACCATCACCTTCTACAGTTGGTAAAGGTAGAAATTATAATTCTATTAATAAAAATTTAAATCATAGTCCTATATTATTTGATAAAAAGAAGATTGAAGAATTGAAGAATTTGAAACCTTCATATTATGAAGAAGAGGAAGATATTGATGTAGAAACAGAGGATGAAATACTAAAAGAAGAAGAACAAGATGACCCAGCAGAATTGAAAATACCATCGACTCCTAAAAAACAATTAATAGATGATATAAAAGTAAAAGAATGGCATGGAAAACTGTTTAATAATAAATTTTTAGATGATGAAGATGATGAAACTTCAATAATGACTTTAGAAGATACAAAAAAAATCCCCAAAATAAAGTTAATAAATCCATTTTTAGAAGATGATAATGAGAATAATGATAGAAAATTCACTAGTGGGGTCCATCTCAATGATCAACATTCATCTAAACAAAAAGACATAAATTATAATACTCATATGGAATTAATTGATAAACAAGGTAATAAAAAAATTATAAAATTATCAAAAAATCAATTAAAATATAAACCAAAAAAATTAAATTTTGAAAATATTTAAAAATATTATATATTAATCGATACTGATAATTCTAGAGCCTAGATAGTAACATGAATTTAAAAGTCCAAATTGTATTAGCAACCTAAAGATATTTCAAAAAGTTGGAAGAACCAAGTTTGCCGAAATCAGATTTAAAGAATTTAAGAGTAGTTCCAAGATTGTTAATGGGAAAGTTATTTTATGTTGGACTGGATTTCAATAATTTGTATCAATGGGGAGCTGCAATTGTCATTCGAATCATACAAAAAAGGACGATTGGGAATTACCAAAGATCAGGGTCTTTATGCGCAATGAGATTGAAATATGGTTAGAAAGCGGAAGTCAAATAATAAGAAGAAAATACTAAATATTATTTTATTAATTTTGGGCGTGAAATTTGGACATGTAATATACATATCGGTACTATTTCTGGAAAAAAGTACATCTTAATTCAAGTCCATCACGAATTCGAGAATTTAAATCAAAAATGGACAATTTAAATTTAAATTAAACTTTATAGATAATGCATTTATTTTATTGCAGTATATGAATTTATATTCATTTCCTTGGTGTTGTATAACTAAATACTCTTTTTTTCCAATTCTTTAAACCCCATAGTTATGTCGATACAAGTAAACTTGAAACACATCAAAACTTTTGAAAGAGAATTTTGAAAAAGTTAAGAGAATTGACACGATGAATATACCAACAGAATATTCAGAAAGATTTGTATGATCAATTTGGTGCAATATCACCAAAATTGAAATACTCACTTGGTAGTGTACAATCCCACTAGCCAAGCTCTCATCATATATAACGTCAAATTAATGCCATGAAAATTTGCACCAAACATATTGGTTTTATTTCTTTTCTTTTCTTTTATGCTTACCGCCTGAATTAAGAACTATGTCTTTCTCTCAACAAATTTTTACTAGTTCCGATTGGAGTATTCGCATAAAAAATATCACTCTTGGTTTGAACTCCGCTCTAAAAATCTCAGCCTCACTTGGAATGGATTAATTCCCTAATTAAGATTCTCTCTTTCTTTCTCTCTTTTCTTCTCTCTTAACACAAATAAATTTATTCCTATCCAATCATTCAATTAATATTAAATTTATAATCAAATTACATATATATATATACAAAAAACTAATAACAACAAGTTACCATTACCATTCATCTGTATCAAGAATTAGAAGACCAATCAGACTATACTAGTTAGAAACAAATTGAATCATTCAATTTTCAACAGCAGGAAAAGAATTTAAAAGTTTGAAATAGATATCACCAATTTTAATATTTTTCTACGGTACAAAAGGCAACCAACCACATTTTCATTACTTTAGCCTACTTACTTCCATCAAAACAAGTCATTTTCAGATAAAACTTGTATAGAATCAATTTAACTCCTTAGATCATCACCAATCTCATCAATTAAAGTCTTCAATCAATTACTCGATCATATCTTTTTTCATAATTATCCGAAAAATCATCAATAAAAAGAATAAACTATATCTCATTTAATAATTTCAAAATCTTATCATATGAATATCTAAAATAACAATCAATTTATGTCAGACTTTTAGCTTTTGAATATCAACACTTTGACTTTTATTCACTTCTTTTCTATCAATAGAAAATCAAGATACATCAATAATCCGTACAAGGGATTTCCTCAAAGTAACAAGCCACATACATTAATATTCATTTTTAAATTAATTCACTAAATCATTTGATTAATCACGTTTCTCAACAATCTTAATATATAATCACATAATATCCGAAAAAATGCCAGATAAACATAAATTAAAATTATTTTCAAAACATCATAAACATCATAATAATGATGGAAATGAATTATCACCATCAACTTCAAATCATTCAACAGGTAGGAAATTTCTAGGTTTTAATATTGGTAAACATGATTCAATGGAAAGTTTAAATAGTCCAACTGGAACAAATTCACCAGATACTTTACATCAACAACTACAACAACAACAACTTAGTAATAATAATAATAATTTAACATCACATCAACATAATAAATCAACTACTGCATCACCAAGTTCATCTACAACTCCCATAATTCATAGTCCTGTTGCTGGTCTACCTCAAGAAGATCATAATCAATCTTTACTACATCCAGATGATCAACCTTTAAAAAAACCATCTGGTTCAATGGTTGAATTAAAAAGATTTTTTAAACCTACAAAAAAATTATCAAATCAAAAAGCAACAAATGGACAATATTCAAATCATTTACATTCACCTCCACCTATTGCATCAAATAATTTAACAATTCAACAACAACAGGTACAGATACAACAGCAACAACAACAACAACAACAACAACATTCAGGTCCATCAAGTAATGCACCATCTAGAGAACATTCAAGTACATCATTAGCCAATATGATTAATCAAACATCAACTCAATTATTACAAAATGCATCACATTCAACAAATAATAATCGAGATCCTTTCACTGATGATAATTCACCATTAGTTAAAAAATATGGTAAAATTGGTAAAGAATTAGGTAGTGGAGCAGGTGGTTCAGTAAAATTAATAACAAGACCTTCAGATCAAAAAACTTTTGCAGTAAAAGAATTTAGAGCAAGAAGATCAACTGAAACTTTAAAAGATTATACAAGAAAATGTACTGCTGAATATTGTATTGGATCAACTTTAAAACATCCAAATATTATAAAAACTATTGATATAATTCATGAAAATAATAGATATTTTGAAATTATGGAATATGCTCCAATAGATTTTTTTGCAGTTGTAATGAGTGGAGAAATGTCAAGAGCTGAAATAAATTGTTGCCTCAAGCAAATTTTAGAAGGTGTTAATTATTTACATAGTTTAGGTTTAGCTCATAGAGATTTAAAATTAGATAATTGTGTTATTACAATGGATGGTATATTGAAAATTATAGATTTTGGATCAGCAGTTATTTTTAAATATCCTTATGATCAATTTGGTAATTCAAAAGATAGTATACATCCATGTCATGGTATTGTTGGAAGTGATCCATATTTAGCTCCTGAAGTGTTGAAATCGCCCAATTCTTATAATCCTCAACCTGTTGATTTATGGTCAATTGCTATAATTTATTGTTGTATGACTTTAAAAAGATTTCCTTGGAAAATCCCCAATGCTGAAAAAGATAATAGTTTTAAATTATATTGTATGCCAGATGATAATTTTCATGATTATTATTTAAGTAATGAATGTCATAAATTATTATTACAACAAAGAAAATTAAAAAATATGATTGTTAGATCAAATAAAAAGAAAAGAATGATTGAAGAAAATGAATTGGAAGATATAGAAAAATCTGAAACTAATAATACAAATAATAATGAAATTGAAGAAAATTCTGAAATACAAAAAATAGATTCAAAAAATGAAAAATTAATGGAAATCGAAATATTAAATGAAGAACAAGAAACTGAAATTTTAATACAATTAAAAGATATAGATCAAAAATTAGAATTTTATGAAACTAAAAAAAATGATTTAAAAAATCAATTTTTAGAACAAAGAAAAAATGATTCATCATATCTCAAGCAATTTGCTCAACAACAACAACAAGAAGAAGAAGAAAGAGAAAGACAACGAAAACAAGAACAACAAGATCAACAAGACAACACAACAGACAAGGAACAAACAACCACCACCACTAAAAAGAAATCATCTCATCATAAACAAATTCATGGACCTTATAGATTAATGAGATTATTACCTCATGCATCAAGACCAATAATAAATAAAATGTTACAAATAGATCCTAAAAAAAGAGCTTCATTAGATGAAATAATGAATGATGAATGGATAAAAGATATTCAATGTTGTACTTTAAAAAGAATTACAAGAAGTATTGATAATATAGGAGCAAATTTTGATGAAGATGATGAAGAAATATTGGTAAAGGGAATTCCACCACATGATCATACTGTTGTTTTGGAATAGAAGTTAAAGGAAGAAGTCTAATTTTAATTAGTTTAATGACGTTTTTGAATGAATATAATAGAAATTTAATGATGATTTTTTCAAATTATTCTATGTAGAGCATATCAATGATGCGCTTTGGCTCTCGTATTTTTTCTAAAGCGGAACTCGAATAAACATTGCGCACAAAATAGTTCAGATTCAACAATCTTAGCTGTAGATATACATACAACCTAGATCTCAATTAAGTCATAAAATAATCACCGAACAAAAGAAACAACCACTTACCTTCAAAAAATGCCAAAACCAATTCCACCTCATTTAAATCCAATACGATTGAAAACCAATCTTAAAATGTCAATATCAAAATTAAAATTTATTCAAGATAAAAAAATTGCAATAACAAAACAACAAAGAAGACAATTAGCAGAATTATTAAAACAACAAAAAGAATCATCTGCCAAAATAAGAGTTGAAAATATTATTCGAGATGATATATATATTGAACTTTTGGAAATTTTAGAATTATATTGTGAATTATTATTAGCAAGAATTAATTTAATCTTGGATAAGCCCATAATTGATAAATCTTTATTTGAATCAATTAGTTCTATAATTTATTCAGCTCAGTCTACAGAATTAAAAGAATTAACTTTAATCAAAGATATTCTTGTACTAAAATTCAATAATACCACGGAACCTATAAATAAAGAATTTTTTGAAAATTTAAATAATTATGTTCCAGATAAAATTAAAAGAAAATGTGAAATTGATCCTCCAAGTGATGAATTAGTTAATTGTTATTTAATTGAAATTGCTTTAGCTTATAATGTTCCTTATTCAGGATTAAAAAATATAAAATTAGATGATGACGAGGAAAATGGAAATGATATCACCAAAAAAGATGATGATAATAATAGTGATGATGGTGAAGGAGGAAATGGTACTAAGGAAAAAATTAAAGATATTGAATCCCCGCTAGCGGAATTAGCTGATAAACCTAGTGTTTCTAATAGTACAAAATCTAAGGTTGAACAACCAATTAAGCAACAAAATGATTTTGATGCATTAGCTGCAAGATTTGCTGCTTTGAAGAAAACACCAAAATAATATACTCACTGAATTCTTTCACTAAGAAAAGAAAATTAAAGGACTTTTTGAAATCAATTCGATAGGAGCTCATAATATGAATCGTAATCCTTTTTATTTTGGAAATTTACTTCATCCTATTGTTTTCAATTATAGAATTGATCATTGGATAAAATTTTACTTTCCAAATTAACGGATTATTTGTAGTTATTTGATACCTTCAAGAGAAAGATTAAAGTTAAGAGTCTTATTCTGACTTATAGAGGCTTGTAAGAGCATCAAATGTACTGAATCAGTCACTCATGCTTGGCTGAATATAACTTTCAACCTACTGGAATAGACAAAGACTAGACGTTGTAAAGACACGGTAAAATCTAGGTACATAATTGTTTATTCATATCTAGTTCTATATATCTCAATTCCAAATACCCTAGGTTCAAACTTTTTTTACATAACTTGTCGGAAACATACCTTTTACTCCATTTAATTCTCCTTCAGTCCATCCATTACCTTCCGTATCATCTTGAACCAATATTATTCTATCACCTGCATGTATAGTCAATTCATCATCTCCATCTGCTTGATAATCATAAAGAGCTTCTAAATATTGAACTCTTTTTGCTCCTCTTTTTGGTGCTACTGTTGGTGGTGCCAGTTTTTTGGGAGTAGTAGTAGTAGGTGTAACTTGTTTAATAATTTCTATATATGATGTTGGAACTAATCCTTGACCTTGTGAACTTTTAACTAATGTCCAACCTGATCCATCATCTAATTCTATTACTGCTATTTCTTCACCAGATGTTATACCTGTTTCATCTGCACTTGTAGGGGAATATTCATATAATGCTCTAGCAATTGAACCTCCATCTCCACCACCTGTTCTTGAACTAAATGTTGATGTCGTGGTTTTGTTTCTTCTTAGGTTAAAAATCCCACTATGAACTGAATTATTTGTTTTAACCGTATGTAGTGATTGATTATCATCATAATTTTGTGTTTCTCCGTTTTTAGGATGGGTTTTCTTTTTCAAAAATCCAAATCTAGATTTTTTCTGAGTGACAGGAGTTGTATAACTTAAATCTTTATCACCAGCAAAATTTTGAATTATTTCTATTTCAACTTCATTTTTAACTCTATTAGTATCTTCTTTCATAAATTTACTTAATAACGTCAATGAATTTTGTAAACCTCCATCAAATTTTAATGTAATGTTTTCTTCGGTCTGTTTCCTTTGATTCGTACTTTCTTCTAGTGATTGTTTAACGTCAAGACATGCATTTTCTAATCTATTATAATCATTTGTGGCTGAGTTTAATCTCCTTCTTAATTCAGTAAGTTCTGGTTCTTTAATAATTAAACTTTCATCATCATGCCAAAAGGAACAAGGTATAAAATAAAAATCTTGAGGTTCGGCCCAATTAATCGTATTATGTTTTATAAACATTGCAATATCTAATTTTGGATTATTTTTATCAATTGTTTTGTCTATTGTATGAAGGCTTTCTTTTATACGATCCAACAGATTTCTCTCTATGATATTTGCATTTCTTAATAATTTATTCAATAATGATACTCTATCTTCATTTAATTCTTGTAAATAATCTAGTATTTCAGGTATATCTTGATAATAATATTTATCTTTTAACCTATTTGCTATATTAATTTTTATTAGATAGGCATTTTTCCCATTATTCATTTCCACTTCTTTTTCTTCAAATTTCCTTTGATGTTTATCACTAGGTGCTTTTTGATTTTTATCTCTTGCAGTTTCTGCAGCTTGACATAACGTGTTGTAATGCTTGTTAGACTTATTTACTTCTTCTTCAATTCCCTTCTTTTCACTGACAAGGTAATCATGAATCAGTGAAATTTGTCTTTCTATCCTTTCACATTTTCCTTTTAAACTAACCAAATTATCTCCAACTTTCATTGTTAATTCATGACTAAATTTGGATTTCTCTTCGGCAATTGCCTCTGTTTGTGTTAAAACTTCAGTCCATAAAACAACAGATGCACTCTCTAGTGATCCTGGTGTAATTTGAGGTTCATCACCAACTGATAAATTTGATGATACTTTAGCCTTTTTTTCAAAATATCTTTTGGTTAATTCTTTTAATTTATTTGAATATTCTTTTTCAATTTGTGCCCTCTCTCTATAAAATTGGTCTATATCACTTAAAAAATTGATCCCATTATTGATCCAGTTAGAAGTAGCTTTGTAAGAATCCTTCAACTCATTACCAATTGATAGCTGTTCAAGTGACATTTCTTTGTCAAAGTTGAGTTTTATATTTCAACTCCGTAATTGATTTGAGTATGGAAAAATAAAAATTACATTGATCTTACAATAGACTATGCAATTAAAGAGATATTGATAACACATTCAACTATCTAAGTACTACAAATGTCAAGACGACATCGACTACTTGAATTAGCGAAGAATACAAGGGACAATTATGTACCGAGAATATCTACATCTGTCAATTCGTTAGCTACAAATGCATCAAGAGTATTCATAAACAATCCGGATGTATACGATGAAGATGGAAATTTAATACTACCTAAGGATACTACGATACAATTATACCCAACATACACACGACAACAAAGAGATAAATATTTAGTAGATGTTTCTGGATTAGTCTTTGCTCCAGGTGCTCCAAATAGGAAAAATAGACTCATTATGTCTGCCATAAATAAAGTTATCAAAGAAAAAGACAATTTTGTAGCAGAACAAGAGATAGTTGAGTTAGAGAATGATAACAAGTTCAATCAAGAAGTATTTAATGCAAGTAGGGGACAAGATTCCGATACAGAATCAATTTCTTCTAGTGATTCGAATAGATCAAGTATCCTTAATCAAAGTTATAATGGTACTAATTCTCCTATAATACAAGATAGAATTAAAGAAAGATTAGCTGGATTTTTAGCCAAGTCAGTAGCCAATGCCCATTTAAAAATATCAATTGGATCAGAAAACAGCAATGAGAAGAATATAACGGAGCATGAAATCATTTCGGATAAAAGTGGAAATTTTGAAACCACAATTGAAGTAAATTATAAACCATCGATAATTATTGCAAGATCAGTAGTCGATGAAACAATTTTCAAAATTGGTGAAGTTATGATTATTCCAAACTCAGGTCTTGGGATCATAAGTGATATTGATGATACAATAAAACATACTGGAATCACCGGTAGTAGAAAAATAATAATGAAAAATTTATTGACAGGTACAATTGATAGCTGGTCTATCAAAAACATCATAAATTGGTATAAAAATTTGTATTCCAAGGACGTTAATTTTTTTTATGTTAGTAATTCACCTTGGCAATTATTTGATTGTATATATGAATACATTGATGCATCAAAACTACCTCATGGCTCAATACATTTGAAAAAATATTTCGGTAATATAATGTCAATAATTTTGGAACCGTCACAATCAAGGAAAAGAAAGACATTGCATAAAATATTGACTGATTTTCCAGATAAAAAATTCATATGCATTGGGGATTCAGGAGAAGTTGATCTAGAAGCTTATGTTGATTTAGCAGTGGATTTTCCTAATCAAGTGTCCAAAATTTACATTCGAGTGGTGAGTCAGTCTTTGTCTGATATGGATGATAATTCCATCTTGGATCAAATAAGATATTTGATTGACACGTGGAAATTGAAGAAATCTGAGGCTTCGAGGTATCAAAATATACCAAAGCCATCAACACCGCCTCGAGAGGAAACCCCCGATTTAATAGATTTATCAGATCCTCCACCGGCTAGGAAATTTACTCCAATAAAACCAGCCAAACCATCAAATTTAAAAGGAAATGCAATTGACAAAACGGTTATACCGATAAATCACCAACATCCACCAACATCATCAAATGTAGCATCAGATGGAAGTCCTATAAACGGTGAATCAGAAGTTGCACCACCTCCTTTACCCCAAAGAAAAAGAACATATGATGAGGAAGATCAAGAATTTGCAAGTATTTTTGATACTCAAGGTTTTAAAGATTTAGAGATTTATGATAGAAAAGGTTCACAATGGATTAGAAGAATTATAGAAGCTTTACTAATGTTAAGAAACACAAATACAACTTTGGAAATTTTTATGGATGACGATAATGAATTCTTTAAAAAGAGTTGTGATTATGTGAAAGAACTAAATAAATAGAAATTTTGACTAATTGTTATGATCGAATGTGTTCTGTTGTGTAACTCTTTTATTGTAACTAAGTACCGTTGTTCTCGACACTGCCATTGGTATCATCACCGTCATTATGCGTTCCATTCGACTCTCCATTTTCATCTATATGAGTCTGACCTTCAATATTATTTTGCTTTTCTTCTTCGGCTTGGTAGTACTCTTGTACATTATCTCCATCACCATAGTCCTTAAATGTTTCAGTACTATCATCCGGTAGACTACTTTTGAACTGTGATAAATCCCAAGATTCGTCTCCGTCATCTTCTTCTGTGTAATATTTGTTTGAAAATTTCTCTAATATCACTTGTCTGCCTGTTAATGGTCTTCTACCAGATTTCTTTTCATCTTCTTGTTTTTGATTTTCTTTCTTTAGTTTTTGATCTATTTTCCATTTTTTAAATGTATCCATATTTATTGGTGTGAAAGAAGTTTTATCTAATTTGCTTCTCTCTAATTCTAAGAACTCTTCTAGTGTTATTTTTGGTTCATTTTCTGCCGCTAGTTTCTCAAGTCTTTTTTGTTCTTTAGTTTTCAATACGAATCCTGGAGGTAATGAATGTTTATATTTACACTCGTTACCACCATTCGGACAAACCCAAAACCATCCATATTTCCCATTCTCTACTGCATCAATAAAATATTTACAAACTTTATCAGTAGTAGTTTTAGGGTTACCATGTTTTGATAAAATGACACTTCTTAATTTATCCTCATCCCAAGTATCCATAGTATCTTGTTCCTTTTCATCTCTGGCATCTGTGTATAAATCTTTTTTCACATCTTTTCTTCCTACATTTGGATCATGACTAAATTTACATTTATTTCCTTTAGTACAAACGCCTTGTTTGAAAAATTCACAAAATATTGATTTAGGATCCACTCCAAATGGTACTTTTTGTTGTTGTATTCCGAATAATTTGGCAGCTTCTCTTTTGGCTTCCTCTGCTGCTTTCTTCTCTTCTGCTTTACGCTTTGCTTCTGCTTCTTTCCTTTTTGCTAATCCTCCATCTACACCTGCTTGTAATTGATTTATCTGTTGTTGTACTTTCTTTGACTTGTTTTTATTTTTCATACCAAATGCCTTGTCTTCCGCAGACTTAGCCTTAGCTTTGGCCTTGTTCTTGTCAGATGGCTGTCCTTGTTTTTTCTTTGGTGGCATTCTCGTGTAGATGTCTTGTGATGATTGAGAGTCTTTGAATCAGATTGAAATTTTTTTTAATGGCCCTTTTTTTCTTTTTTCAAGCTAACAATTTCGTTTGAGCAACCAAATGACGTAAGAGAAGAACATACGGCTGAAGCAGAGAATGTTTTTGTCATCATAAAATTCATAAATTTGATAAAATGATACATCGGTCTACTTACTTCTTTTTTGATCTCTTCTTTGATACAAGACGAATTCCATTATCAGGAGCAACTGTTGGTGTAGCTGTTGAATTTGTATTTGTCGCGTCACCTATAACGTTTGAAAAAGATGGTTTATTTGAAATCAACGGAGTCTTGAAAGATGTTGGCATTGATATTGTGGATGGTGTTTGATGAGGAGTCTTTTGATTTTCAAAACCCACTGAATTAACTGTCATTGGTGTTGATATATCTCTTGGTTTCAAAGTTTTACTTCTGAATGGTATATATGATCTTCTAGTGGAAACAGCAGGCGATGGTTCGTTCTCTCCTATATATTCCAACAAGTTGTTCCTAAATGATGGTGTTGATGTTAAAGTTTTATTTAAAATAGCTGAAACTTTCTTGTCGTAAGTATTTGGAGCACTTTCAATGGGAGTTTGCGAATACGATGGTACTTTGCTATGTCTCAATTCAGATGCTGAATGTATTGCAGTATTTCTTTTCTTAGCCTTCTCCGTAGTAGTAAAAAAACTATCAAAGTCGTCTAGGGCTGCCCACATATTACTTAATAATACTTCTGGTTCCTCCACACTCATTGATATTGTGTCTTGTGTATCTTGTGGTGCATTTGGACTATAATAATCTTCCATGTGGAATTGAATTTCTTCATCATGATCATCTTGTTGTTCCTTATCTTGTTCTTCATCAACAACTGGTATACAAGTTGAAAATACTGCATGAACATTATTCCTCGTGCTTGCAGATGTTACTGCTGGCATGGGAATAGACCAACCACTTTCTTCCGGTATTCCAAACAATGTAGCAGTATTCTCATATTCCTTTTTGACAGCAGTATTACCAAGACTCATTCTTAAAATATCTTTATCTAATTGAGAACCAGAAATGATATCAGCCTCATCTAATACCTCCAATGCAGAATCAGCAAAATTCGTTAATAGTAAACGCAATAACGGTGAAATTAAGTCAGCTCCCAAACCAATAAATTCTTCTTTCCTGAAGTCGATATGAGGAATTATAGCCTTTAAAAACACCAACACTTGCTTTCTGAAAAATTCAGTGGTATTTGATAGCATTTTCAATAATGAGATTAAAACCATTACTTCATATTCGGGAAAAAATAATGATTGAATTGTTGTAACAGTTTGAATTAAAAAGTCTTTTTTGGATCTGAATTTATTTTTGGATAATGAGACTAAAATTTTAGCCAAAGCTGGTTTATTAGAAGCTTCAGCTAGTTTACTAATACCAACAGCAGTGGTTTCAATTTCCGGTGTAATTGTATTATTTTCTAAAGCATCCAAAAATCTAGGCATGTTCGCAATTAAAGCTATGATGATTCTGGAATCACCAGTTCCAACAATTTGAGAGTCTTTTAATCTCAATAAAGTATCAATAAAATTTAATGTTGGTTCCCATGAAGTAGATGATCTCAATCCAACTGTAACAATTTGTTGTAATCCTTCAAATTTACCTTCCCATTTTGGTGGAAATGTTGATATTAAACAATTAATAGTATCCTGAGCATTCAAATCAATTTTCAGAATAAATTTATTCATCGTTGATAAGACTTCAATAAATTCTTGTTCATGAATTGTACTCAAACAAGCGACACTGGACCAAAATAATTGTGGATAATCAATTAATTTTTGAGAATCTAATTCAGCAGCAATAGCATTCAAAGTCATTAAAATTTGCATTGCAAATCCTTGAATATCTGCAGTTTCATCAGAAATAGTGTTTGATAACCTATGAAACATTGCTTTCAAAATATTTAAATCCAAAAATGATATAAGAACTCTAAAGATTTGAAATGATCTACAAGCACTGTGTCTGACCGCGCATGTTGTACCCCAAGTTAATGCGATTCTACTCCAGTCATCTTGTAAAGTTGGAGCGATATTGTTGAATATATGAAGTATGTTTCTGACCAACATAATCATTTTGTTTGGAGTTCTAGCACCTTTCTTATCGTTATTTAAATCATCATACACCCAAAGGGATTCACCTGTTTTATCACGCAATAAACTTATAATTTCTTTAGCTTTGGGTTCACTTATTGCTAATGAATGGATTAAATGTATCAATAATCTACTAGCTTGCTCTCTAACAATTACTAAATAATGATCCAATAATGTCAATGCAATATGTAATAATAAGGGCAATTTTTGTAGTATGAAATCATTCTTGCTATTGATCAAATCAACTAGAAATATCATTGATATTTGTCCCATCGAAAATGCTGCATCCTTCTCACAATGTAACGTAGTTAAATCTGCCACATATGGAAAACTTTTAGTTAAATTAAGTTTAATGGATTGTGGTTGTGGAGGAATCATCATTTTAGGTTGTAAATTTTTGATTAATTTTTCAACGACGTACAATTTCTCAGGATGTGAAAATGCTAAATAATCTATAACTTGTCTTGATTTGGAAACAAACAATGTATTTCTACTATCTAAACAAGTTTTTAAAATATAGTCAACAATGATATCAAAATTTTCTTTTGTTCCAAGTGCAATCCACATGGCTTCCAATTCTGTGGAGCTATTCGTCTCATATTTTATCGATATCTCAAATAAGTTATTTAAAATCATATTTGATGTTGCCTCTAATTGATTTGGTTCCTTGTATTTCAAAGCTATGTTTTTTAAAATAGTAACCATAATGATGGACAATGTTTTTCTAGAATTTTCATCAACAAAATTGAAAAAATTGAACAAAATTGATAATCTGATATGCGAGGTTTCAGCATCAGAGTTTAGGGATTCTGATAATTTAGCCAATGCTTTTCTTCTCATTGTCAAACTTTCTCCGCATATGTCTTCCACAAAGTCTTCAAGATCACCTTCAACAAATAAACTGCTCAATAAAGTAATAGCAGATTGTCTGACATCGAAATTTTGATTACCACATAATAAACATCCTAAAACAACCAATTCGTCTAATAATTTTTTTTCAACTTTAGGCTTTTTCACTAATACATCCACATATGTACAAAAGTAGATCGGCATGGATTTTTTGGATGTACAGCATTGTCTTATGGTGGATGATTGAATATCTGTGTTGTCGAAATTGTTTGTCAATAAATTTCTTAAAGCATATTTCCCAATTTCATTCACTTTATCATTATCTGATTCCAATAATGATTGAATCCAATTCAATAAAACAGGGACGTCAAATGAAACAACCACCAAATCTTCAATGTTTTGTTTGATTTCTCCAGAACATAATATAGCCATACAACTTAATGCTGAATTTTGTAATTTCTTCTTTTCAAATTCCAATAATGCTATCGCTGATGCCGAGTCTTTTTGTTGTTGATTTATGTTTTTTGTTATAATCGCGTAACGCTCTTCTGAAACTCCAGCAGAATCACCATAGCCACACCATTCTTTCAAATAATTGAAACATGATATTCTTGCTTCGAATGGTAACCATTTGTCCAATAAGGTTTTATCTCTAAGGCCTAAAAATACATTTTCTAAAAAGACACAAAAATATCTTCTCAATCTTTGAAAGTCTATATCTATTTGCACAGAACTGATAGTTAAAAATGTCTTGACATTTTTCACCACTGATACTAGATTTGCTATAATTGTATCATCATCATAAATCATTTCATTGGATTTGAATTTACCTGTCAAATTCATTAATATATGAACAATTTCAATCCTAAATCTATCTTCTGCGAAATCTCTTTTTCTTATGTCGGTATTCCATTCATTGATCGCTGATGGTATATTCTCTAAAAAGGTTTTGAAAATATTGATGTTTATTTGACTCAATCCAACTATTACTGCTTCTCTTACCATTAATTGTTGAGATTTTAGTAAAGGTAGAACCATTCTAAAAATAGATTTTGCACTTGTAATTTTCTGATGTTGAATGAACATTTGTAATGATTTTTTTCTACCATGAGTAGGTTGTGAAGGGAAAGATATTTTTTGTTCATTCGTGGCAGTTAATGATGTGCATGCAAATATAAGATACAATCTCCATTGATTTACCAACACTTCTGGTGCAACATTGAATGAAGATTTTGATGCAAATATTGACGAAGTATTAAGTTTGTGACTATCCGAGTACTCCAAAATTAGTTCATACATTTGAACTAGACTTACACATACAATATTTCTGCACATAGCAACAGGCATAGGACACTTTTCAAACAAAATCTCTAATATTTTCGGGTATAATCTAAACCAAATGGTCGAATCAATTCCATGATCAGATTCAATGAGTTTGATTAAAATTTTTTTATCATTTTTTATTTTAGTCAACCTTTGACGTTCAGGTAAGCTTACTTCTTTCTTATACGGTTTGATTAAGTCATGAAAGTCTATTCCTTCAAGAACATGTATAATTCTTGTACCTACATCTGCAGCAAATTTGGAAGAACTTCTCGAATGCTTTTTTGGTGATGGATTTTCATTAATGGTGTCGTCGTTAGTTAAATTATAAATAGCTTGATCAAATTTATCAACTATACGTAGTATGTTAACACCACACGTTCTGACTTGAGAATCCTGAGAACAAATGAAAAATAAACCGTTACCCTCAACTTCCTCCACCAGGTTTATTATTGTTTTCCACTCTAATTCATCACTGGGTTTTGATCTTGTGACCAAATTCGATAAATCTTGGTTTTTATGATTTATTTGATATAACTCATTCAAAACATCTTTATTCATTAATTCATCATCTTGAGCCAATGGATTAGATACATCTGGTTTTTCAAGTTGAAACAGTTCATACCAAGTCTCAAGCAAATCAGTATATAATTTAAGTAATTTTATAAAACTTGGTGAGTTCAAATAAGTGGAATCATAAGTGGAGCTCGTTTTCTCAGACAATTGAAATGCAAATTTTGCAAAAATGGTTAATAATGTTGTGGGATTTTTCTTTTTCGATAATCTTTTCAATGCATTCATACAAGCGTTTTGGATCAACTCATTTTCGTGAATGGCATTTTTAGCAAGCAATTCGACAATTTGTTTGAATCCACCTTGAGACTCGTTAAAAGCTATTGTGAATGGTATGGAGTTTATTAAGTCAGCAAATAATTCTAAATGTAATGCTTTCGATGATGTTGTATCCGAGCCAAAATGAAAACCAAAAGATGATTGTGATTTTGCTGAACCTGATGAGGAGGACTTGCTTTCAATCATTGTAGAACCGTATTGTGCATCTAATAGCTTTAGTAATAGTCCGAAATTTTTACTTAATTCTTCATGTAAGGTAATATTGGTACTATTTTTAGCGACATATTGAAAATCACCAATTTCCTCTTCATTCATATTTTGATCAAAAATATCCACATAAGGGAATTTTGGTTTTTCTTCTTTTTCAAATTCTGATAGTAAAGCTAAGTATGATCTTACTACTAGGATCATCTTTTCTGGTTGTAAAGTATCTAGACTACCATTAAATCCTTGTCTCATCAACTTCGTTAACAAATGTTCTAACGTGTAGTTCAAATGGTTGAATCCAATAATTTGTATCATCTTGGTGAGTGCATGAATTAATTGAGGATCAGCAGTTAACCATTGACCCTTTTTTGGTAAATTGAAAAAAATCAAATTGAAAAGATCATCTAATCTTTTAACTGTTAAATTTAAAGAATCTGGAATTCTGTTGAAATAGACCCATAATAATCGAGTAATGCATAAAATATAGACTGTTTTGTCTTGTACATCCACCTTAGGTTTCAATTTGAATGAATTCGATTCAATGATTGAAAACCATACAGACGAAAATAAATCTTTTCGAGAAACCGATAATGTAGCAGTTATCACGTTTAATAAATGTGCCCAACCAGGATAGGGAACTGACATCGCTTTGTTGTAGATCTTTTCTATACCTTCATTCCAGCCTGGATCATTTGCTTCTGCTGTCAAATTATTAGCTAATGGTAATATTAAGTTGGCAATCGAATCACAATATGCATAAAGGATCGATTCATTTGTTGTCCTCTCGAAAAATTTTGCCAAGATTTGGATGAACTCTTTACTGTCTTCAAATAACTCTGGCGGATAATGATTTAGTTTTAAATATTGCATCCCTGATATTAATAGATATAGCTTCGGTTCATCCTCTTGTTTAATGTTTTGAGGTAATTTTTCTAAATCAAAAATAAATCTATCGCTTACACTCAAAAACCTCTTTTCAGACATAATTCCTAGTAATTGGGCAAACAAATTCCAATTAGCTGCACGAATGATTGACTGGCTTGTGCTAGCAGGGTCAGTTGTCTTTAATTGAGTATAAACAATTTCTTCCAATTTGTCACCTAGATCTTCACCCATTACCTCAGATGATGTTTGCTTAACAACTTCTATTAAAACTCGACATAGAATGTATATTGACACTAATGATTTTTTTTCTGCGTTGACAGCTGTTTGTTTAGCATTCGAAACCTGAATTTCTAGTAATTGTTTCCTTTTAAATTCATTGGTAGTTTCAATGGATGAAGCTGCAGATGCACTTGATTGATTTCGTCTGTGAGCCATTTTAGATAAACTTTTACTTCTCATTAAACTTAGACTTCGTTTTGCTGATGTTGCAGATTGAGCCGGTGATGCTCCGTTAGCATGATCATTTGAAGTTGCAATATTATTTGACTTTGCAAATTGTAAAGCTTTATCCACTTCCATAGCTGCCATTGTAGCAACTTCACTTTTAGATTTTCTCCAAAACATTACACTATCAATCACTGGTTTTGGTTTTCTTCTAGCAATGTATCCTAAAGAAGCAACAATCTTATCAAATTGTGGATCAGCTCCTTCTGCAAAAATTTTAAACAATGCTGATTCATTGTTGTTAGGATAATTTAAAAAAATATTCAATTTCCTTTCAGCATGACGTACAAATTGTGTAAAGATTATATGCAATGTATATTCCGCAGGTGTTTTGAAATCAGTCGCTAGATTTTTTCTGGAAATTCCAGTATGATCAATTGCTAGTACGTTTTGTAATGATAAAGATGATAATGGAGGTGGTAATTGAGGCGAAGGTTCTGTATGATCATAATTTGGAAGTATTGACATTGGTGATGCAAGCAGTTGGTTCAAAGATAATTTGGTCTTGATTTGTTGTTGAGTTTGCAGATCCCCATTCTGTTGTTGATAATCCTGTGGTGGCAATTGTGGATAGATTTGATGATTTTGTTGTTGGTCTGGTTGTTGATTTAGTCGTTGGTTTTGTAGTTGTTGAGGTGGATCTTGTAGTTTAAAAGTTGTCTTATGTTCTTTTAAATCATTTGGTAGGAAAGACAAACCAACAGTATAGTCAATATGTTGCGGAGCTATATCATTTTCTGCATCAAATGATAAACCTGAATGGTTTACGTCTTGCATTTCTGGTTCATGATCAATCGATATATTTGGATCTGATAATTTATGTATGTCTATTGAGTTTGATAATAAATCTGATGAGGAATTATTGGATGTGATAACAGTATTATTATATATTCCATTACTTAAATTATTGTTATTATGAAATTGATTAAATGATTTATCTGGTTGTGACTTTATATATAGATCGTTCAAGTCAGGTATTTCGATCATATCATTAAAATCGATCTGTTGGAGTTGCTATTGTGAAATTTATTCATAAAATAGTGTAACTGCTTTAGGCTGATTTCTATTCTTGAACTTCTGTTATGAATACTCTAGATAGTCTTGATAATATTATATAAGGTTATTGATCTCATAATATAATTTTTATGTAAGATTTTAGATTTCGTATTATTTTGTGTAACGAGTAACATAATAATATAAAATCGTATTTTATTTAGGCTATTAGCCTAAATCTAAACCAGAATATTAACTCCTTCGATAAATGGGGACTTGTACCCACTTATTTTCTTTCGAATTGGGGAGCTAACTGCAGCTAACTTTTTATACCGATTCTTACAATGGAATAGTCCTAGTGTTTACACATGAAGACATGCTATTTCACAAAATTAAAAACATATTTAAAATATTCTCCGACAATGGTTCAAAACATCAAATTTTTAAAGGATCTCAAATGGTCTGTTCAATTAAATCCTCAAGCTCAAGGCATGAATTGAATTAAGAATTGTCATTGTGCGTTAAGCTAAAAGATCTCCTAGCCATTCAATTTTTTTTGAGAAATGATGTCATGAGAGTTAATACTGCTATATACCACCTAGACGCCCAAACATTATTTTCAAATTTCATTCTTCATTTCAATTCTATATTCTATCGAATTCAATTTTATCTATGTAGCCTTGCCTCCGATCTCAATTCTATTTACATATAAAGATTTCTTGCCACTAATAAACATTACCATTAACAATATGACGTTTCTTATTTGTTTCTTTATAACCTCTAATTACGCTTAATCTTGGACAACTTAATTTTAATTCTTCTTCAAATTCATCTGTAACATGAAATTTAATCAGTTGATTCATTAAATTCAATTCAACTAATCTTGGACAATCTTCAATATTAATACAATCAATATTATCAATAGAATTCCAATTTAAATCAATTATCTCTAATTTTGGAGATGAAAATAAACAATTTTTAAGTCCATCGTCACCAATTCTATTTAATTCCAAATTAAGTGATTTTAAATTTTCTAAATTTTTCAAAGTACCATAAATTGATTTTAATTTAGATTTAATAATTGAAAAATTTTCTAAATTTTTTGGTAAATTATCAAAACTAAACAATTCTATATTGCAATTTTTTAATTTAAAACTTTTTAATTTGTAACACTTTGATATATTATAAAGATCTTTCTGCAAGTCATTTTTGATCAATTTTGTATCAGAGATTTCAAAATTATCAGGACCACCATAAAATGTTGTAATTCTAAAATTACAAGTAATATCAAGACTTTCAATTGTATCAGGAAAAGTTAAGTTTGATATATTACCAATTTCAAGACGTAATATTAATTCTTTTAAATAGCAACATGAATCAAACTTGTAATCAAAAAATTTGGATGATCTATCTTCTAAACGATCAACAACTCTAATTGTTAAGTCAAGACTCTTTAAATTATTGATATAAATATCATCTGGTTTTCTTGATGTTGTTAAAGTCAATTTCTCTAAATTCTTTTGATGATATAATTTACTCACTCCAGCAGATGAAATATCAAGTATTTTCAAATTTGGAGATATTTGTTCAGTAATACTAGTTAATTGAAAATCCCTAATAATTAAATGCTTAAGTCTGTTTAAATATATGAGATTTAATGGTTCAAATGAGGTTCTACCATTATCTTGAAGATTTAAGTATTCTAATTTTTTAGGGAATTTAACAAGCTCTATTCTGGCAAAACAAAAAATCATAGTCAATTTTCTCAAATTGATAAAGTTCTCATTTATAAAACTCTCATAATCGCCTTTAATAAAACTACTGATTACAAGTTCTTCCAAGTTAGGTAAATTTAATTGAAAGCCAAGTGTAAGACCACCAATGTCAGTCAATTTTAAAATTTTTAAAGTTGAAGGAAAAATATTTTCACCAATTATATCATACCATAAGTCTTCTTCATCAACGTGGTCTCCGAGAGGGTAATTCATAGCAACATTATTTAAATTCATTGTTGCACCATGTGATATAATATCATCGGGATTCACTGAATCTTCAAAGATATCATCGATCAGCAAATGTTCTAGATGAGGAGGTAATATTGTATTAAATAATAAAATTGATCCTCTACAACGCTTGAGTTTAAGAACTTTTAAATCTTTGTAATCACTTAAATTATTCAAATTTCGAAAATCATAAAAGTTCAAACAGATTGATTCTACTGAAGATGGTAATCTCAATTTTTCTGGTGAAAAATTATTATCATTTCGAATCCTGCCCTCTAATTCAAAACTCTTCAATTGATGAAGATAACTCAAATCTAGCATTACTCCACTCATCTTACACTTTGATAAAGACAATGATTCCAATGATAAAGGTAATTTAATTGAATTTAAATCATCAATTTCTGTTAAAGTTAACTCACGTAATGAATGTGGCAAGTTCCTTAAAAAAATGTTATTGTATGCCATGTCAAACTTTTCCAAAGTGTTTGGAAGAGTAAGATTTCGAAATTTTTCATTTTCCAATTTAAGTTTCTTATGATAGTTCCCAATTAAATGGTAATCAAAATCAGGTTTTAATATAATTGAATTTATTTTAAAATTTTTGATTGAAAATTCTAAATCTTCAATTGTATGATGAGGATGAATAATTAAATTGATTTTTGTATTTTTAAAATTTATATGTTTAATCTCAAACAATTCATATAATGTATCAATATTTGTTAAAATTTCATTTGGAACATAATTATTATAATCATCTAAGAAATTAAGGAATTTTGATATACAGTAAAATGAGATGAATTTACCATGAATACTATCATTGCGGTTATGGAAAATATTTAAATTTTGAAATAACCTTTCGTAAATTATATCTTTGAAATGAGTAATTGTTGCTAATCCTAACAAAGAATTTTTATCATCAACTAAATCAATAATTTTCTCTACTATTTCTATAGGTAACTCTAAAATGCTAGTGATAGTCATGCCCAATTTTTTTGATTGAACTTTGTAGATTTAGGGACGGTTGAAAATGATGATGATGATGATGATACAGGTTGATGGTAATGAAGTAATGTAGATGACTTTGAAACAGTGTTCAATAGCCCCATTCAAAATCTTCTTTGCCAAACTTGAATCATAGTTTGGTGCTTGCTGAACCCTTGTAACTAAGTTAAAAGTTGATTGAAATTGTAATAATGAAGTTGATGAAACTGATAACATACAATCAGCAATTTTTAAATCTCATAACTACTATAGATCGCTACCAAAATATTGTGAGATCCAATTCAATTTCTTACAATCAGTTTGTCACAGCTTGAAAGATGCTAGATAATCTGATTACTGAGAGGATATCATCAAAGATTAGGAATGTTTGTCTAATGGTATTACGACGGACAAGAGTTGTAATAGGTCAATTCGAATTGAGGTTGTGAGTTGATCTTCAAATTTTGTAAGTACTATATCTTGACCAAGTTGATACTCAACTATAACTAAACCAATCCCAAGTAAAGTACAATTTCTTCGTTTACAATCACGAGCTGCAATTTTTGGTTTCTCGTCAGAACGTAGTAACCTTTTATTCTAGTTCCACAATCTATAACATTCTTTTGTAACTAATAATTACTACCATAAACAATACGACTCTTTTTATTTATTTTTTTATAACCTCTAATAAAACTTAATCTTGGACAAGTTAATTTTAATTCTTCTTCAAATTCATCAGTAATATATAAATTAACACGTGAGTCCATTTTTAAATTCAATTCAATTAATCTTGGACAACTTTCAACTCTAACACAATCAAGGTTATTAATAAAATTACCATTCAAATAAATAATTTCTATATTTGGAGATGAAAATAGACAACTTTTGAGTCCTCTATTATTAATTTTATTTGATTTTAAATTAAGTGACTTTAGCTTAGTTAAACTTTTTAATGAACCATGAATTGATTTTAATTTGGAATAAGTAATTGATAAATCTTCTAAATTTTTTGGTAAATTATCAAAATTAAAATATTCTATATTACAAAATTTTAATTTAAAATTTTTTAAATTGTGACAATTTGATATATTATAAAGATCTTTCTGCAAATCATCTTCATTCATTTTTGTAACACTAAATTTACAGGTAATATCAAGAATTTCAACAGTATCAGGAAAAGTTAAATTTGAAATATTATCAATTTCAAGACGTAATATTAATTCTCTTAAAAAGTAACATGAATCAAACTTGTAATCTAAAAATTTGGATGATTTATTTAAATGATGAACAGCTTTAATTGTTAGTTTAAGACTTTTTAAATTATTGATATATATATCATCTGCTTTTGCTGATGTTGTTAAAATCAATTTCTCTAAATTTTTTTGATGACATAGTTTATTCACATCAAATGAAATATCAAGTATTTTTAAATTTGGAGCTATTTGTTCAGTAATACTAGTTGAATGATTATCACTAACAGTTACAGGATCTTCGTCAACAGTTTCAGGATAATCCCTGATAATTAAATGCTCAAGCCTATCCAAATGTATAAAAGTTAATGGTATAAATGGATCTATACTATAATCTTGAAGACTTATGTATTCTAAATTTTTAGGAAATTTGATAAGCTTTGTAATGGTAGAACAACAACGAACAGTCAATTTTCTCAAATTAACTAAGTTTTCATTTATTAAATTATGTATATCGCAATGACGAGCATAACTGAGCTCAAGTTCTTCTAAATTAGGTAAATTCAACTGGAAGTCAAGTTCAAGACAAGCAATGTCAGTCAATTTTAGAATTCTTATACTTGAAGGAAAAATATTTCCCCCATTGATTTCATACCATAAGTCTGCTTCGGGTTGATCTTCTGGCGGGTACTTTATAGTAACATTACTCAAATTCATTGCCTCACCATGTGACATAATATCACGAAACCTAACTGAGCCTTGATAAATAGATTCAATCTGCAATCGCTCTAAATTATGAGGTAATATTGTGTTAAACAATAAAATTGATCCACCACAACGCTTGAGTTTAAAAACTTTCAAATTTTTGTAATCACTTAAATTATTCAAACTTCGAAAATCACAAACAAGCAAACAGATTGATTCTATTGACAATGGTAGTTTCAATTTTTTTGATGATAAATCATTTTCAACACGATATGTTTTCTGTGACTCAAAATTCTTCAATCGATAAAGATAACTCAAATCTAACATAACCCCTCTTATCTTACAATCTGTTAAGGATAATGATCTTAATGATAAAGGTAATTTAATTGAATTCAAATCATCGATTTCTGTTAAATTTAACTCACGTAATGAATGTGGCAGATTTCTCAAAAATAAATTATTATATCCCATGTCGAACTTTTCCAAAGTGTCTGGAAAAGTAAGCTTTCGAAAATTTTCATTTTCCAATTGAGACAAATAAAGTGTCTTATCATAGTGTTTCCCAGTTAATTGATAATCAAAATCAGGTTTTAATATAATTGAATTTATTTTGAAATTTTTAAATGAGAATTCTAAATCTTCAATTGTATGATAAGGATGAATAATTAAGTTGATTTTTGTATCTTTAAAATTTATATGTTTAATTTCAAACAATTCATACAATGTATCGATATTTGTTAAAATTTCATTTGGAACATAGTTATTAGAGTCATCTAAGAAATTAAGGAATTTTGATATACAGTAAAATGAAATGAATTTACCATGAATACTATCATTGCGGTTATGTAAAATATTTAATTTTGGAAATAACCTTTTGTAAATTATATCTTTTAAATGAGTAATTGTTGCTAATCCTAACAAAGAATTTCTATCATCAACTAAATCAATAATTTTCTCTACTATTTCTATAGGTAACTCTAAAATGCTAGTGATAGTCATGCCCTATTTTTTTGATTGAACTTTGTAGATTTAGGGACGGCTGAAAATGATGATGATGGTTGAAGGTTGATGGTAATGAAGTAATGTAGATGNAACTTGAATCATAGTTTGGTGCTTGCTGAACCCTTGTAACTAAGTTAAAAGTTGATTGAAATTGTAATAATGAAGATAATGAAACTGATAACATAAAATGTTGCAATTTTTAAATTTCATAACTACTATAGATCGCTACCAAAATATCGTGAGATCCAATTCAATTTCATACATCAGTTTGTTACAATGACAGTTTGCAAGATGCTACATCATCTGATTACTGAGAGGATATCATCAAAGATTAAAGGCCATTAGACAAACAAGAGTTGTAATTAGTCAATTCGAATTAAGGTTGTGAGTTGATCTTCGAATTTTGAAAGTACTATATCTTTACCAAGTTGATTCTCATATATAACTAGACCAATCTCAGGTACAGTACACTTTTCTCGTTTACAATCTCCATCCCAAACTCAGAAACTATACATTTAAGATTTGAATAACTAATGCATTAAAGTAAACACATGTTGCATTTTTAGTTTCTTATACAGAAGATGGTAAAATTCAAATTCCACAACCTATAGCATTCTTTTCTAACTAATAAACACTACCATAAGCAATAGGAGACCTTTAATTTGTTTCTTCATTACCTCGAATTACACTTAATCTTGGACAAGTTGTTTTTAATTTTTCCCTGAATTCATCAGTAATATACAATTTAGTCAGTGAATCCATTTTCAATTTTAATTCAACTAATCTTGGACAATCTTCAATTCTAATACAATCAATATTATCAATATAATTCCAATTTAAATTAATAATTTCTAATTTTGGAGATGAAAATAAAAAATTTTTAAGTCCATTATTATCAATTCTATTTGATTCTAAATTAAGTGATTTTAAATTTTTTAAATTTTTTAAAGAACCGTGAATTGATTTTACTTTCATATTAAAAATTGATAATTCTTCTAAATTTTTTGGTAAATTATCAAAATTAAACTGTTCTAGATTACCATTTTCTAATTTAAAATTTTTTAAATTGTAACAATTTGATATATCAAAAAGATTTTTCTTAGAGTCATTCTCAATCTTTTTTGCCACATAATAATTAAAATTAATGTGAAGAATTTCAATTGTATCAGGAAAAGTTAAACTTGATATATTACCAGTTTGAAGGCTTAATTTCAATTCTTTTAAATTGTAACATGAATCAAACTTGTAGTCATAAAAATTGGATGAGAAATAATCATCTGTAATTGTTAATTTAAGATATTTTAAACTATTGATATAAATATCATCTAGACTTGCTAATGTTGTTAAAGTCAATTTCTCTAAATTTTTTTGATGATATAATTTGTTCACTCCAGCAGTTGAAACATCAAGTATTTTTAAATTTGGAGCTATTTGTTCAGTAATACTACTTAATCGAATATCACTAACAATTAAGTGTTTAAGTCTAATCAAATGTATGAAATTAAATGGTTTAAAAGAAGTTATGCCATTATCTTGAAGATTTAGGTATTCTAAATTTTTAGGAAATTTAACAAGCTCTATACTGTTAAAACAACGATAAATAGTCAATTTTTTCAAATTAATCAAGTTTTCATTTATAAAATTAAGTGGATTGGAAAAAGGACAATTACTAATTTCAAGTTCTTCTAAATTAGGTAAATTCAACTGGAATTCAAGCATAAGATTCCAAATATCATTCAATTTTAGAATTCTTAAAGTTGAAGGAAAAATATTTCCACCAATTATTTTATAAAGTGAGTCTGCTTCGGGTTGGTCTTCCGGTGGGTAATCTATAGCAACATTATTCAAATTCATTGTCTCACCATGTGATATAATATCATCAGGATTTACCTCTTGAGGGAGAATTTTCTCAATCAGCAAATGTTCTAGATGAGGAGGTAAAATTGTATTAAATAATAAAATTGATCCATCACAACGCATGAGTTTTAAAACTTTCAAATTTTTGTAATCGCTTAAATTATTCAAACTTCGAAAATCATAAAAACTCAAACAGATTGATTCTATTGACGATGGTAGTAATAAAATTTCCGGTGAAAAATCATTATGATTTGGAAAAATGCCCTCTATTTCAAAATTCTTCAATTGATGAAGATAACGCAAATCTAACTTTACTCCACTTATCTTACACTTTGTTAAAGTCAATGATCTCAATGATAAAGGTAATTTAATTGAATTCAAGTCATCAATCTCTGTTAAAATTAACTCATGTAATGAACATGGCAAATTCCTTAAAAAAATATTATTGTATTTCATGTAAAACCCATCCAAGGTGTTTGGAAAAGTAAGCTTTCGGACATTTTCATTTTCAAATTGAGACAAATAAAGCGTCTTATCGTAGTGTTTCCCAGTTAATTGATAATCAAAATCAGGTTCTACAGTAATTGAATTTATTTTAAAATTTTTAAATGAAAATTCCAAATCTTCAATTGTATGATAAGGATGAATAATCAAATTGATTTTTGTACTCTTAAAACTTACATGTTTAATTTTAAACAATTCATATAATGTATCAATATTTGTTAAAATTTCATTTGGAACATAATTATAATCATCTAAAAAGTTAAGAAATTTTGATACAAAGTAAAATGAAATGAATTTACCATCAGCTTTATCATAGTACTTATGAAAAATATTTAAATTTGGAAATAACCTTTTATAAATTATATCTTTAAAATAAGTAATTCTTGCTAATCTTAATAAACAATCTCTATCATCAACTAAATTAATAATTTTCTCTACTATATCTATAGGTAATTCTATAATGCTAGTGATAGTCATGCCCTATTATTTTGATTTAACTTTGTAGATTTAGGGACAGTTAAAAATGATGATGATGATGGTTGATAGTGATGCAGTACATTGAATTTGAAATAGGGTCAAAAGTTCAATTTAAAATCTCATTTACGAGATTTGAAAAGTTCAAAAGTCCAATTCAAAATCTCCTTTACGAAACTTGAAGATTATTTGCAAATTTCACTATGTTGAAAATCCATTGATTACACAAAATGAATTACAAATGTGAATGATCTGATTGTTAGACCTTACAGATGGTATTGAATAGGTATAAAATAATATAAAATGAATGAAAACATTTTCAAAATGATAATGAATAAGTTATTAATAGTTAATAATTCAAAGTCTTTCTATTAATAATTATTTAATCAATAAATTAACTTTCGTTATTTTAATCGCACGCACTTTTGGTCTCATTTTGTTTTTTAACACAAACTGTGCTTTCTCGCTACCAGAATATCATGTGACCCAATTTTATTCTTATAACCAGTGTATTATTATGACAGCTTGCCTGATGTTATATTATCTACTTATTGAGAAGGCGTTTTCAACGATTATGGGTATTCGTTTAATGGTTTTCGAACAAACAAAAGTTGTGAAGGTCGAAAATTTTGCAACCAAAATTTAAAACCTTTAGAAAAAATATTCATCTTATTTTGTAGAAACTTAATTTTATCAATTCTTTGCAACATTATCAAATATACATCATGTCTAGTCAACAGCATCCTACCAACATTCCAACGGCAAATTCTTCCACTTCCGTACCGATTTTAATCAACCAATATCTTGCATCCATTGGGAATGACGACGAAATTGCTAGAACTTACGTGAATGATATAATTCATTTACTTGAAACCAAAAAATTGACCTTATTGCAATTGATTCAAAATCTAGGATCTTCACTCACATCAGATAATGATTTAATAAGAGCTAAAAGTATTCAACTACTTAGTGAAACTGTTGGTGGTACTCAATTATCAAGACAAGATATCAATGTTATGATTGATTTTTTATTGAATAAATTCAATGATAAATTGAGTTTATTATATTCTTTACAAGGGATTAATCTGTTGATGTCTCAAAAGTATTATTTATCAAGTAATAATGAGAAAATATTAAACAAAATATTGAATGATTATGACACTGGAAAAAATTTAGCCAAAGTAAGGCATGAAGTTTTCCAAATTTTAACGAAAATAAATGACATTAATGAATTATTCATCAAGACCTTTTTACATATTGCATCTGGAGAAAAAGATCCAAGAAATCTATTACTTTCTTTCAAATTGAATGAGACAATTAATTCGACCTTTAAGTTTGATAAAGAAAATGATACACATACTACTTTCATTCAGGAACTATTTGATGTTTGTTTTTGTTATTTTCCTATAAGTTTTTCACCTCCTTCAAATGATCCTTACAAAATCACATCAGAAGAATTGAAGACGAAATTAAGAAAAGTTATTGCATCACAATCCTTATTTGCCTACGAATCTTTTCCAAATTTGATTGAAAAATTAGCATCAACCAATCCAATGATACGAAATGACACTTTGAAGACCATCGTGTTATGTATCGAACAGTACGACTCGACTGCAATTGAAGAGCACTGGTTGTCTTTATGGAATGCATTGAAGTTCGAGATACTTCATAATGATGCTGCGGTTTTCAAACCTATCGATAGTATCATACCTGGAGATTTTGATGCGATCGACGACAATGATGAGGAAAAGGTTTTATTTTTAACTTTAATTGCATTTGAAAATATTATTAAAAAATTACCTGTCCCTAATGTAATGTTAGATCAAGCAATAGAGGAATTAAATTTAAAAGAAAAACCAAAACAAGCAATTATCATTTTAGCAACATTTGCAAGTACATCAGTTGAAAATTATAATTTAGTCATTGATTATGTCTTAAATAAAGTTTGGGGGAAATATTTGAATATTGAAACAAGAAATGAAGAAGAGAATGAAGATAAGAATGAGGAAATTGCATTGAATATTCAAAAACAAAGAGAATTAGTAGATAATTTTGGATTTTTATTAGTTTCTCATCCAAATCAAGAAACTCAATTACAAAATTATAAAGATCATTTATTAATATTTTTCAGTCAAATTTTGACGAATTCATCAAATATTGAAAAAACACTAAGATGTAAAACTATACAACAATTGATAAATTTAATAAAAATTCCAAATTTTTTAAGCAAAACAAATATTGAGTTAATTTTGGACATATTTAAAAACATTCTATTTGAATCGACACCAGGTGATATCGTGATTAAGGAAATCATAAATAATTTGACTCCTTTAATGGAAGATTCTAAAGTTTCAAATTTGGTCATAGAATTTATTATAAATCCAATATTAAATACCTTAAATTATGATGACTTATTGCAATTCAAAATTTCATTAGCTGTACTTAGTGAATTGTGTGTGAACTATCAAGTACTTGAAGTATTATCAATAAGATTATTTAAATTCTCAATTCTGGATGAATTTTTAGAAGTGACACTTGAGACTTTTTTAAAGTTGTTTAATAAAGTTGAGATTATAAATCAATTTTTGACTAATTCATGGACCAAAAATTTTATTCCTAAACTATTAAGACTCATTGAAGAAAGAGAACATAATTTTGTAATCATCGAGTTATTTAGTAATTTACTTAGACAAATTGTTAGATTCATAGATGTGACTAAACACCAGTCACTTTTGAATGAGTTTCATGAAAAGTATAAGTTATATGAAACTGAACCAACCGCAAATATTGTCATTTTTACAAAAATTTTATCTGCTATAGATAAATCATGCAAATTAAATGTTGATGGTGATATCATTTCAACTATACAAAGTCTAGACTCGATAAGTGATCAATTTCTAAGAATACAATACCTTCAACATATGTGTTTACTTATCAATAAATTTGATAATTTATATAACTTGTCTTTGATTACCGAGGATCTTAAGGCATTTGAAATATACATCTGGTCATTGAGGGCATTGCTTTCCAAATTGGACAAGTCCGGTATTAAATTATTACAAGATCAATTAAACTTATATAAAGAAACGAAAAACCCAATTTTAATCAAATCATTACCTATTTTATTTTATGAATTGTCCATATTTCAAAATCCATCATTACCCAAGAAATTGATTTCAAAAGTTAACAATTTAAATGTCAAATTATTATACAAACAACAAATTTTTGAAATAATTTTACCTTATTTGCTTGAAGATTCAGATACTGAAGAATCAATTTTAAACTACGAAATACTATCACAAATAATATCAAACATTTCAAAAAACATCATCATCCCACATTTATCTGAATTTTTACCCTTCATTCTCAAATCATTTTCAATCAATCAAACCTCAATCTATAGATCATCATTAAAAATATTGGAGATTATAATAATTGAAGACAATTCTTTGATTTTAACAAATTTAAAAATGATAATTTCAAATTTAATACTAATCTCAACTTCAAACACTAATGAAGAAGTCAAAAAATTAAGTTTAAATGATCTTTTATTAATATTTCAAAACTTTGAACTTGAAATTGTTGAAAAGTATAAAAAATCCACATTGAAAGATTTAGAAAGTTGTTTGGATGATAAAAAGAGGAGCATTAGAAAATTAGCTATTGATTTAAGACAATTTATATATGAATTAAAATAAATGCATTTTTAGAAATTAATCAGATTCATCTTCATCGTCATAATCTACTGGAGCTAATCCAGGAGTCAAACCGGGCATTGAGATTAGTCCTTTCTTCACCTTTTCATCAAAATTAATGAACTTCTCACGATTGTTGTTCGTTGTAAGATTTAAGTTCTTTTTCCTTAATCTTTTCCCACTTTTTGGAGTTAAATCTTGTAGCAAATCAGATTTAACATTTTCCATTTCTGTTTCAATTTCGAAATCATCAATTTTATAACTATTCAATAAATTTATGTTTTTTTTTGTTAATTTCTTTAAATACGATTTATCTTCACCAGTTAATTCTTCAGGTGTCTTGTTAATGATTATATTATACTTCACAAATTTTTGAAACTTTTTATCCTCAAGCTCTTTCTTCTTCTGCTTTTTCTTCTGTGTGCTGCTCTTAGTTTTCGATATCTTGTGATTTTGAGAGTTGAGTTGGTTCGTTAGTATTTGAGTTGTGGATAAAGGTTGATCCCTCTTGGACTTTTTCTGGGTTTTCGGTTGTGTATGTAGTATATCTGAAAAGAGCCTATTTACAGTTAATTCGGCTTGATGCTTTGAGGAGTTGGAGGTATATGACATGTCTTGATTGAGTTATTTATAAATGTAGTTGATTTCTTCTAAAGAGATCAAGATGATCTTTTTAATTTGAAGTAATTCGGGCTACCAAATAAACAATGTCTTTTTTTGACTGACTCAAAATTAATAATATGAATATTAACGACATTGCTTTTTTTCTACAACCAACCAGATAACACGAAAATTATATTAATAAACAGAGAAAATTTGTATTAAAGACCTTAGACCAAACACATCAGACAACCACACTGCAACTATACTAATCTCTGCTCACATATATATAATTTAATGAAATGTTGAAGTCACTGGTTAGATCAATTGCTAAAGCACAATTTACACGATCTGAAAGATCACTATACACATCAGTTTTAGAACAAGATATAAATATAACCAAGAATGGAAAAGTAAATTTAGCCGTTGGACCAGGTGGTAGATCTTCAAGAACAGGATATACAGCTACTGTATTTGGAGCTACTGGATTCTTGGGTCGTTATTTAGTTTCTAAATTAGCAAGACATGGTACTACCACAATTGTTCCATTTAGAGATGATTTAAAAAAGAGATTTTTAAAAGTTGCAGGAGATTTAGGAGTAGTAAACTTTGTTGAAATAGATGCTAGAAACTTACAAAGTATTGAAGATTCTGTAGCAAATAGTGATATTGTTATAAATTGTATTGGAGCAGATTATGACACTAAGAATTTTTCAATGGCTGATATAAATATAGCTTTAGCTGAAAGAATAGCACAAGCTACAAAGGATGCAAATGTACCAAGATATGTTCATGTAAGTTCTTATAATGCTAATCCCAAATCTGAATCCATATTTTATGCAACAAAAGGTGTTGGAGAACAAGTTGTAAAAGATATTTTACCTGATTCAACAATTGTAAGACCATCTCAAATGTTTGGTAGAGAAGATAATTTATTAAATTATTTAGGACCAAAGATTAAAATGTGGACACCAAATAGAAATCAAAAAGAAATTTATCCTGTTCATGTACTTGATGTAGCAAGAGGTATAGAGAAAATAGCATATGATGATTCAACAGCTGGACAAACTTTTGAATTATATGGTCCTGAAAAAATATCATATCAAGAAATAAGACAAATGATACATGGTATAACTGAAAATTATGCCCAAGCTGGTCCTATAAGTTATAATTTCGGAGATTATGATTTACCATTACCATTAGCTAAATTCATAGCAGGAATACAACAATTACCATGGTGGAAATTACCAAACCCAGATCAAATGCAAAGACATGTAATAAATCAAGTAATTGATCCAAATGCAAAGACTTTTGCAGATTTAGGTATCAATGATACTACTAAATTGGCAGATGTTTTATTCACTTACACAAAACAATGGAGACATCCATTAATTGCTCAAAAAGGTGGTCCAAATAAGAAAAAATTAGAAGATTTAAGACATGTTCAACATTTCACTGATTAAGGGATCATTTATTTAAATATAATGTACATTTGTCATGATAGATAATTTTGACTCTCAAATGGTAATTGGACCGTAATCTTATCTCTCACACAAAACTGAAAAAGAATAAAAAATCTGAATCGTAGATAACCGAATTCATAAAATGCTATCAAAACGTTTGAGAAATCACCATTCCACCTCAAGCTGGATATCTATTTCTTTCATCCATTGTCAATAGAAGTGTGATGTATCAGCTCCCAACAATTGAGGAATTCAAATCACAATCCGCACAACAGCAAAAGCTTGTATACGATCACTTATTTGAACCATGTGATTCAGTAACTTGGTTCATAGATACATATGTCATAAAAGAAAACTTTAAAACTTACCCAGAATTTATAGAGTTAGTAAGAACAAGACTACTACAAACTTTAAATCAAACTACTTTTTTTAAATCTAGAAATTCCAAAGAATGTAACACATTAATTGAAAACATCATATCAGCACATCCTAGGCTTGGAGCACCAAAAGGGACAAAATTAAGTGAGCATTCAACGAATGAACAGAAGAAACTTGAGGGAATACAATCAAGGTTGAAAGAATTAAATGAACAATATGAATCAACTTTTCCAGGGTTAAGATATGTTGTGTTTGTTAATGGAAGATCTCGTGATGAAATAATTAAAAATATGGAAGATAGAATAGCAAGGAATAACATTGAATTGGAGAAAATTGATGCTTTGGAAGCCATGTGTGATATTGCTTTAGATAGAGCTAGTAAATTAGGTGTCAAATTATAAAAGTGAATAATTATTTAAGTGTTCTTGATGTATTAATTGGACTAAAACTTGGCCATGGAGACATTTATTACGAACTCAAGATCTATAAATATACGGATTCAAATCATTCTAGCTTGTTTATGGCGTATTCTCTAGTACTCTGGTTCTTAAATAGTTGAAATTTGGTAATCCGCAAATTTGGTAAATGAACGACCTCTTTAGCGATACTGTATTTGCTGAATAAAGTCGAGTTTCAGAATATTTCAAATATATCGATAAGACTTTAATTGATTACTAACACCTCCAATCAAACTATATAATTCTAAATCAGAGTACAATGGTATGTTTTGATCAATTGGCCATAGACTTTTGTATTGAAACATTTTTTACTAACAATTTCGTATTAGGCTGGGGTTTTAGAAAACGCAAGGAAAGAAATTAAACGTCTTTCTATCGATGATCAAAAAGAAGGACTGTATGGACAAATTTATTCAGTTTCCGGTCCTGTTGTCGTTGCCGAAAACATGATTGGTTGTGCGATGTATGAGTTAGTGAAAGTTGGTCATGATAATTTAGTTGGAGAAGTTATTAGAATTAATGGAGATAAAGCAACTATTCAAGTTTATGAAGAAACTGCAGGTGTTACTGTTGGAGATCCTGTTTTAAGAACAGGTGCACCTTTGTCAGCAGAATTGGGACCTGGTTTGTTGGATACAATTTATGATGGTATTCAAAGACCTTTAAAATCTATTAAAGATGAAACTAATTCTATTTATATCCCAAGAGGTATTGATGTTCCTGCTTTATCAAGAACTGCAAAATATGATTTTAAACCAGAACAATTGAAAGTTGGAGATCATATCACTGGAGGTGATATTTTTGGCTCAGTTTTCGAAAATTCGTTATTAGATGACCATAAGATCTTATTGCCACCAAGAGCAAGAGGTACTATAACATCAATTGCAGAAGTAGGATCATATAATGTGGAAGACACGGTGTTGGAGTTAGAATTTGATGGTAAAAAACATAAATATTCAATGATGCATACTTGGCCAGTAAGAGTCCCTAGACCAGTTGCTGAGAAGTTAACTGCTGATTATCCTTTATTAACAGGTCAAAGAGTGTTAGATTCCTTGTTTCCTTGTGTTCAAGGTGGTACAACTTGTATTCCAGGTGCTTTTGGTTGTGGAAAAACCGTAATTTCACAATCTTTATCGAAGTTCTCCAACTCAGACGTCATTATCTACGTGGGCTGCGGAGAACGAGGCAACGAAATGGCAGAGGTGTTGATGGAGTTTCCTGAGCTATACACTGAAATTGACGGTCGAAAAGAGCCTATTATGAAAAGAACAACTTTAGTTGCAAATACATCAAATATGCCGGTCGCAGCAAGAGAAGCATCAATTTATACAGGTATTACATTAGCAGAATACTTCAGAGATCAAGGTAAAAACGTTTCTATGATTGCTGATTCATCATCTCGTTGGGCAGAGGCCTTGAGAGAAATTTCAGGTAGATTAGGAGAAATGCCTGCAGATCAAGGTTTCCCTGCTTATTTAGGTGCTAAATTAGCTTCATTCTATGAAAGAGCAGGTAAAGCAACAGCATTAGGGTCACCTGATAGAATAGGTTCTGTATCTATCGTTGCAGCTGTGTCACCAGCAGGTGGTGATTTTTCAGATCCGGTTACTACATCTACTTTAGGTATTACACAAGTATTTTGGGGTTTAGATAAAAAGTTAGCACAAAGAAAACATTTCCCATCAATTAATACAGCAGTTTCATATTCAAAATATACTAATGTTTTAAATAAATATTATGATGAAAATTATCCAGATTTCCCACAATTAAGAAATAAAATAAAAGAAATTTTATCAAATGCTGAAGAATTGGAACAAGTTGTTCAATTAGTTGGTAAATCTGCTTTGAGTGATTCAGATAAAATTACTTTAGATGTTTCAGCATTGATAAAAGAAGACTTTTTACAACAAAATGGTTATTCCACTTATGATCAATTCTGCCCCATATGGAAGACTTATGATATGATGAAGGCTTTTATTGGTTATTATGATGAAGCTCAAAAAGCCGTTGCTAATGGAGCTCAATGGTCAAAATTAAGTGAACAAACTGGTGATGTTAAACATGCTGTTTCTTCAGCTAAATTTTTTGAACCATCAAATGGTGAAAAAGAAGGTGAAAAAGAGTATGGAGAATTATTAACTAAAATATCGGAAAGATTCGCTGAAGCCTCAGAATAAGTTGGTGTAAATTAAGAATTTTTAGATAAAAAAATTATTAGAGAAAAAAATTATATAATAATATAATATAAGTTGAGTTTTAAATTTTCATTAATCAATCAATATATTGATATACTACAATTATTCCAAATAATCATCAAAAACATCCAAATACCATCTAAACATGAAGTTAAAAAATTATCAACTCCATCAATTAAATCTCTAATATCATCATCAAATGAATTTATAATTGCTTCTCTTCTTTCAATTTCTTCACCTAAATTTGAATTATCAGGAATTTTATTATAATTTAGAATATATTCATTTATTGGGATTCCTCTTGGTGTATAAATTGGTTGAGGAGTTTGTTCTGGTTCTTGATTTATTATAATTGTTCGAAAACTATTACTTTTATTTTCTTGGTTTTCTTCTTCTTCTTCTTGGGTTTCTTCTCTACCTTCATCTTGTCTTTCCAAATCAATTGTAGTTGGTATTGTTTTTGTCTTTTTTGAAGATTTGAACCATGATCCTAAATTTTGTAAAAAACTTTTTTGTTCAATTCCATAATTTTCTTTTTGAAAAGGATGTAAATTATTCATTATCATATCATTATTATGTTGTGATATATTTGGTCTAAATCGTGAATATCTATCTTCTACATATTCTGTAAAAATATCTGAAGTTCCTAAAATATTAATTGCTTTTTTCATTCTATTTGGTGGTGGGAAATATAAATCTGCTTCATATGGTGGATCATGTGGTGAAATAAAATCTCTTGGTGATAATGGAGTTAAAGGATCTGATGTAGGAGACTCCACATCAAATGAACTTGACTCTTCTACTATAGCAGCAGTTGTTGTTGTTGATGATAATAATGGTAGTACTTGAATTGTTGAAGCTTGTTTTACTTGACTTGTTGGTGGAGTTTGAATATATTTGTAATGCTTCGAGATATGATTAAGTTGGTGAGCTTTTTTTATATTTGGGCGAATAGGAGATGAAAGAGCTACTGGTTTAACATTTTTTGTTGAGCTTTGTAGCTCTATATTTGAGTTTATATGCGTGATGTGATTCAATTGAGGTTCAATCATTATTTTAGTTGTGAAATATAGAATGCTATGAAACTCAAATCTTATTGCAAATCTATATTTTGCAGCCAAAGTAAAACAGCGCAAATCAAAAGCGCAATTTTCAAAAGGTATTTAATTTATTAAACAAAGAGATCGTAATCAACCAACAAATAATACTACAAGATTTTTCTCCAAGTTTAAAAAATAGGTCGTATAATTTTATAACGAACTAGACCAACTAAATAATATTCTACAAACCATAAACTTCCAAAAACATCATTTAATTTCAAAATATCCATTCAAAAATAAAGCATCAAGCATCAAGCATCATACAAATCATTACCATATTTCATCAAATTCTTAATCTCGTTATTCATACCATTTTCATATACATTTCATTATTTAAAAAAGCACAGTCAAAACTATAATCTTCAATTCAATTAAAATATTCTCCAACAATTTGTAAATTTCAATCTCTCTCTCCATTATTCTCAAATTATCAAATTCAAAACATTCATAAACATTTCCTTCAATTTAAGTTTGTAAAAACATTACGACTCGTTTACTTTGATCTAGCTCTAACCTTCCGTCTCTTTCTCTTAAGTCTTCTAACTCTTTTTTTTCTCCACTTATCTCTCATAATGAAATAACTGAAATTTGTATGGTGAAAGGGGAAAAAGAAGAAGAAAGAGGAGATAGAAAAATTTCAAAGTTAACTATATTATTATGTACTTAGTAAGAGAGAACTCCATACTTTATATTTCGCACTACTTATGGCAAAAAAAGCAGTCTTAACTGAAAACCCTAACAAATAAAATTATTCACGTGCAGCTCACGTGATTGTTTTGATACATACGCCAAATCTGATTTTTGACGTGGCGTAGTGGTCATTTCGAATCCAGATCTTGCAAAAGTCATGGAACTCAAGTTCAAATCGTTCGGTGAATAAGACTGTTCACTACTGAAATCGGTCTATTTATTCGAATCAAAGGGTCGATTTTGCATCTGTTTAAAGTTATTGAATCATTCGTTATCGTCGGATAGAGTTATACAGTAAAAAATGAAGTAATATGTACAATGTGTTTGAAATAAATATATACTCTAATGAATCAATTAACTTGATCATCTACTTTATGCTCTTTTTTCAATCTTTTCTTTTCTTGTTTTAAAGCTTTTAGTAACTCATCTTTTAAACTTGTTTCTAAATCAAATTCTTTAACTAGACCATCAATAATTTCAGGATTTATTATCACTTCTTCATTGATGTCATTATTTAAATTTAATTCAATTTCAGGATTATAAAATCTATAAATTTTATCTATTTCTTCAATAGATTTAAAATTTATATGTTTAGTTTTATTAACTGTTTCTTGTGTTGTTGGATAATAATCTTGTTGAGGAATATTAGTTTCTAATAAATAATCTAAATGTTTTATACCCATTAAAGCTTTATAATTACAATATAATCTATAAGTAAAATAAAATCCAGGAACATTTGGTAATACGGGAATTAAAGCTAATGGTAAACATAATGGTATTGCAATACCACATAACCACGCATTCTTTTTATGAATTTCTTCATTATCTTTCCTAAATTTATATAATTCATTAAGTATAGTTGTTGGATTTTGAAGTTTTGGATGATATAATGGTATTGGCTTTAATTGATCATTTGGAATATTTAAATTCGTTATATCTGATTGTAAAACAATTGTATCTTTTACAGGTTTGGGTTTTTCATTCCCATCTTCAGTAGTCTCTTCATTTTCTTCTTTTTCAATAGGTTTTATTAAATGTAAACTTTCTTCATTAATTTCTCTAATCATTGCATCTTTACTCGGAAATGATCTTAAACAATTTTCCTGATAAGGTATGGTTGATAATAATTTCATTATAAATTCAGTAATTTTAATATTAATTTTCAGTTTTGATGTAATTAATTTATTCCATGCTTTTGTTGCTAAATTTATGATTTTTGTTTCAAATTTTATTATAAATGGTATTCTTTTATATTGAGTTTTATTTAATAAATCTGGTCTATGATTACAATATATAAATGATCTTTGAGTTGTTATTGGTATTGAAATAACATAAATTGAATTTTTATCTATGATGGGAGTTTTTTTAATTAATTGTGTAGTGGTTGGGTTGGTGGTTGAATTTGAGGCTGATGATGATGAGTTTGATTGAAATCTATGAATTATAAAGTTCCTCGGCACTTTTGACCCAAAACTTCGTATGGACGTATCACTGATCAATCCATATCTATTCATATTATAATGAAATTACCTGAATTCAAAAATTTAGTACGAATCTTCTGAACTAATTGATCTTGTCTTCGCCTTTTGATTATTGCTATTGATGAAATTGCAATTTGATAATGGAATAGATGGTGACACAAAAAACAAAAAAAAGTACTTTGTGTAATATTATATTACGTCAAAGTGTTTCGAAAGTTTTATCAGGTACTAATATTTGAAAATTATTTATTATTACATCAAACCTCTTCCGCTTAGTTTGATATCTGGAAGTTAAAGGAGGTACATGTATCATTCAAAAGTGTGATTATTGTCAACGAGCCAAGTTATTGCCTGGACGTGCAGGTGGTGTAGTTGTCAATTCATTCTAAAGCATTTGCATGGCCGGGCCAGCTCGTTGACAGTGATCGCATTTTTGAACAATGTTGCAGATAAGTTCAAGCAAGTGAGGTATAGACGCATTTTATAAAAACATTTTAGAATGCCTTGCTGACGAAAAACATGTATCTAATCCTCGGATTTTGAAAGACCACGAACCATAGGTTTTGGGTTCTTCAGATTATCACTTATCCGTCCATCAAGCGAATTTTTCGATAGTCCTTCGAAATTCACCAACTGATTCCTCGCCAGAGATCAAATATTCGACAATTTTTCGAAAATAACAATCAGATATACTTGTTGCTCTTAACCCTTAAAAATAATCTCGTGTTTGAATTGTCGGTTTCAATTCAATAAGGTTCAATTACAAAAAATTTGTATCAAATTGAAACTAAACTTTTTATATCTGTAATTACACTACAATTTTTTTTTCCCACCAACCAAATCTCAACAAGGAACGATTATAGTTTGAAACCACAGAGCCACATATTCAGTTTATACTTTTTCAGACTAACTTTTTGATATAAAAACTTTGTAGTTAATTGGATATTTTAGTATAAGTTTCATAATTTTCAAAATTGGTAGCTCTATTCGGACATTGCTTTTACTATTTGATGTTTACAAAAACGTTTTTTATAGTAAGATACAATAACATAGCATATCTCAATAAATACTTGAGAGATATCAGTACAAGATTGACATAAAGAATTGGTAACCAAATAGAACCAATAGATATCACTTTGAACTAACGGCATACAAATACTTATCAAATTGCATTTATAGATCTATACAATCAAATTTGTCCAACCCAATTACATACGTTATATGCTGTCACTACATCATGAAGAAATAGATCAAAATCTATCTAATTCCCCAAACTCAACTAATTCCACAACTCAAATCCCTTCAAATTCAACAATAAGTTCAAATAATTATCATCATATAAATAATAATCATAATAAAAATAATTATCATCACAATAGTAATAATTACAATAATGAGAACAATAATCATAAAAACAATTTTCCAAATCTACCTTCACTTCCAGAAAATCCATTCTCAAATATTCATATAAATAGTTATAGTCATAAACCAAATGTTGTACCTGTTTATGTATTAGATTCAATTTCAAAAAAAGTTACATATGAAGCTAAACATAATCAAAATATAAATCAGCCAAATTTACAAAATAATAATGATAATGACATTGGTGAACAGCAGCAGCAACAACTACAACAACTACAACAAGAAAGCCTGACCCATCAACAAGATTCAAAAAGAGACAAAATAGAATTATCTTTCAGAGGACAAAATGATCCTTATTTAAATTCAATAAATGGAGATTGGAATTTATTTTTTAATTCAATACAACAACCAATATCATATCCAAAAGATTATATAAATATAGATCCAAACATTTTAAATGAATACAATTTAAATAAAGAATGGGGAGGTGATGAAAGATTAAAAAAAGAATTTAATAATGAAGATTCAGCAAATAAACAAATTAATGAAAGTAGTACATCAAAATCATTTTGGCATTTCATAAGTAATACAAAAGATGATGGAGAACATGATTCTAAAATTAGAAAAACTACTGCTGGTTATTGGATGGGTAGTAATAGATCAAATTCAAGGCCTGCAATGAAACATTTTTTATTAAATGGTCCATTAATTCCATTAATGTTAAGAATTATAACTTTAATATTTTGTACAATTGCTTTAGGATTAGCTTGTACAATATTTGTATTTTCAAATGATGAATATAATGGTAGAAATGTTTCTCAACAAGCAAGTACAATAATGGCAATATGTGTACAAAGTTGTGCAATATTATACGTAATATATATTGCTTATGATGAATATGCTGGAAAACCTTTAGGATTAAGAAAACCAATGAGTAAAATAAGATTGATTCTTTTAGATTTATTATTTATAATATTTTCAGCAGCAAATTTATCATTAGCTTTTAATACATTATATGATGATGAATGGGTTTGTGAAATTTATAGATCAAATTATCAAGATGTTAATAATTATTTCCCAGTTATTTCATCAATTTGTAGAAGACAAAGAGCTTTAGCAAGTTTTTTATTTGTTGTTTTAGTTACTTGGGTTTTAACTTTTACTATTAGTTTACTGAGAGTTATTGATAAAGTAAATACAAGAACTGGATAAAGGGATTATACAGTATATATAAATTTATATTAATAGGCTATGAAAATTTTAATGAAACACGATCAGTCAGATCAATTAAGTCTGAATATGAGTGTAGCTCGTCTCTAAATTGTGGTGATTTAGTGGATTTCACCACTAATGATTATATAGATTTTTATAAAGACATTATATGCAGGATCTACAAAATATTTCTCAAAATCTGAAACAAATTCATCTGAAATTTATATCCAAACACATGAAATTACCAACAAATTATCACGACAATTCAATTATAATAATCAATTCAGTTGACTCAACAAGCTAACTCATCAACATCTTTTATGAACATCTCCGCAATTTCACCTCAACTTTATACAGAGAGGCAAGATCGACTACAAATTTAAGATCACTACTTTACAACCATAATCAATTAATTATTTAAAGAAGGCAAACAAGATGAAACTTTCATAATAAATATGAAACTACCAAGAATTAATTTCAAGATCCAAATTAAATTTTATCACAACTATTGGGATTTAAGACCAGATACAGATATCAATTAATCATTTTTATTTGAAACGTAGTTGAAGTACAGCATTAAAAGACAATCTTGATTAATTTGGTCTAATATTATGAAACAAATCATGAGGGGAAATAATGTTAACTATTACAAATGTCACATTCATCTAATAACTCTTAAACATCAATCAACAACCAATTCAACAAATAGATTAAGTTTTAATTAACCCATTAACAAGTCAAAATTATTATATTACGAAAACGAATTTTAACTAACTCAAAGTTTACATAAATACTTATCGAAATTTCCCAATTTCAAAAATAAATTTTTTCACTTAGTTTTTCCTTTTTTATTTTTCAAAAGTTCAAAAAGTTCAACTAATTAACTATATCAACTTCACCTTCAACAACAAATTTCATACATTTCTTTCAAGCTAATTCAATTATGTCATTTCCAAGGTTCATAACATCAGTCAAATTATGATGGATAACTAATCATATTCAACTCATCTAGAAACAGGTATGTCAACTCCAAAGTCCTCAACTAAAATTCAAAATCCCAGTTCAACTCGTTAAATCAGGTTCTGTCTCACCAACAGCTTATCATGCCATTCTACCTTTGGGTCAATCTCCAACTTCAACACCGAATTCAGGTCAACAGTTACCAACCACTGATCATGGACAATCTCCTCAACATCAGCTATTTGAAGATCCGACTATTAATACTTCAACTACTCATGCTCCAACTGCTCAGGATTTAGCTCATAATGTTTCACCTAAACCAAATCAACCATTTTCTTCAGTTGAAATTAACAACATCAAAAAATCCTGTTTACTCAACTACTTAAAAGGTCCAAATGCTAGTCAAATTTTTTTTAAAAGACATTGGCTCATCAACGAAACCTAAAATCACTCGTCTTCCATATTGGACAGATACAACTCTTCAACTCCCAATCAATGAATTTACTGATTTAGATTTGAAGATTTATATCGTCTAATTTGGTGAATGTGTGATAGGCTTTTGTTGATGAATCCATGACTTTAGATGTAAAAAAATCACTAGCAACCCAAACAAAAACAGCTCCATTAAATACAAACACACCTACTGGAGACTAAAACTTTAACTACTGATATCATGAACTATATTGACAAAATTCCTTTTATTGGTAAAGCTGAAAGGGAAGAAAATTATAATAAAATACTACATTCTCAAAGCTAATTAGGACTTCGATTGAAAATGATGCTTTTGAAAAGATGAACTCGGAATCATCATGGTGAATTTTTTAATGACATATATAAATCATTTGGCACAATTGTTCTAGATTATGTTTCATACAACTATATCAACAATGCAACATATAATGTTAATAATCCAATATTTCATGATATAATTGATACTTCATTTTATGACGGTAGCTGTTTGTCTTAAATGTATTAATATACACCGATTTCATTCCACCATATTAATTATTTAGGACTAACAACTAATGTCATGAAGAGAGGCTTTCAATCTCATTACCATTCAAACACATTTATCAAAATAAATCAGCCACAATTTCATTACTTACACTTATTAAGATTAATATTTTTGAATATATAGATGGTGTGGTAATTATCATATGATGGTGACGTATAATGGAATCCATTCCTAGTGACGGGTCTCAGAATGGATTCCAGTAAGCGTTACCATCTCTCACGAGCACCACACTATAGCTAAAACATTGATTGCTACATGAAATCAAAGATTTATCGGTCTATTAATTACTCCTAGCATTGAAATAGAAGAATTATTGGCATCATTTAGTTAGAATTTGAAAATGAATGGAGAAATCAATATCTAAAATATTTATTCATTAATTCATGAAGTATTAGGTTTTTAAAATGATGCTGCATTTTTGGTGTAATCGTTAAAATCATTCAAACAGTTTTATGACCAACGCAACTAATCCTTTGTGAACCAATTAGTGAAGTAAATTTAGTATTAACAAGGGACAGTATTTTGAAAAGTCAATTTGTTCATTACGTTCATGAATTAACACCTAGTTTGAAAGTTTGCTAATATCGAGTGGATGTTCTTTTCTTTTCTTCGTTGAGTTTTCTAAGCAATAAGTTTGTCTAAGCTTGGACAACACAACCATGAAAAAAAAAAATCATTCGCTCGTGAAATGCTTAAATTATATATCACTAGATGTTCAAGCTAGAAAGGAAAATTTCGACTAGGAAGTTTCTCAAAAGTCCTAAATCTAGAAAGTAAGTAAGTAAGTATCTAGAAAAGAATTTAACGATTTTATTATTGTTCATTATTGTATTATTTGGAGCTAATTACTATGGTATTAAATATTTTTAATTCTTTATTTCTAGTAACTTTGTTGAGGATCTGTTCTTTCAATTTAATCAAAAGATTGTGAACATCTTCAATCTAGGTAATTCAAGAAAGTATATTTAATTAGTTATAAAATTGATTTAAAACATAAATCGACAAGTAAAGTTCTTACTAAATTTAGGATGACTACAAGCAGATCAACTATATCATTAAAAATTAGAGTAATAGATCATTAATACCTTTTACCTAGTTTCAAAGTGAATAGTGATAATAAAGATAGTAAGTAAGTTTATCTATATTATAACCGAGTTAATCAAATAAACCGATGAAACATTATTTTCTCTCTTTCTCTCTAGTCTATCTAATTTATTTTTCCGCCCCACATTTCAAAATAAGGTAGTACAAAATTATATTTTTTCTTTAAGTAACAATTCCTCGGTTTGATTTATAATTTACATATTAATATTAATTAATTAATATTATGATGGCAAAATATTATTATGTCGACTTACAATCACCGCCCGCGGTCGTATTAATTATTTATACTGTAGTACTAGAATAGTCGCATCCAACGGTTTTTAATTATTCCATACATTTAAATCCTTACTAATGAATTCTATACTATATATATTTCTTCCCCATATTTTATCAATTTATACACTACCTTTCTATGTTCTTTAATACTTAATTTTTCATAAGATAAATACTTAACAATATTAATAATACTTAATATACTTAATCCCCGTTTTATTAATATAATATTTCAAAATTTTACATTGAAGTATAATTTTACAACACAACTTATTTATTCATAAACTAAATTATCATTACTACTTTGTTCATTTACATCCAAACTAGTTTGATAAATACAAAAGACAATCTCATTATATCATATTTACATTAACTCAGAACACTCACATATATATATCCATTAAATCAATATGTCAAAAGAACAATATTTAAAAAAAAATCCAGATGATGTTGTTGTTGTTGCAGCTTATAGAACTGCTTTAACAAAAGGTGGTAAAGGTGGATTTAAAGATATTGGATCAGATTATATTTTAAGACAATTAGCTCAAGAATTTGTTAAAAAAACAGGTGTTGATCCATCAATTATACAAGATGTTGCTATTGGTAATGTTTTACATAAAAGAGGTGGAGATTTTGAACATAGAGCTGCTTTAATGTCTGCTGGTATTCCTTATAGTGCACCATTTGTTGCTATAAATAGACAATGTTCTTCTGGTTTAATGGCAATTAGTCAAGTTGCAAATAAAATTAAATTAGGAGAAATTGAATGTGGTTTAGCTGGTGGGGTTGAATCAATGACAAAAGATTATGGTCCTCAAGCATTAGTTAAAATTGATCCAGCTTATGAAAATAATGAAGAATTTTTAAAAAATCAAATTCCAATGGGTATTACAAATGAAAATGTTTGTGAAAAATTTAATATTAAAAGAGATGTTCAAGATAAATTTGCTGCTAATTCTTATAATAAGGCTGAAAAAGCTCAAAAATCTGGTAAATTTAAAGATGAAATTTTACCAATTAAAGTTTGGCAAGAAGATGAAGATGCTGATGAAGATGAAGATAATGAAGATGATGATGATGAAGTAAAAGAAAAAGAAGTTATTATTTCAGAAGATGAAGGTATTAGACCAGGAGTTACAGCTGAAAAATTAGGTAAAATAAAACCAGCTTTTAAAGATGATGGTGTTTCATCAGCTGGTAATTCATCACAAGTTTCAGATGGTGCAGCATTAGTTTTATTAATGAAACGTTCATTTGCTGAAAAAAATGGTTTTAAACCACAAGCTAAATATTTAGCTTGTTCTATAGTTGGAGTACCACCAGAAATTATGGGAGTTGGTCCAGCAGTTGCTATACCAAAAATTTTAAAACAATTAAATTTAAAAATTGATGATATAAATGTTTTTGAAATTAATGAAGCATTTGCTGGTCAATGTTTATATTCAATTGAAAGTTGTGGTATAAATGAAGATAAAGTTAATTTAAATGGTGGTGCTATTGCTTTAGGTCATCCAATGGGTTGTACTGGTGCAAGACAATATGCTACTATTTTAAGATTATTAGAACCTGGTCAATTTGGTTTAACTTCTATGTGTATTGGTACTGGTATGGGTGCTGCATCAGTTATTGTTAAAGAATAGATTTAAATAGTATATACAAATAATGAATTAAAATTGTTTATTAAAATTAAATTCTATAGGTATGCGTTTCTACTTCTTTTTCTTATTTTCAATTTTTTTCAAACTTTCAACTCTATCAATAACTCTTTCTAAACTTAATTTAACATCTCCCTTTACAAAATGATTTAAATTATAATATTTTGGAGCAATTTCAATTAACCATTCAGGTTTTATAATAGTAATATTTCTTATATAATTTTTACTTGTTAAAACAAATTCATTATAAATTACCCATTCACCATTAATTGAAACAATAGTACTTGGATGAATTAAAACATCTTGATTATCTTTGATTGTCAAATATCCCTTGGAACCACCACTTTTCTTTTTTGCAACTTGCATAAAAAATCCACTCACTAATGCCTTTTTAATATTTTCCCAATATTTAAATTCTGAAATTTCATTATATTTTGAAATTATTGGTAAATCATATCTTTCCATAATTTTAATTAATTGATTTTTAACATTTTTTGCAGAAATTAATGATCTATAATTTAAAAAATTATCTCTACACCATTTATGTACTCCTTCATCTGATTCATGAGCATTAAGAAATGCTTCATATACATTTACCAAAGTTAAATGATCACTATCTGGATGAGCAAAAGATAATTTTGCATCATCTGCTCTTTGTCTTGCACTTGCTGGACGTATAAATACATTAGGAACACTTAACATTGCAACTATTGTTAAAATTTCTTCTGAACATTCATAAGCAGAAGAACCAATTAACATTACTGCTAACATTGGATCAAGAGGAAAATTTGAAGCTAATCTTCCTAAAGCAGTTAAATCACCATCATCAGATAAACATTGTAAATAATTTAATTCTTCTAATGCTCTCATCATTGTTTCAGGAGCAGGAGGATCCATAAAATCAAAATGTACTAAATCATCAATACCTAATTTTTTTAATTCTAATACTGTAGAAGATAAATTTGATTTTAAAATTTCTGGATATGATTGTTGAATTAATTCTTTTTTAAATGCTTCTTCAGTATATAATCTAAAACATTTTCCTGGTCTTGTTCTACCTGCTCTACCTGCTCTTTGTTGAGCACTTGCTTTTGATATAGGAGAAACTAATAATGATTCAACTCTTATTCTTGGATTATAAACTTTTTGTTTTGAAAAACCTGGATCAATAACATAAACTATACCATCAATAGTTAAAGAAGTTTCAGCAATATTTGTTGATATTATAACTTTTCTACCAGGTTTATTATTTTCATCATTTGATATTGGAGCTTTTTCAAATATTCTTTGTTGTTGATTTGGAGGTAATGAACCATATAATGGTAAAACTTTGAGTGGACCAGTTTTACCTTCTCTTATTAATTCATCACTTTCTAATTGAATTTTTTTACAAGCATCTTCTATTTCTTCTTCACCTGTTAAAAATAATAATATATCTCCCTTGGATTCAGTTTGATGAATTTGTAAAACAGTTCTTATTGAAGCATCTAAATAATCTTTTTGAAATTCTGGAGTATAATAAATTTCAACAGGATGAGTTCTACCAGGTACTGCTAAAAGCGGGGATTTATTAAAATAATTTTGAAATTTTTCTGCATCTAATGTTGCAGACATTATAATAATTTTTAAATCTTTTCTTCTTTGAATAATTTGTTTTAATAATCCCATTAATATATCTGTTGCCATTGTTCTTTCATGAGCTTCATCTAATATAATACAAGAATATCTTGATAATAAATTATCATCCATTGCTTCTCTTAATAACATACCATCAGTCATATATTTTAATATAGTTTTATTCAGGGTTTTATTTTCAAATCTAATACTATAACCAACTTCTTCACCTAATTTAACATCCATTTCATCTGCAACTCTTTGAGCAACAGACATTGCAGCAACTCTTCTTGGTTGAGTACATGCTATTTGTTTTCCAATTAATTGAGGTAATTCATCCCATAAAACAAATTGAGGAATTTGTGTTGTTTTTCCGGACCCTGTTTCTCCAACAAATACCATTATTTGATTATTTTGATAAATTTGCAAAAATTCTTGTCTTTGAGAATGAACTGGTAAATCTCTTCTTATATTTAAAATTTTAAAATAATTTTGAGAAAATTGTAAACCAGTAAATGGATTTGTTGGTCCATTTTCTAATTTTTCTGCTTGTTGTGCTGTTGTTTCATGACGTTTCAAATTTGAAAATTCTCCTTGATCATGATGTATTAATTTTTCTTCAATAGTTGGATGTGGATGTTCTTTTAATGATTTTTCTGATTCTTCTGCTACTAATTCTGCTTCTAGATTATCTATTACTGGTTCTTTATTATTTTCTTCTTCTTCCTCTCGTTCTTCTTCTTCTAGTTTTTGTCTTTTACGTGATCTTTCTCCCATTTCTTAGTTGCTTGTTACTCTGTCTTGTAGTATGTAATACTTGTTTGATGTTTGATGTAAATGATAATTTATGTTTTAAATTTAATTTGCATCTCATGTTCCAAAACTAATTTTGTGTAACAAATTGAATCTATCTGGAATTTGCAGTTCAGATAATAATGTTTGAGCAAATAGAAGAGTATATGACCGGTATCAGAGTTGTCTACAAGAATGTCAAGCTCTTATTCAATTATCGTTCACTCTAGTTTTATACAAAAAAACAATAATAATCATTATCATGTAATTTTTCTAGTTACTTAGCTAGTCATAATCAAAGTCTCAAATTCTCAAATTCAAATGTTTCAATAGTCAAATAATCAAATCCTCAAATATTCAATAACCAAACAATATACCTAAATTTACCTTTGTAAATGTAAATACCAATCATTTAATCCAGCACTTAAAATTTCTCTCATAAATTCTTTATTATTTTCCATATTAATACCACGATCAATTTTAAACCATTCACTAATTACTTGCTGAAATTTATTTTTATTTTTTAAATTATAATCACTTAAAGTTATAAAATTATAATCAAAATATAATTCATTAAATAAATTTAAAGTTATTTCAAATTCTTCTTTATTTAATTCAATTTCTCCCACGTAAGGTAAATTATAAAATTGTTCATTTAAATAAAATTCTTTAAATAAATTTAATTTTTCATTATTTGAAAATTTTGTATTATTTAAATTTATAATAAAACAAAATATTGATGTTATAAAAATTGTACTTGAATTTTTTAATGATTGATATATTGATAATATTTTTGGATCATTATAAATTATTGATTTTTTGGAATATAAATTATTATTTATTAATTGTAATGATGGTTGAATTTTTCTTGATATTGGTGGATTTGAATTAAAATTTAATATATTTATTTGTTGTGATTGATTTTCATTATTTTGATTTTGATTCTGATTATCTTGAATTGATATTTCTGAGTTATTTGGTTCAGCATTATCATTTAAAGACTTTTTAACACTTGATATGGATTGAATTGAAGCATTGGAATTGGTATTAGTCATTGATTATAATTAATAGCAAAAAGTATTTTGTAATGAATTCAAATCATTTTCCATTAATTTTAGCTATTCAATTTCTAAATATCTTTCGCCATTGAAAGATTAGATCGAAAATGCAAGATGTAAGATGCAAAAAATGGAAAATTCAAGATCTGAAAATGGCTATAATTATGATTGATTTGTTATCAATTTATTGATATTTAAATTAGAAAATATAATGAGAAAAAATATAAGAGCATTGATTAATGTAGCAGGAGGCATTGTTTAATCAAGATGCCCATCTAAGATTACATAATGCTTTCTACTACATGAAACAATGCACTTATATTTCTAATCTCTTACAAATTTGCTTTCGGAATCAACAGATTGATTAAAACTTGAAAATTCATATTCAGATCTTATAATATTTATTTGATGATAAAGTATTGAGTTCATAAGAATCATTATTCGGTAAAGATCTTGATGAATGATCTGCAACACTTTGATCTGGTGAAGTAGGAGATTGGAATCTTGAAATCCTGAGATTTTGATGAATTTAAATTGTTTTAATCTTAACAAAGGTATGAAGCTCACGTTCCACCTTATCATTGAAGTAAAATGATTTTAGAATCACCCATTAGCTGGTTAATTGACCGAAGAACAATCATAAACAAACTGCCCTTAATAAACTAAAACAAAAAGATTGGGGAGCCATTCATCATGTAATAAATTTTCATCTCTTAATCCTTCTAACAAGTTTAACAATGGAGACTAACAACTTATTACCAATAACGAATGATTCAATGAGCGACACCAATTTGATACCAACAACTTGTCTAACTTCCACTCATTTGCTTGATATATGGATTACAATCAGTATCAGTAAACACCTAAAGACAGCTTGTCAAAATTCTTCAACTTATTTTTTCCCATTGTACCTTCATTAAGAATAAGCGATACTTGTCTTGCTCAGGTTTCATTATATCTTGAGGATTGATGTTATTGAAAAATGATTCGGATCATAAAATTAATTAGGCGAAACATTCGGTATATGGTGATGAAAAGAACCTATTTTCTTTTAATTTTTGTTGTTATTGATCGTGGAATGTTTCCGCAGCAGTGTCATCCCATTTATGTAGTTCATTCATACTATAATTTCCATTCTATTTCATATTATAATTTCCATTCTATTCTTGGTTTTAGAAATCAATTATTGGGGTAATTTTGTCTTCCTTTAAATCACTTTAACATCACTCTTTTATTTGAATAAATCGGCGACTCTTGATGAAAAAAGATGTGAATAAGGTTAAATATTACAACAGCATGATCTTTTTTATTTGGATCAATTGGTATATGATGATAAGTGGTAAGCTTTCGACGCGGTTTTCTTACATTAATTTTTTGTTGTGTGCAACAAAATTTTGCAATAAGTTGATTAGCCTAGCGAAATTGACTATACTTGTTAGAGAAACCGCTTATCCATCCATACTATGGACACTTTTTAGCAAGAGACACTTTACAGCAACAAAAAAATTACAGGTTTGAAAGTGAATATTTTGTATATTGAAAAAGCAGTATTAAAAAAAAAAATTCAGGTTTCACACACCTAATGTCAAATGAAGACATACGACTAAGTTCGGTTTAGCAATTGCATAAATCGTTTATGCAATCCTATGAGTTGAAGTAAAGTTATTTTATGTTGTTCCACTAATTCTCTTCGTTGTTGACGTAACACCATTCTTTGTTGCTCTAAATCTTTTTGTTCTTTAATTAATTCTGAGAAGGTTCTATTTGTTTGTTCTAGTGAATGCGGATCCTCGAGAATTTGACTATTTGTTTTATGTTGCAATTTTAATTCCTTAATTTGCAAAAGTAGTGCATCCATTTGTTGGCGTTGATGCTCTACTAGTTGTTCTCGTGGATGTACTAGTTGATGAAGAATTTGGATTTGTTGTTCTTTATTATCATCACCATATGTTGTAACTGGTGTGACGGTATTATCATAACCATATGTTGTAATTGATGTGATGGTATTATCATTAATATCATTAGTGTCATTATTCTGATTATTATTATTATTATTGCTATTATGGTAGTTATATTCATTATTGTCATTAGTGATTTTACTGATATCATAACTATTACTGTTACTGTTGTTATTGTTGTTATTGTTATTGTTATTGCTATTACTATTACTATTATTATTATTATTATTATTGTTGTTGTTGTTTTTAATGGTGTTGTTATTGTTGTGATCATGGCCCCATTTTTTAAATTTATTAAGTCTGAGTTTCACTCTTTTCCTGAATCCCGAATGCATTTAGGTAGAATTGAAAGTTTTGAATGAGTTTTAGGATCTTCTTTAAAAAAATAAGTGGTGAACTTTTGATTTTCGATGATTTGAGAATTTATCACCCTTTTCAACTTTTTTGCAACGCTATTTAAATTAAATATGTGTGTTGGGATGGAGTTTTAAAATTCAACAGATCTGAAGATCTCAAGATAAATTTATATTATGAGTGTGTATTGGCTTTCTTTCCAAACTTGGTGTATCCAATTCAATGTATATATCTCATTAACACACTTACGAACTTCAACTCAATGTAGCACCACTCCCAAGAAACACATTTCTATTGATAGTTTATAATCAAATTGATCAATCATTTTAATCACCAACTCAAGACATATCACTGAACTACCAAACACTAGAGCCCTTCATAACACTTACTAAGTTATTTACACCCGAATACTTTCATCCAAAGAGGTCCTAATGGAAATTATGAATACGACTTGACTTTCTGAGAAACAAACAAGTGAATATTACTGAAAATAAATAGACCGCGTTAATGCGCAGGAACAATTTTCATTTTTAGCTCATATCAACACATAATATTCTAAAGTGTTCTGAATTTGATTTAAAGAAAACAGTTGTACTCCAATTAATGTAAAATATTATAATGAAAGTACATGTATGGATTAATTTACACGTATCAATTATTTAGTTGATGAACTTTGATATTTATTGATTAAAAACATTCGCCATGGACTCAATTTTGTAGTAAATCATACCATCAAGTGAAGCAAATATTACCAAGCACTTTCAAAGCCAGAAGCGTGGTAGATCTATGACTAATAAACATTTGGATTATTTACTTCATTTGTCTTGTTCATATTGAATATAAAGTAAATTGTTGTGTTGCCTTCTTCTATTAATTTTCCTTCAATCAATTTTACTTCCTATTTAGCCTTATGGCGCTTTTTTTTTTTAAGTAGCGTTTTAGGTTAGGTAACACCAAATCTAAGATTGGGCATAATATAAGATACTTTCAAGCTAATTTTATACGATTAGGATATACATAATAAAAACTATATAAGATTATCGATCTGTTTTTTTTATTTACATCAGTAGTTTAGCTTGCTAATATGTAAAGAATTAAACTTTCTGTATAGAGTTGAGATTTCTGATTGTTAATTTTTATAGACTGATCCTGTTTTGTAATCTTGAATCAGCCTTCTATGTCACTATAAGTACTCTACTTTATTATCAACATGAACATGAATGAAGTTAAAAACCATATAATGTTATTAAAATCATATGTTAATGAAATTATTATTAAGTTTTAGTGGCTCTGGGGTATAAAATTTCTCAAGTAAGAATTATGATATATAATTATGAGTTCAAAGAATACATTCTAAATGAATTTATGTAAATTTAGTACATTGAAGAATAGTATATAATGAAGAGATTGTTTGTATTAAAGAGTAACATATACAAAATATAAACTTGGAGGATCATAATTTAAAACTATTCAACACATATTAAATAATTAAGTATATTAATTTAATATGACACATACCTTGTATTTGTTAACCCAAAAAAAATTAATCTTTATAGCAATTATTCCCTAGCTGTCATTGTTGATGCTGTTGTTGTATGATTAATGTAATTTTTGACATAATTAAAGTAGTAGTTGTTGCAGTTGAAGAAGTTGTAATTCATGAAGTTATAGTTCATAAAATTGTGGTTGATGAAATTTTGGTTCATTTGTTGGAATTGATGATCAACTACTTGCTTTAGTTGTAAAATTTGTTGTTGTTTTTGTTGTAATTTTTGTTGTTCTTGATGTAATTTTTGCTGTTTATGATGCAATTGTAGTTCTAATTGTTGTTCCTGCGATTGATCAATATTATTATCATCATGTGTAATTGGTGATGGGCTGTTGTTGTTGTTGTTATTATTATTATCATCTTTGTTACCGTTGTTGCTTTTGTTGTTGTTTTTGTTTTTGTTGTTGTTTTTGTATTTGTTTTTGTTTCTGTTTCTGTTTCTGCATCTGTTCAGTTTTTGTTGATGTTCTTTTTCTTCTTGTTTTTGTTGCCATTTTTCTTCTTCATGATCCAATTGATTCAATTGTTGTTCTGCAAGTTTTAGTACTTTTAAAATTTTATTCACCTGTTGAAGTTCTTGAAGAAGTTGTTGAACACTTGGCAATTCATCGTCATCATAACCATCATTCCTTTCCTCAAAATTATCAAATTCTAGTTCCATTCTTTTCGAAAATCTTGAATGTATTTTAATTTGTATGTTTTGAATGAAGTCTTTAATCTTATTATATAAAAAAAAAGCGGTGAATTTTAGTTTTCAATGTTTGTAGAATTTAATTCCTTTTTAAACTTTTTTTGATGCATTTACCTGATATGCTACTCTATTTGATTAAGTATGTATGTTGGGATGGAATTTTGAAGCTCGACAGATCTGAGATCTCATAATAAACCCATCTTCTAAACTATGAAAAAATCGGTAGATTGATAAATCCGAATTACCTCCAAAACTAGGTGTTTCCAATGTAATCATATATGCCGTTACCAATACCACAGACTTAATATCGATGCAACTCAAGAATTGCAATTTATTGACAATTTATTATGATCATTCATTCTTTGTGACCAACTCAAACTAATGATATAAAAAATCAGTTTTGATTTAATGATAAGCACTATTGCGTTTTACCACTCACTAACTCATTCACAACTGAGTACTTTTGATTCAGATTTTCAATGGAAAAGTGTTGATCTGATTTGGCTTTTCGAAACACAATTTCGTGAATGTTGATGAAAATAAGTTGATTGCATCAATGAGCATGTATATTCTTATTCCATTTTTATCTCATCAGACTCATTCAGGTAAATTAGTCTTTACTATTCGAGTCAATTAGTGATGAATAGTGGAAAGGTTGTAGGGTATTAACAAATTTCTCTGTGAAGGATTATTCAGATGTGTAATAAACTTTTGCGAAGGAACATTTTGTCCGTTCAATAAAATTATTTTATTTTAAATTGAAATTGAATAGTGATTTCCATCAATAATTTGCATGCAATTTAGTTGATTTCTTTATATCTTCTTTATCAATACGGATTTAGGTTCTTATTTTTATTATCCATCAATGTTCTGGATAAAAGTTTTAACTTCATTTTCTTCCTCCTCATTTCGAACCTAATTTTCCTAAAAGATTTTATACCCTCCTTGAGTAAACTTTATCAAGCAAACACATGTAAGGAGAAATTCTGAAGTACGTAACAATATGTCATCGTATGTAAATGTTGGTTCATAAATTTCAACCCAAATTTAATATACCAGAGTTTTGATCAGAAAGAAACAAAAAATTTGAGGTCATTAAGCACTTTGACTTATGAGCTTCGTCAACTAGTAAGCAATGGATAAGATGGGATATTATGACCGAATTAATTTACGATGATGTTGATACAATTCATTTAAATACCTGAGAAAAATGCTTTCAATTAAGAAAATTCATAATAAGCCTGTCACTTAGAAATAGTACAGCTTGAAACGATTAACACTTTTACTACAATTTCTTATAATCAATCTTAATAATATACATGTAATTACAATTTTTTTTATTTTAAAACTATATGATAAGAACTAAATTAAATTAAACAATTTTAAATGACCATTAAATCCAAAATTGTCCATTTGATATTTGAAAATAATGATTCAAATTATGATTTTCCTAACACCAGAAATAATAAACTCTTTTATAAAATGGTTTTGATTTAATATAAGCTTTTTCTTCAGCAATTTCTTGTTTAACTAAATCTAAATCTAAATCAGATCTACCAGTATCAATATCAATTTCATTAGCTCTATAAAAGAATTTTAAATTTTTTGAATAAATCTTATGACCAACATAAAATACCAATACAACTGGAACAGTTAAAAAATTCATAAAAAATGCTTCAGCACTTGGTGGTTCACCTAATGGCCAAACAGCTATCCAAAATTGTAAACATAAAACAACTAAATTTAAAATTAAACCCCAATAAGCTCCAATTAATCCTGGTTGAGAAACATAAACTAATTCATTTGTATCTCTACCTTGAACTTTTAAAGCTCTTCTAAATCTAATAAGACATAAATTGATTGAACCCCAAGTAAAAATTGATGATAATCCTGATAAAGCTAATAACCAATTAAAAACTAAATTTTCTTTTGGTGAAGCAGCTAAGAAACATAATGCTCCAACAATTAATTGAACAATTATACCAACTAATGGTCTACCAGTTTTATCAATATATCCAAAAATTTTTGGAGCTTGATTTGAAGCAGCTAAAGCAGCTAAAGTTCTTGAAGAACCAAATACTGATGAATTACCAACTGATAAAACTGCAATCATAATAACAACATTCATAACTGATGGTAAACCTGAAATTCCACCATTTTTAATAGCAATAACAAATGGAGAAGCAGCAGCATAAGTATCAGCAGTAAATAATCTTTCATCAGTATAAGGAACTAATAAACCAACTAAAGTTAAACAAATAACATAAAATAAAGTAATTCTCCAAAATACTTGTTTACAAGCTTTTGGTATAGCTTTTCTTGGATTTGCAGTTTCTGCAGAAGCTAAACCAGCTAATTCAGTACCAGCAAATGCAAAAGCAGCACCAACAAATACTGTTATAACTCCCTTAACACCATTTGCAAAAGCACCAGGATTTTGCCAATATTTTCCACCAATATAACCTTGACCATTTGGTGCACCACCAGCACATAAAACAATACCCAAAATAATAAATCCACAAACTGCTAAAACTTTAACTGCACTAAATATAAATTCTGCTTCTCCATAACCTCTAACACCAAAGAAATTTATAGCAATAATTAAAACATAAAATATAACAACATATGCTGCAGGATTTGTTTTTGCATCCCAATATTTTATAGTTAATGATGCCGCAACTAATTCTAATGGTAAAACAACTAACCATTGCATAGCATAATTCCATGCCATAGCAAAACCCCAAGATGGATCAATAAATCTAGACTAAGATGGAGTTAGTATTTTTATCATGACAAGAATTATTATAAATTGCAAAATGTTTCATATGTCAAACAAATTTGGTAGCAATAAAATGTGAAACTAGCAATATCAATTTTAAAATTATTAATACATACATTATAAGTGACAAAAGCACCACTGACACTGAAAGTAGTAGCTAATTCTCCCAATGAATGAACAGTACAGAAAATCATAGTACCAATCAATATATAAGCTAAATTATTTCTTAGTTAGTATATCACTTCATAGATTGTTTCAAAAATTAATTAAAAAACATACCAATTAATAAACCAGCTGGACCACCAGTATGTAAAGAAGAACCAGAACCAACAAATAAACCAGTACCAATAGATCCACCAATAGCAATCATTTGTAAATGTCTATTTTTTAAAGATCTTGATAAAGGAGAATTTGCAGTCATAACAGCAATTTTTTCAGCTTCTGTTAAATTTGGATCAATACCTAATTCATCAGCATTTGCTTTTTTAAAACCATCTTTAAATTTTGCCCAACCTTTTAATGGAGGGTTGGAATCTTGAGCATCAAATGCATCAATATAAACTCCTCCATTTTTTTCATCTGAACTTGCTGCTTCTCTTGATCTTATGTAATCTAATTCTTTTTCAGGCATTTTAATGTAAAATGTTTTTTTGAGTTGAACTGAATAGAAGTAAGTTTGAAGAAGTTTTTCAAAAATCCTTAATTAAAAATTTGGAAGAAATCAGTTATTATTTATATATCAATTGTAAAATGTTGAACGTTTAGATATTAAATGTTGAATGTTAAATGAATTAATATAAAAAATCGTTATCAATAAAAACAATACAATGCAAAAAAATACATAATAATTGAATATAATCTATTGTACATTTACTACAGTACTTAATTTTTTATTATTGATCCTTATCAGTCAAACATTGAAAGTATATTTTGACACAAAACAATAGAAGATTTATAAGCCCATTAGATAGATTAAAGTCTACTATGAAGAGAATCATATAATAGGACTAGTTAACTATTAATTCTGAATAGTGAAACAATAGTTGATAAAAAATTAAATTAAATTTAAGATAACCCCGTTAACTTAATGCAACAAAACTAATTAAATTTGATAGAAGATTTTAGTATTTTGGAATAAATTCAAAATGCCGTATTATTTTATTCAAGTTAAGATTGATCAATCAATCCAAGGTTAACTCAACTCGTTTAGTAATGATTTACGTTTGTATAAATCGTTTAAATTAATTTCTCTTCTCTTACTGAAAGTAACATTGATACACGAATGAGAAAATGTACTTCATATCCTTAGTAAGTTTATTAATATAATCATGAAAAATTTAAGTATACAATGCTGAGTTTCACAGTATCACTCGATCTTGAATTCCAAATAATGATGAGGTTGTTAATCATTCCATGCCTGAATACTTCTCTGAACACTATCGTCTTAGTATTGAGTGTAGTAATAAACCGTAAAATAAAGATCATGTACTATAGACGTGTCACCCTATAATTCTAATAATAGTAAGTTGATTGCATAAAAGTAGATCCACTAACAATAATATTAAATTCTCTCCATTATCATAATTTCAAATAGATTGATTTGAATGATTAATGTAATATTCTTGTCAATAGTCGCCTTTGACATTTACAATCTTTCAATTGGTTGAGAAGTGGAATATGGTAATTGTAATGTCTGAAATGTATCAAATGTAAATTGAATTTCTATTTTCGACTGATATCAATGTAATTTTAAAATTTATAGTTTTTGATAGTTTAATATTGAGTACCTTATTGTTTTAAAATTTTATTTCTTTATCTTCACCTAATTTTTTCCAAATTTTATGACGAGATTTTGGAACGAGAATTAAATTTATTATGAGACCCTTTAGGGCGCTATAGATTAAACCCCGCCAAAAACCTTCCGCCTGAACTTTTAAATGTTGCTCTACTAAAATTCAGCCTATTAATCTTAATTTAAGCTCTTTTACTTTCTCTTATCAATTTATACTTTTACAATTTTAGTCAACAATACATATTATACTCAAATGCCTTTTTTATAAATGGAATTTCTACATAATTGAGATAGCGGTTAAAGCTGAAATCTTTTTTGTTGTCTTTGAAACATCTTTGATTTACGAAAAGTTGAATAAACAATCAACAGATTCAAAAATAACCATGTTTTCAAACTATTTAAAGTATATTGTATCACTGAATGTACGAGTACTTACTTGTTAACTGATTTGTTGATATTATTTCCACTTATTCTATAAATTGAAATCGAAAAGACCATATAAATTTTAATGAATAATTTACATGAAACGTCAATTTTCCACTCTTTTCTTTTTCCACCAAGAAATCTTATCAACTGTCAAATAATTTTATTTCTTTTCACTTAAAGTTTTTTTTCTTAACTTCGAACTGTGTCGTAAAGGGTCAGAGATTTTTAAAATTTTTCTTTGCTTTTTGATATTCCGTTGTAATAATATTTATTTTGGTGAAGCCTTTCATCAAATTTTTTACAAAGTGCCGTATTGAACACAAAATAATGTTAAATCAAAGTATACAAAATGTGTTTTCCCCACATAAACTTTGATTTCAGACTTAAGTTACAAATGAAGAAGTCATACGAGCACTAAAGCTAAGATGTTATTGATCTATTGACGATTATTTCTATTTTTTAAAAATTCAAAACTCCATATTTATTATTTATCAGACTACATCTATTCATTTAGCTACTCTGGACCAATTTTTAAATTCTTTTTCACCATATTGAATTTCTCTTATCCATTCTGCAACTTGAGAAGTTAATTCACCAGAATTACCTAATTTTACAGGTACAGGAATATCTTGATTTTTAAAACCAATATTTTTAATTGGTGATACAACAGCTGCTGTTCCTGCACCAAAAGCTTCTATTAAATTTCCTTCTTCTGCTGCTTTTTTAACATCATGTATAGTAAATTTACGTTCACTTATAATCCATTCTTTTGGATCTAATCTTTCTCTTGATAATTCTAATATAGATTCTCTTGTAACACCTTCTAATATAGTACCATCTAATGGAGCTGTTATTAATTCCTTTTTTCCATCTTTATTTTTTATAACAAAAAATACATTCATTGTACCAACTTCAGTAATATATCCTTCGTCACCAAATAACCATAAATTTTGATCAAATCCTTTTGAAGCAGCTTCTTTTTGTGGTAAAATACAAGGAGCATAATTTGCTCCTAATTTTTTATCTCCAACCCCACCTGGCCAAGCACGAACAGCATAATCAGTAGCTTCTAATGATACAGGTTTAAAACCATTTTTATAATAAGGACCAACTGGACTTGCAATAACAAATAATAAAGCTTTATCTGGAGTACCAACACCTAAACCAGAAGAAGTACCAATTAATGTTGGTCTTAAATATAATGAATATCCAGCTCCTTCAGGTATAAATTCATGATCTAAAATTAATAATTTATCAATTAATTTTTGTAATTCATCTCCATTAAATTCAGGTAATGCAATTCTTTTTGCTGATTTATTCATTCTAATCATATTTTTTTCACCTCTAAATGTTCTTATATTACCTTCCTTATCTTTATAAGCTTTCATACCTTCAAATAATTCAAATGCATAATGAAATACACATGTTGCTGGATCTAAACTTAAATTATGATATGGTGAAATTTTAGGAATTCCCCAACCATTTTTGGAATCCCATTCTATTTCTAACATATGATCAGTAAAATATTTTCCAAATATTAAATCTTCTTTTGCATGTTTTTGTTTTGGTGTTGTAGTTTTTTCAATAACTAATTTTGAAGCATCTAATGGAGCAGACATCTTGGTTGATTTTTGATTCTATAGAATATTGTCAATTAGTGACTATTATTCCAAATTTATATAGTTTATGGATATTTCATGTTTTTTTTTTTTCAAATCATTGAGTCAATTCTCGGTTATAAGAGGAGACTATATTTCAATGAATAAGTACAGCTTATTAGATCTAAGTATTAGTCAGCATTCAATTTAACACATTATTATTTCGTATTATTTCGTATATTCTATTTATAAAATCCTTTGAGTTAATTTACCATATTCATCAGGGTAAAAAATTAATCTTTCTACACCATCTTTAGTTAATATTACCATTCTTATAACACCACCTGAAGATCCATCCCATTTAATAGCTTCTGCTAAAGCAGTTTTTATAAATGTTATAGTTTCATCTTTTTCCATATCAGGTTTATAATTTTCATTACACCAACCATAAATGAAAGTAGATCCACTTCCTGCTATTGCATAATCTTGTTTATGAATTGACCCACCAATTGGTATTGAATATACTGATCCTCCATATTTATCATCATAACCTGCACATATAATTCCAGCAGTTACATTATCTTTATTATTATAACACATTTCTTGAAATACATTTGCTGCAATATCTGTTGTCGGTTTTTGACCAGAAGGTAATTGTGAAGAATAAGTTTGTAAATAATATTTAACAATATCTGCTACTGCTTGAGTATCTGCAGCAGAACCTGATCTACAACAATATATTGTATCATGAATTTGAGTTAATTTATCTGTTACTCTATTTGCAATATATGATCCTGTTGTTGTACGTGAATCTGCTCCTAATATTACTCCATCTTTAAATTTAACTGCCATTATTGATGTACCCAAATTGACTTCACCCTTTTTCAAGTGATTGATATCTACTGAAATCCCATTCATTGTTTGCTGATGCTTAAATTGAATTGAAGTACACTGATTGCCACTATGTTTCGAAAATGTTTGTTTCATTTTGTATTTTTCTCTTGGGACAGTTTCGGTGGTAGTCATGTGACTAAAGGCTTACACGTTTAACTAGACCACCTGACACACACACGTAATTCAATCAATATCAATTTCAGATTTATCAACAGTTTTAAACATTCCTTATAATTAAGACAATAAAATGATGTTGGTTACTACCATACTTCTATTTATTAGTCTTATTATATCACTGATAATACCAGAAACATCATTTTCAATATCAAAACAAGAACAAAAACATGTTGAAGGAGATCCAAAAGTAACTCATAAAATAATATTTTCAATATCACAAGGTAATGAAAATGATCAAACAACTACAAAATTTTTAGGTAAATTAACATTAGGATTATTTGGAGAAATTGTACCAATAACAGTTGAAAATTTTTATCAATTATCAACAATGACTCAAGGTTTTGGTTATAAGAATAGTAAATTTCATAGAATAATAAATAATTTTATGATTCAAGGTGGTGATATTATCAAACAAGATGGTACAGGTTCACAACTGATTTATGGTGAAAAATTTAATGATGAAAATTTCTTAATAAAACATGATAAATTAGGTAGATTGTCAATGGCAAATTCTGGACCAAATACAAATGGTTGTCAATTTTTTATAACAAATATTGAAAAAATTCCACATTTAGATGGTATTCATGTTGTATTTGGTCAATTAATTGATGGATTTGATACATTAAATAAAATAAGTAATGTTGAAGTTGATTCTGAAATGAATAAACCAATGGAATCTATATTTATAAGTGATATACAAACTTCAATATTTGATAAAGATTTACAAGAAGCAAAAGAAAAATCAAATCAATTAAAATCTGGAGCAAGTGGTGAAGAACCACAAGATGATTTAAAAATTGATGAAGAAATTAAAAAATCAAGTTCTTTATATCCTTTGTTTTTTATTATATTGTTAATGTTAGCATTAGGTGGGATTTATTTCAAAAAAGTTTATAAAAGAGAGACAATTACTGATATAAGAAGTAATAGGAAATTTTAATAATAAGTTTATTTATTGATTTTTATGATGTAGTTTGAAATGACGTTTTCTTTCTGTTGTATTAAATATGAAATGAAAGAATACATCAGTGATCGAGATTTTTGTCATTCTCTCAAATATACTAATATGGAGGATACTTTGATAATTTTACTTAAATCATTATTTAGCAATCGATAAAATTCTGGAATTGGAGATAAATTAAGATGCTGTTACAATAACTTCCCTTTCATCTGTGTTGTTGTATTGATGAATGATGTAAGGGTTGTTGTATATGATTCCTATTTCTTTCAATTCTGAATCGTTGAGTGTTGTTGGTTTCCCAACAGTAATAATTGGTTCCAAATCATAGTTTCGGTAACAATTATTGCATATATATATTCCACAACAAAATTTACTTCAAACCAAAGTATTTGAATATTAAAAAAATCCAATTGCGGACATATTGACTAAACCATTATCCAACCAAACATTTGATCATTTGTCAAACAAAATTATAAATTCTTTTCCTCAACGATTCGGAATTAAAAGAAATAGGTTATCATATACAACAACCACTGAAACAACAAAATTATTCAAAATGAATGAGTTCAGCACTTCAAGAAAATCTGTTGACAAAAACCGTTATTCACTAGTTTCAAAAGTTTTGACTTAAGATTAGTAAAATCCTCATTTCTTCATTAATTTACTCTGGGTTCTCTCAGGATGTCTTATTCTTTTCCATATCTTTTGACATTTACTATATATCCAAAAATTTCTCATTCTATTTCATACATTTTTTTCAATTCATCTAATTGTTCTTTTCTTAATTTAAATTCATCATCACCTAATTTAGATTTATCAACATGGAATAAAGAACTAATCAAATATCTTCCATTAAAATTTACACCATTTGTTTCACGAGCAGCTAATTGAGCAGATTTAAAATTATAATAAATTATATATATTATACCTTGTTGATTTGAATTTTTTCTTAATTGATATATTGAACCATATTGGCTAAAGAATTCAAAAATTTGTTTATTTGTTGTTGTATATGAAAGGTTTTTTATTTGAACTATTGGAAAATCTGACATTTAATTCATTGCTTTGAGTTAATTTGAATTGAAGTGATATTATTGAATAAAGGTAGTAAATTGTTTGCGTAAGATTTAGAAGCTCGTTTTTTTTTTCGACCTATCGACCGAATTTTCTACAGAAACAAATATCAATAGATAATCTAAACATTTTAACATATCCATTCATCCTAACTCTATAATTTTATCTTATGCCCTATAACAAATTTAAGAAATAATAACTCATTAATCCTATAAATACAAAACCTGAAATTTTACCAATTTTAATAAAAATATTAACTGTTTCATATTTATATTTCAAAAATACTTCTAATTTAAAAATATCATCAAATAAATCCTTGTAGTGTATTGTTACTTTAACATGACCTTTTGAAACATCAAAATATGATAATTCATTTGATACTGTAACATCAGTATAAGGTATAGGAGAAACAACATCTTCAAATATAGAACCTTCAGGTAAATAAAATTCTAAATAAACATTATCATAAACTGTATCTCTTAAAGTATTTAAAATTGGAAATTTAATAATATATTCATCATTATTTATTTTATGAATAAAATTGTTTAAATTTTCTGACCAACCTAATGTAAAATTATAATGCCAACCTCCAAATATGGGGAATCTAGGCAGTAATAATAAATGATTTGAAATTTTTTTATGACTTGATACAACTCCAACTTTATCAGTATAATAATAATCATCAAGATCTCTATTCACCAAGGGAAATTCTAAATGACTTAAAGCCCAATGATTACGTGTACCTTCATATCTACCTTTCATCCAATCAACTCTACTAAATCCAGAAGATAATTGTGCACCAGAATTAGTTAATTCATAATATTCTTCAATTGATACTTTATTTACATTTGAACCAGGTAACCATATTGATCTATTTAAATTTATAACTTCAGTTAATGGTCTATTATGATCATACATTAATCCCATTGGTTTTAAAGTAAATGGATGTAAATCTTCAATTAAAGGACCATATTTTAAAGATTGATTATCAACTCTTGGTTCTAAAACTGGTACATTTTCAGTTGAATTTACTTTATCATCAATATTTAAATCCATTTCTTGACCTTTTGACATTCCAGTTAATGACATAGTATAATCCTTTGTAACATAAGGAGAAAATGGAAATTTATTAGTCTTGAATAATAATTGTTGAGTATCTTCTAATTTGATTTTTGAAGGTATTGATTTTAATTGATTAATATATACATAATTTACTTTAATTTCTAAATTTGAATTTGGTGATACAGGTAATGGTAATTTTAATTTATAAATTTTATTTGGTACTATAATTTCAAAAGGAATTTCAATTAATTGATCATTTAATTGAAAAGAAATCATTGATAAATTATCAACACTATCAAATCCATCATTTATAGTATATATATATTCTTTTAATGGAGTTGTTGCAATATTTTTTATATCAATTAAATCAGTTTCTTTAACATATGATTTACTTAGATCAATTGTACGCATATAATGAGTATTTTCCCAATCTGGTGAAAATGTGTATAAACTTTGTGAAGCAATACATATGGATAGTATTAATCCAATTGATAATATAAACTGCCTCAACATAATTAGTGAAGGATGTGGTAGTATGTTAGTTTGAAAATCTAATGTTCAATAACTATCGGTGCTTGAAAAATTACAAAACAGTATAAACACGTCAAATACATAAGATCAAAAAGTAGTGCAAAAATGTTCAATGGAAAAGTGTTAATAAATATTATAAGATCTTCTAGAGTTATACTATTATCAACAAAGATCTTGGATACACAAGAGTGAGAATTTTAGATCTAGTATCGCGTATAGATCATGATTGGTATTATGACAATAATTTGATATTGATATTTGTTTTTGAGATTAATGAAGTTCTAAGCTCCGGCACTTAACCATGTACGAGACTTTTTAACAAACAAAGTTACGGAAGTAAGGAATGAGTACAAAGAAATAATGACCTAGCAGGAGATAGATTGAATGAAGAACCTAATTATCAATTAGCTTTTAGAAAAACCTAGAATCGAATATATTTTGATTCTGTTCTCTACTCTACCCTTGATTCCCTGTCTAACTCTACAGTACATTAAAAAATTGTAAATAAATGAGAATTATTTTTTTCTCAATTGGCCCTCAATTTTCTATAAAATAATTTTACAACCAAATTTTAATAATAGCAAACTAAGATAGATTGGTTGACAACAAGTCTTTATCAACAATCATAACCATTTCAAACAACTGCAAATCATCCAAATGTCATTTCAAGATCTTATTCCAGTGGTTAATAAACTACAAGATATTGTAACAACCACTCAATTAGCAGATATTGATTTACCAATTTTAGCAGTTGTTGGTTCACAATCTTGTGGGAAATCATCAGTATTAGAAAATATTGTTGGTAAAGATTTTTTACCAAGAGGTGTTGGAATAGTTACAAGAAGACCTTTAGTTTTACAACTTATAAATGTTAAAGAAGATGATCCTATTGTTTATAAACAAACTTCAGAATTTTCTACAAGTGAAGAAGATTCAGATGAAATTAATTTAGAAGATCATTTAAGAAAAATGAATGGTGGGAAATCTAACTCTTCATCTTCTTTTAAATCAAATCCAAAATCTGAATGGGGAGAATTTTTACATATACCAAATAAAAGATTTTATAATTTTCATGATATTAGAAAAGAAATTGAACATGAAACTTTAAGAATAGCTGGTGAAAATAAAGGAATAAGTAGATTACCTATCAATCTTAAAATATATTCACCAAATGTATTAAATTTAACATTAGTGGATTTACCAGGACTTACTAAAATACCAATTGGAGATCAACCAACAGATATTGAAAGACAAACAAGAAATTTAATTTCAGAATATATTTCAAAACCAAATTGTATTATATTAGCTGTTTCTCCAGCAAATGTTGATTTAGTAAATTCAGAATCTTTAAAACTTGCAAGACAAGTTGATCCTACTGGAAAAAGAACAGTTGGTATATTAACAAAATTAGATTTAATGGATCAAGGTACAAACGCTTTGGATATTTTAAAAGGTAATGTATATCCATTAAAATTAGGATTTATTGGAATAGTTAATAGATCACAACAAGATATATCAGAAAATAAATCATTAGATGAATCTTTATATTCAGAACAAAAATTTTTTGCAAATCATCCTGCTTATAGATCAATGGCTTCAAAATGTGGTACTAAATATTTAGCACAAACATTAAACAAGATTTTAATGAATCATATAAGGGAAAGATTACCCGATATAAAAGCAAAATTAAATACTCTTATAGGTCAAACTGAACATGAATTAGCATCATATGGGGATATACCAAACATTGAAGATTCAAAAGAGAAAAGAGGTATAATATTATTATCAATAATTTCAAAATGGTCTACTACTTTTGTTCATTCAATTGATGGTGATTCATTTCAAGATATTTCTTCAAAAGAATTATGTGGGGGTGCAAAAATATATAACATTTTTAATACAATTTATGGTTCAAGTTTATCTTCAATTAATCCAGTTCATAATTTATCAATATTAGACATTAGAACAGCAATTAGAAATTCTACAGGACCTAGACCTTCATTATTTGTCCCTGAATTAGCTTTTGATTTATTAGTAAAACCACAAATTAATTTATTAGAATCTCCATCTCAAAGATGTGTTGAATTAGTTTATGAAGAATTAATGAAAATTGTACATAGTGTTAGTTCTACAGGAATTGGACCTGAATTAAATAGGTATCCAAGATTACAAGCAAGATTAATAGAAGTTGTAAGTGATTTATTAAGAGAAAGATTAGGACCTACTAAAAATTATGTTGAATCTTTAATTGAAATTCATAGAGCTTATATAAATACAAATCATCCAAATTTTGTTGGTGCTGCACAAGCAATGACAATGGTTGTAGCAGAGAGACAAAAGGAAAAAGAAAATGAACTGAATAGTAAATTAAGACTAGCTACTCAAAGACTTTTAGGTAAAAAGATTAAAGAAGAAAATGAAGATGGAGAAGAAGAAGAGGAGGAAGAAGATACAGATGAAGGATTTGAAAGATTACAAGAAGACATTAAATCAATAGATGAAGAATTTCCAAAAAATCATAAACATAATAGACATAGTAGAAAACAAAGAGCAGAATCATCAACACATCATTATCCACAAAATGAATCATCATATTTAAATTATTTCCTTGGTAAAGATCCAATAGTTCATCAACAACAATTACAAACTCAAGCACAATTAAATCCTACACCTTTTAAATTCCCACAACCTCATGAAACAACATTACAATTCAATACTCAATTTGTCAACAATGGTGTTATACAAAACCCTACTACAAATTCATCATTACCAAATGGTCATCATCATCATAATAATAACCCATCTCAAGATTTTCAAAAACTTTCCATATCCGAAACTGATTCATCATTTGAAGGAGATAATACTATATTAGAATTAAGTGAAAGAGAACAAATGGAATGTGAATTAATAAGAAGATTAATTATATCATATTTTAGTATAATTAGAGAAATGATTCAAGATCAAGTCCCCAAATCAATAATGTGTTTATTAGTTAACCACATAAAACAACATATACAAAATAGATTAGTTGTAAAATTATACAATGATCAATTATTTGATGATTTATTAAAAGAAGATGAAAATATTCAAGCTGAACGTGAAAAATGTTTAGAATTATTAAAAACTTATAAAGAAGCTAGTAAAATTATTAGTGATGTTATATAGTCCATTAGTTTTTTTGATGAATTTTTTATTGATGTTATATAGTTTTTGGTGAATTTTAAGGATTCCAAATTTACTTGTTTATAAATAGTTTCATGAATTTACAACTTTATAGAATTGCTTTAACTCTTATCCACGTCTCGAATGTTGTAATCTAGGTTTAATTTTGTTAGATTTTTCGCATCAATTTTGAATCATTTTTCAAATCTCAATTCGATTTCCGTGCATACATCGAAGTTTAAAAGTTCGAAAAACCACAAAGCATTGATTTTACCTTAATGAGTTTTGAATGTCTTGAATGTCTTCAGACTCCAAATTAATATATCAACATTATGGATACAAAATCCAAGAGTTGATACGTTCTCATGAATCAGTGGAGCATCAAATTTCCTTGAAGAATGGTAGATTAGTTATAGATAATTCATCAGATGAAGAAGATTATAAAACTCATTATGAAAATGGAGGACCTATCGAAATAGTAGACATCTTACATGATCAATTGGGTCCACCTTCACGAGTTTCCAATCAAAACAATGTGCATAATCACGGTTTCAATAATTTTGAAAAAGTTCCTCCAAGTTTCTGGTCAAGAGAAGAAAATGTACGTAAAGTAGATTCAGCTTGGCTTTTAAAAAATGTACTTTTAGCAATGAAATACCGATTATCTAAAATGGAACCAATGGTGAAGAAAAAGTTTAATAATTCAAAGAATGAACAACTTTTAAGATTTATTGAATTTGGTAAGAAAACATCAAAAAAGGAGATTACAGCATTAATGTCTGATCCAAGGCATCAAATATGTTGTATTTTTCCTAGAAAACATTATTTAAAATTTATAGCAAAGGGAAATTTAGATATTGATAATCCTTATACAATTTTTAATTTTATGTTTGTTAAACAATCACATTTAAAATTTGTTGATCATAAATTTATGAAAAATCATTTCAATTTTAAAGTTGATCCTCATTTAAGATATTGTATATTAGAATTAATTGATTATGAATATGTACGAAGTGTGAAATCAGCTACTTTAAAAGAAATTAAAGGAGTTGAACCAATCACAACTAGAATTGATGAAGATGGTAACGAGGTTGAAATTGAATCAGAAGAAGAATTTGATCGTAATGTAGGATTTGGAAGTGATTCTGAAGTTAATTTCGATGAACAAAGGTTAAGATTGATTTATAATAATGAATTATATAGAAGACTTTGTTTGTCTAATTAAATTTAAATTAAATTTTGTTGTAAAAATTTAAAAAATTAAATTTTTTGCAACCAAATTCTTTTACAACCAACAAACTTAAAATGGCAGAAACAAATTCAATACCTGATGCTAGCTCCACTGATAGATTATTAGACGAAGATGTAAGTCCCAATGATGACACTCAAGGTTCAAAAAATTCAAATAATTCCAATACTGAAGAGGAAGATCCCTTGATGGAAGACCCAACTAACTCAGGTACAATCCAATCCACTGCATTACTCCCAACTGATCAAAGAACTTTAATTCAATCTATTAGATCAAATGAATCAATGATCGAAGAGGCTGCTCACGTTAGAAGATGCTTACCATGTTGGAATTATGGATCAGATACAACTCCCACACAACCTGCACCAACTGAAGAATTAGATGAAGAAAGTAGACCAAGATCAAGTTATACTATTCCTGGCTCAGCATCCCAACAACAACCAAATACATTTGGTCCAATTATCAATAATTTTCTTTTAGAAATGTTAGAACGTTGGTTAATAAAATATATTAGACGTCATTATAACAGCCCTTATTTCATCGTTGCTGTTAGTGTTTTGATAATCATTACCACTATAACAGTTTTGATTTTAGCACTTACTGGTAATTTAAATGGTTTGGTGCATTTCTCAAAATTTTTTTTATGTGCTTTACTTCGTCAATTTCAACCTTCAACAGAATTTGGCTTTTGTTCAAGAGATAACACGGATGAACCTGAAAAACCCTGAATTATAAGAATTTGAATGCTAACTAATTAAGACCTATTTACATTAACTATTTTTTATGTCTTACCATTCTCCCTTTTCTATTTCTAATAACACTTGGATTTGGTTTAATTCTTGTCTTTTGGAATTTTTTCAAACCCCACATAGATTGAGTTAATTTATTCGATTTAGATTTACCTCTACCACCTCCATGAGGATGATCACAAGCATTCATAGCAACACCTCTTGTAATAGGTTTTCTACCTCTATGACGAGCTCTACCTGCTTTACCCCATGAAATCAATTGATGTTCCTTGTTGGATACAACACCTAAAGTTGCATGACAATCTAAATGAACATATCTATGTTCACCACTTGATAATTTTATAATGGCTTTTGATTTTTCAGTATGTTTTGACAAGATTTTACCAAATGTTCCTGCACTTCTTACTAATTGAGCTCTGTTTCCTGGGCGTAGTCCAATATTGTGTATTATTGACCCTACAGGTAACATCCTCAAGGGTAAACAATTACCTCTTTGTAAAACTCTTGCTGATAATAAAGCATCATCAATTTCTCCATTATTTGTTTTTTTCATTTCTTCAATGAAATCTTCTGGGATTCCCTGTCTAAAACTTTCAACAATATCTCCACTTCTTAAACCTTGAGGAGCTAAAATATATGATAAATCTCCAGTTGTTACATTTTCTAATAATGCTATATGTCCAGATCTATTAGGATCATATTCTATTCTCAACACCTTGTTTTTACCAGATTCCCATCTATGAAAATCCAATAATCTTATTCTTTGTTTATGACCTCCACCTCTACCTCTTATAGTAATTTGTCCCTTATTATTTCTACCAGCATTTTTCTTTTTAGGTAAAGTTAATTCTTTGATTGGTTTTCCTTTATGTAGGTGATCATGAACTGGTTTTTTGTAGTGAGTTGAACCTGGATGAGTGTGAGGTGGGAAAAAGTCACCATAGTTTTTTATTTTAACTAGTTTCAATGACAATTCTCTCTGTTTTCTATATTTTATATCTTGTGCTTCTAAGTCTGTTAATTGATTTGTGGTAGATGAGGATGAATTGAATCTGATGATTAGTTTGGAAATGGATTTCAGATTGAATACCCCATGAACCAGCCTTAGCTGGCTAGTGGTGAGTCTTTTACTTAGACTCGGTATCATGTGCTTTTAGGTTGTGTTGTGTTGGTTGGTATCAATCAATCTTTTGAATAATAGCCTAGATTAAATTTTTCATTACTTATTGAGACAAATCGAGGCTACCAGATACACTCTTACATCTTAACTTACATACTTTGTTAGTAAACCAATAATAATCAGAGTGAAATGCTACCAACTTATTTAAACTTTCTCGCAATTGCCTACCCACATTAATTACATCGAATGAAAAAAAAACCAACGTGAATAGAAATCTATAGAATCATTGTACAACAGAAACTACTAAGAGACAATTTTTTTCTTTCATTAGTAGTCCCATATCAATTCATTGTCAAATCATATAACTAAAGCAATGTACTCACGTGTATTCATCCGTTCACTTTCTTCCACCCGTTACTTGGCCAATTCAGCTAAAAATGCTAAACCACCATTACAATTGTTTGGAATTGATGGAACATATGCCAATTCATTATACTCAGCATCAATTCAACAATCCGATATGAACCAAACTTACAATTCATTGAAGAAAGTTGAAAATGTCATAAAAGGAGATCCAAAATTAGAAGAAGCATTGACTGACCCTTCATTAACTAGAGATGATAGAGTTTCAATTATAAAAGAAGTTAATAAAAATTTAGAATTAGATAATACTACTGCTAACTTTTTATTAGTTTTAGCTGAAAATAATAGATTAGGTAATTTCCCATCAATTTTTAAAAAATTTGGAATGTTAAATGATGCTCATAATGGTATAGTAGAAGCAAAAGTTACAAGTGCAAAACCTTTAGAATCAAAAGTATTAAAAAGATTACAAAATTCAATTGGTAAAAGTAATTTTGTTGGAGAAGGTAAAACTTTAAAATTAACTAATGAAGTTAATCCAGATATTCAAGGTGGTTTAGTTGTTGAAGTTGGTGATAGAACTGTTGATGTTTCAATTTCAAATAAAGTTGCAAAATTAAATCAAACTTTAAGAGAAAACTTATAGGTTGCACCGAGTTTATAGATGAAAGTGTGAGGAATTAAATGAAAAAAACGATATTACAGTCAAATAAAATGTAGTGTTCTTGGTGGGCCATTGAAATTCGTTCGTGCGTCTGTACTCTCTCCTTTTCGTAAAGCATATAATGATTGATATACCTGGAAGCCCGTGAGCATGGATGCAATCTTGATGACAAAAAAACTAGGCTAGCTCTGAAAGGTGTGGGATATATGTGAACCAAAAAAAAATAGGCGGATATGAAAATCTCAAAATCATCAACACGAATCTAAAAACCAAATCATAATATATGGATGACAATTTCTCCTAAATTCAAGCTCATTGTAGACTTGATCACTGTCATTACAATATTGCTCAATGGGTTCATATATTTTTATCCAGACTTATTAAATCCTAAGGGTCAATGTAATTGGTCTGATGCTAAAGATTTGAAACCAAAATTTCCAATTTTAAATAATATACCTGAAAAATTTCTACAACCTTTACTTTTAAATGTTCGAGATTTAGCTGAGTCTCAAAAAGTTAATGATGATATTCATATGTTACTTTTTGGAGATCCACAAATAAATGGTAATTGGCCAAATACAAAATATATCAAGAGATTAGATAATTATGGAAATGATTATTATCTTGGACATATTTATAATACAATGTCAAAGAGATTGAGACCATCTCATGTTACTGTTATGGGAGATTTATTTTCAAGTCAATGGATTTTAGATACTGAATTTTATAATAGAACATTGAGGTATGTTGAAAGGTTATTTCCTCAAGATTATGAATATAAACGAAATGTGATTGAAACTCATAGTAAACATGAAGATTATAATTGGAATTTATGGTTAGAAAATGAAACGAAAATGGATCCTTTGGATAGATTCAATTCTAGGGTGTATAATGATGTATATGATTGGGTTTATCAAGATCGAAAAACTCCAAATTTCGATAATCCATTGTTTATTAACTTGACAGGAAATCATGATATTGGATATAGTGGAGATGCAACTTGGCAACATATGGCAAGATTCCATCATTTATTTGGTCAAAATAATTTTGTTATAAATTACAATAAGGAAACTGAAAGATCATGGAGAATAGTTGTATTAGATTCATTAACATTAGAAGGTCCTGCTTTACAAAATGAATTTTTAGAATATACTTGGTCATTTTTAAATCATTTGGAGAAATATGAAAATCCTACTTTTAATGGTTCAACCATTTTATTAACTCATATTCCAATGTATAAGAAAGCAGGATTATGTAGAGATGGTCCAGAACATAAGTATTATAAAAATTATACAAGAGAACCATATAAAGTAGGGTTACTAAGGTCTCAAAATCATTTATCATATGAAACAACCCAAAAAGTGATGAGTATAGTATTTACAAATGTAAACAAGAGCGGTATAATACTAACTGGTCATGATCATGAAGGTTGTGACGACTGGTATAACTATGTGGATGGGGAATGGGTTGCATCCAAAGAACAATCTCCAAAAAATCGTCAATCGGTGAGAGAAATAGTTGTTAGGTCGATGATGGGAGATTTCGATGGTCAAACTGGAATATTAACTGGTAAATTTTTAAATGATAATTGGAGATTTGATTTTAGTTATTGTTCATTTACTGTTCAACATTGGTGGTGGGCTAGTAAAATTAGTATTTTAATAACATTATTTTTACAATCATTGATAAAATTACCATCATTTTTCGGACTTCAATAGAGTTAAAACAATAGCATATAACATAAAACACTTATTTAAATCCTTTTCTTTTTATTTTAGAAACATACAAAACTAACTCATAAACAAATTTTTTTTTTTTTATCTCATGTCTTCAAATCTTCAACATCTTCTTTATAACCTCCATCTTCTTCTTGTACTTTAGCTTTTGAATTCAATTCAATATTTTCTTCATCACCATTTTTAGGTTCTTCATCATCTTTTTTTTCATCACCATCGTTTTCTTTAATATAATTTTCAATAGCTTCTTTTGCACCTTCAATACTTTGTTCAGGAGAAATTTGTAAATCCTTATCTTTTAAAACTCCATCAACAAAAATCCAATGAGATCTTTTAATTCCACTTGGAGATTTTTTGGCTCCTAATAAACCAATAATTTTTTTTTCAGGATCACTAATTAAATCATATTCTAAACCTTGTTTTTGAACAAAATTTAATTGATTTTTTGGTGTATCTGAAGAAATCCCAAACACAGCAACATTATTATCAGTAAACCATTTATGATTCTTTTGAAATCCACAAACTTGTCTAGTACATCCAGGAGTTGATGCTTTTGGATAAGCAAAAATAATTAAATATTTATGCTTTTGAGATTCAGCTTGTAAGTCTACTTCTTCATCGTTTTGATTCAATAATTTTATACTTGGTAATTTATCACCCACTTCTAATTCAACTGATGTTTCTTCATCTTTAGTTTCAGTTGGCTCTGGTTTCTCTTCTTTTTCTTCTTTTTTTTTCACATCTGACTGTGGGGTTTTATTATTATTTGTTTTCGAAGGTTTTTTAGCCTTTTTAACTGGTGGTTCCTCAGTTTTAGGTGGTTGAGGTTGAGCAGCAACTCTAGCAGAACGACGTAAACCCAGCATTGATCCAATTTCAAGTTAATTTGTTATTTGAAAATGATTAATACAAAAGGATGGTTATACGTTGAAATTATTAATGTATTTAAAATTTAGTAATTTGCTCTTATTATCTCGTAAATTTAAGATTGTATGCAGAACTGACCGTGTTAACAATTTTGACGACGATCGGTTATATAAATTTGCACTAACAATTAACACCGAATTGTCTAATTGGATCAATAGTAGAAGTAAGAAACGGTAGAGTTAATCAAAAATACTAAATCAATGATATGAATGGGTAATGTTTGTCAAATAAGTCGAACGTGACGACGTGAGACAACACTTTTTGTGTGGCAAAAAACCTTACACAAAAGCTACCAAATTTTTCAAGTGAACTAGAATCATCAGATTAGTAGAAACAACTACAAATATCATCAACATTATCATACATCTCAAAACAACATCGAATCATCAAAGCTATGTTCACAAAGGATGAGATCAAGATAGGCTCTAAATTATACGTGGAAAAAGAAGGGGAAGATAGAGTGGCGGAGGTGTTACAAATTCATCAAAAAAAGCAAAGATTGGTATATTATGTACATTATAAAGATTTCAATAAAAGATTGGATGAATGGATTGAAGATGATAGAATTAACTATGAAAAACCACTAACACAGCCAGAAGTCAAAGTTGAAGAAAATAAATCATCAAAAAAGAAGAAAGCCACCAAAACTACAAGTTCTCAACTGGTTAATCCAAAATCTAAATCAGAAACAGCTGCTTCTACTCCACAAGAAGATATTAAAATGAATGATGATGAAATGGATTTAGAAAACTTGAATGTACAAGGTTTGAAAAGACCAGGTGAAGAAGTTAGTAGAGAAGAAGAAATTAAAAAATTAAGAGCAGGTGGATCAATGACTCAAAATCATTCTGAAGTAGCAAGAGTTAGAAATTTAACAACGATAGTATTAGGTGAACATATAATTGAACCATGGTATTTTTCACCATATCCTATTGAAATAACAGATGAAGATCAAATATATATATGTGATTTTACCTTATCATTTTTTGGATCTAAAAAGCAATTTGAAAGATTTAGATCAAAATGTTCAATGAAACATCCACCTGGGAATGAGATTTATAGAGATTCCAAAGTTAGTTTTTGGGAAATAGATGGGAGAAAACAAAGGACTTGGTGTAGAAATCTTTGTTTATTATCTAAATTGTTTTTAGATCATAAAACATTATATTATGATGTTGATCCTTTTTTATTTTATATTATGACTATCAAATCAGATAAGGGACATCATATAGTTGGATATTTTTCCAAGGAGAAAGAAAGTGCCGACGGATATAATGTTGCATGTATTTTAACATTACCTTGTTATCAGAAAAGAGGATTTGGGAAACTACTAATTCAATTTTCATATATGTTATCGGCAGTTGAAAAGAAGATTGGATCACCAGAAAAGCCATTATCAGATTTGGGATTGTTATCATATAGAGCATATTGGACAGATACATTAGTTAAATTATTGGTTGAAAAAAATAATCCCTCCTTGTTCAAAAAAAACAACCCACAATTAGTTGAGGAAGGAGAATTTGAAGGAACACCACCACCAAATTCTAGAACAGCAGCAATTACTAACGGCAATTCAAATGAAATAACTATCGAAGATATATCAGCTATTACTTGTATGACAACAACTGATATACTACATACATTAACAACATTACAAATGTTAAGATATTATAAAGGACAGCATATAATAGTTTTAACTGAACAAATGATGGTTTTATATGATAAATTAATTAAAAAGATAAAAGAAAATAAAAAACACGAATTAAACCCAAAACTACTAAATTGGACACCACCACTGTTTACAGCAAATCAATTACGTTTCGGTTGGTAAAAAAAAAAAGTCTTTCAATTAGCTTCACCCCAAATTTTAATACTTTTATCACCTTCACCAGTTATCAATCTCAAACCAGACATATCAAATGTCGAAGCGTAAATCGCAGACCCTTCGGAACCAGGTAATGACGGTGTTGCACCTTGTTGAACAAGTTGTCCCAGAATATAATCATGAAATTCAATTCTACCATTATCATACCCAGTAAATAAAGTATTAGTTATAGGATTAATACATAATGAATTAATGATTTTATTTTCACTTTTTTGATCTCTATTTCGTTCAAAATTATTTATTAGTTCACCATTTGGTAAAAGCCATTGTTTGATGTTACCATTAGAATCACCAGATATAAAAGTTGCTTCTTTTGGATTTTTCGCCATTGATCTTATACTTTTAGAATGTTGAGTAATACAAACTTCTGTTTTTTGATTTCTCAAATCCCATAATCTAATAGTTCCATCCATAGATGATGTAAAAACTTGTGGATCATATGAATTAGTATGTATGGAGGTGATATCATCTGTATGTCCACTCAATTGAGCTATTTCTGTACTTGTATTAATATCCCAAATTCTTACTACTGCATCTCTACCTCCACTTAAAAGTATATCTAGATCTTCATGTAATGCTAATGCATATATTCCACCAACATGACCATAAAAGTTTTTAATTTGACAACCTTCAATTTGATTCAGTCGTTCTAAATCCCAACATCTTAAAGTCTTATCTTCTGCTCCTGAAAACAAATATGGAAATTTCTTTGACATGACTAAAGATCTTACTCCCATAATATGTCCGGTTAATGTAGTTTTTAAATTCAGTGATGCTAAATCCCAAATCTTAATAGTAGAATCAGCAGACCCAGTTGCAAACCATTTATTAGTCACTTCATCAAGGGCTATTGCTCTAACCCACCCTTGATGTGCTCCAGCCAAAGTACGTAGTAGTTTCCATTGTGGTTGATAAGTTGATTTTTCAATCTCTTGATCTTGTGATGTATTTGTTGCAATTAAAGATGATTCTTCTACTTCGTCATTTAAGGAAAATAAATAATCCAATTTTGAATTCTTATAAATTGCATCAGATAATGCATCGTCAACATCGTCTGTGATTAGATGTTGGTATGTGGTAGTTGTCATATCATTTGAACTTTAGAAAGTGTAATTGTTGCAAAACTAAATTTTCAAAATAAATTTCAATTAAAAATGTACTTCTTTACATGCAATTAATTCAAAATTTATACAATGTTTTAACTCAGTCAAACAAATTGTATAAGGTAATACAAATCATTCCGAATGATGATACAAACCAATTAATTCTACACGAAGAAGAAGATGTTTTAGATATTGGAATGAGCAAGAAAACATATCTTGCAATTTTTAAAGAGTCACACACATACTTTCATAATTCATATGACAAATCTACTTCAAATTCACACGATGACTTGCAATCTTTGTATTTAATGACGTTAGGATTTTTAATCACAACAAATGAACATTCAACCATCATCAAACTTCATGAGAAAGTAGTTAATAAACTAAATAATCAAGAACAAGATTTAGAAATTATATCATCATTTTTAACTTGTAAACTGAAAAGAATTAATAAAAGTAGTTCCTTATGGTATTATTTAAAAAAATTGACTATATCACAAGTATATGTAAAGAAAGATTATAAATTATTGAATAAACTAGTACTAAGAGCTTTAAAAAGTTGTAAAACTCATTTTGCAAATTATTATGCTAATAATTATTTGAGATGGATTATTATGGTCAACCAGATAATGGGAATGAGTAATGAATTTTTGATACAAGAACTAAGGAGAGTGTGTCATGCAAATTTATCAGATAGTTCTTTATGGGGAACATTTTGCATTTTGATGAAGTCTCATAATGAAAATGGAATTGAATTAATTGTTGAGGAATATAATATGATGACTGGTATATCTCTAGTTACAGAACCTAGTTCCCAGTCGATTTATCAGTGTATGATTCCAAATGAGTTCAAGTGGTTAATAAATGTCCAATGCAAGTATTTGACACCGTATCGATTACTCATTCAATCATGTGAATCAAATGATATTTTAATTTCTTTGAGACTGAAGATACAAGACAGTAATCTACCTGAAGATTTACGACAGTTGATACTTAATTCCATCAATCGTAAAGCAAACTCTCTTATGTAGTGTTAAATGAATGATAATTAAGTAAGTAAAAAATTGTAAGAATTATATTTTTTGGTTGCAAAATTGAAACAAATTTTATGTAAGATAGGGTGATCGAAACAAGTACTAAATATTAGATGGGCAGTTCCATCCACTCTCTTACGAAAAGTTACTTCAAGTAGTCAGCATACATTATCTTGATTTAATATATGACATAAAAATTGTAAATATTGATATTCCAGTTGTTCTAATACTCAATTGATTATATGTCTCATGCAAACAAATCTGACACGAAAATTATCACGCTAAATCTTTAGACTAAAAAAATAAATTATTCTGAAACGATAAGTAATATTATTTATATCATTCAGATCAATTACACGTAAAATCAACTTCTTCAAAAATGTTAAAGATACGTGAACTACAACGGAAAAGACAAGAAGAAGAAGCAGCTAAAGCAAAAGCAAATTCAGAATCACCATCTTCATCATCATCCCCAGTTTCATCAACTACAAATAAAAATACAAACACACAATCACAACCACAACCACAAAATTCATCAATAACAAAAGTAAGTGCAGCTCAACTTCGAATTCAAAAAGATATATCAGAATTAGATTTACCAAAAAATATAAAATTAAATTTCCCAAATATTCAAGATTTTTTCAATTTTGATTTAAAAATTATACCAAATGAAGGATATTATAAAAATGGGAAATTTAAATTTAAAATTGAAATTTCAAAAAATTTTCCAATTGATCCTCCAAAAATTAAATGTTTAAATAAAATTTATCATCCAAATATTGATTTAAATGGTAATATATGTTTAAATATCTTGAGAGAAGATTGGTCTCCTGTATTAAGTTTAAATTCAATATTAATTGGTTTAAATTTTTTATTTTTAGAACCAAATCCTAATGATCCTTTAAATAAAGAAGCTGCTAATATGTTAGTTAAAGATAAAAAGCAATTTGAAAGAAATGTAAGTAGTTCAATGAGAGGTGGTAATATTTCAATGATTTCTTATGATCATGTTATGTAATAAATCAATATATTAATATCATCATCATTATCTAATTAATCTTTATAATACATATGCAAAAATTCTACTTCCATAATCTAATTATATTATCCGTACCACCACTAACTAACATACATCTTATTCTAATTTCAATATCTTTTAAAATCTCTTCATGCGTTAAAATTTTATCATTAACTGATGAATTTTTACTTTTTGTTAATCTTGCAAAATCTAAATCATTTAAAAATCCTTCATTATTACTTAAAGATCTAATTACTCCAATATTACCACTATTATTTAAATCATTTAAATCCCATATTTTTATAGTTTTATCATCTGATCCACTAAATATAAATCTTCCATTTGGATGTATTTCAATACATTTAACCCATGATTGATGACCTGTTAAAGTTGTAATTAACCATGCTTGAGCTTGATTATATTTTGATGGCATTGGAGAACGTCCTTGAATAATTGAAGGTGGAGGAATTAACCAAATTTTAATTGAATTATCTCTACTTCCTGTAATACAATATTTATAACCAATTTCATTATAAATTTCATTATCTAATATTACAATTGGAATTGAAGGAAAAAAATCTTGATTTTCTTTTAAATATTTATCAATTATTATATTTGAAGTTAATGGTAAAAATTTAATAGTTTCAATAACATGAGAATGACCAATCATCATGGCTATTCCAATACCAGATTGAGCATGAGTTAGTCGACCACTTTGATCATTTGAACAAGTTAATACAAATTCATCATATTCTTTACTATTACAAATATCTAAATCTCTAACCCAATCACTATGACCTATAAAACTTTTTATACATATTCCTTCAATTATATCCCAAATTTTAACTGTTTTATCTCTTGAAACTGAATATAAATGATTTGAATTTTTAGAAAATTTAATTGATGATATTGTATGTTCATGTCCCTTTAAAGTTCTTAAATGTTGAAAAGTTTTTGAATCATATATTTTTATTGATAAATCTGATGAACAAGAAGCTAAAATATATTGAGGTTGATCATTTTTATTTATATCAATTTGATTATATGAAATTGCTAATTTTGTACAACTTCTTGTATGAGCTTTTATGATTTTTTCAGGTAATGAATTTTCATTTGATACAAAATTATAAATTTGAATTGATCCATCAATACAACCAGCATAAATTAATGGTAATGTAGGATGTAATTTTACTGAATTTATTATTGATGAAGTTTCAAAATTTTGTGAAGAACTAAAAGGTAACCAATTAATTCTATCTTTTCCCAAAATTGAAGTATTTTTAATCTTATTTTCATCATTATCTATATCAATTATATTTCGAATATTTGTTAATTCATTTTCTAAATCTAAAATTTTTTTTTGTAGTCGTATTACACTTGACCATTTTTTTTCAAGATAATTATCTATAATTTCGTTATTCTTGATTAATTTATTTTCATTTTCATTTAAAAGTAAATTGGAAAGTTGATTTATTAATGTTTGATTTGATTCATTTTCAGAACAAATGGGTTCTAAATATTGAATTATAGCTCTATTTAGTTCAGACTCTTGTCTTTGTGTGAGTATCTTTGATCTTTGCATTAGCTATAGCGATAGTATAAGTAAATGTAGCATTTAGGTGTATTAAGGTGAGTTAAAACAGTTGTTTCATATGTTTGTTTACAATTTTCAAGATAAAAATGAAACAAATTGATTTTGTTACTCTCAATTTGGGCTAGGTGCGGCGCGGTTTTGTTTAGTATCAAGAACTACAACCAAGTATTTAAGAATCCTCAAACTTGACCATAATGTGTAATTTAAGCTTAAAAGATGGTCATTGTGAAGTAAGACGTGCCCGTTTGAAGAGAATTATTGTTTTGTTCAAAAAGCGTCAAACATGAATCATTAATTCTCTATTTTGAATCTCATTGTAGCATTTAACCTACATCAATTCTTTCACTCAGAGAACAAACTACGTTTTCTATTAATTCTGAATTTGTTATTTTATTTATTAACAGATATTACCGATATAAATTTCAAAACGCTAAAATAAAGTAAAGCGTAATTGTTAGTTTTGACATCATTATAATAATGATTGGAAATGTTATACATATTTTTTGATTGATTGATTGATTGATTTTTCTTAGTAAGTAGATACGATGGTATTACTAAAAGTTGGATGCAAAGATTGATTTTTTGATTAGTTGATTGATGGGATTAAGTTTTGATGATTTTTCTTATTGATTAAATTTAATTGTTTTCTCCTGGAATTTCAAAAACAACAGTTTTACCAGTTAATTTTGAAAATAATTGTTGGAAAGAATCTAATTTATAATCAATAGCAGTTGAATCTTTTGAATCTAATAAAACTTTTTGAATTTTATTACCTCCAACTAAATATCTAACTCTTTTACCAATAATTTCAGTTGGAAAAACTAAATCTTCTAAAATTTTATCATGCACAGCAGTTAAAGTTCTTGATCTTGGTCTTTTTTGTTGTTTCCTTGCTTTTCTTGAAGGTTTTGGTAAAATTCTTCTTTCAGCTAAAAATACAACATGTCTATCTGGAAATTTTTTTTCTAATTCTCTAACTAATCTATTTTGAATTTTTCTAAATCCTTGTAATGATGGATGTGGAACAAATACTGCTAAAGCTTTTTTACCTCCATTAACATCAATTTCTTTAACTGATTTGATTTGTAATGGTCTTAAATCTTGTTTTAAATCTCCAGCTTCTAAATCAATTAAAGCTTGACCAATTTTTAAATCTAATTCAGTAGGATTTTCAGATACAATTTTATTTGACATGATGGATATGTATGTAGTTATCGTTTCTACTTTATGAGTATTGAATCAAAAATTTCGATAGTATTATAATTAATCAAGTTTTTGAAAAATTAAATTTCAGCCTAAGCGTATAGTGAAAAGAGATTTTTTCTCTCTAACTATGGAGAAGATTATAGTACAAAATTAGATTTGGTGGTGTGATGTTTATTACCCTATTCTCAAACGCTTACACGTGACTATCTAAACTCGACTGTTTTGGTTGCAATTTATATTGAAACAATAATAGATCCAATGAAATTTCCAATCAAACATCAAAACTGAATTATTTACGTGCAGTGGCACCACCATTCAAAATATTCAATTCAAAAACTAATTCTCCGGATGAATCTTCCTCAGTTAATGCAAGAGAAGAATTACAATAATATTTTATGTTCATCTAAATATCAAAGCACAAGAGGATGAGAAGAAAACATAAGATTGTAATGGAGTTCGTAATAGCTTGTCGATGTTTTCAGATAGCTCTTTGAGCCTTATTCCTATGAATTCAACAATGTCAGAAACTCATCGAAACAAGAGCTCAGAAAGCTATTTCAAAACATCTACAAGTGAAGCCACAAGTGGATGATTAGATAGAAATAGTACCCTAATTTGTAGATGGTGATATAATTGTTAATTCCCCAAGTTTATGTAATGTAATCTTAGTGAATTGACAATTATATCAATTGTTGCAGCTGTATTATGTAATATTAGAAGTGAGATTACAAAGGCCGATTTAGAGTTTTAAAGTCTGTTAAGCCTGACTCGATGATACGCATTTCATCGTATTTTCAGTTTTGGACCAATTTGAAATCTTACATTGATACGATATTCATCTATGGGATTCAAATAGTATTCATGAAGTTTACCGCCACATCATCATATATTAACATTCAGAATTCAAAAGTCTGGTGAGCCTGGCTTGTAAGGCATGCATTTCATCACGTTTTAAATTTTGCACCAAAAATCTAATTTTGGGAATTTCACCATGGCTCAATATTCAGCTATCAGTTTCTGCAGGCGTATGGTGAAATTTATAGCAGTGACATAATAGAATTACATTCGGAATCCTTAAGTCTGTTAAGGCTGGCATGGTGGGCATGGATTTCATCACATTTTAAATTTTGCACCATAAATCTAATTTTGGGCATTTCACCTAGGCTCAATATTCAGTTATCAATTAATGCAGGCGTATAGTGAAATTTATAGCAGAGAGATTACATTGGCCTATTTAGAATCCTTAAGTCTGTTAAGGCTGGCATGGCGGGCATGGATTTCATCACATTTTAAATTTTGCACCATAAATCTAATTTTGGGCATTTCACCCAGGCTCAATAATCAATTATCAATTAATGCAGGTGTACTGTGAAACTGACGGCAGAGACATAATCTAGTTACATTTAGAATCCTTAAGTCTGTTTAGCCTGGCTCGGTGGGACGCATTTCATTTCATTCCAAATTTTGCACCATAAATCTAATTTTGGGCATTTCACCTAGGCTCAATAATCAATTATCAATTAATGCAGGTGTATTGTGAAATTAACGGCAGTGACATAATCTAGTTACATTCAGAATCCTTAAGTCTGTTAAGCCTGGCTCGGTAGGACGCATTTTACATCATTCTAAATTTTGCACCAAAAGGCTAGTTTTGGGCATTTCACCTTAAATCAATAATCAATTATCAATTAGTAGAGGTGTATTGTGAAGTTGATGGCAGTGACATAATCTAGTTACATTCAGAATCCTTAAGTCTGTTAAGCCTGGCGTGGTGGGACTCATTTCATTTCATTCCAAATTTTGCACGAAAAATCTAATTTTGGGCATTTCACCTTAAATCAATAATCAATTATCGATTAGTACAGGTGTATTGTGAAGATGATGGCAGTGACATAATCTAGTTACGCTTAGAATCCTTAAGTCTGTTAAGCCTGGCTCGGTGGGACGCATTTCATTTCATTCCAAATTTTGCACGAAAAATCTAATTTTGGGCAATTCACCTAGGCCCAAAAATCAATTATCAATTAGTGCAGGTGTATTGTGATATTGACGGCAGTAAGATTTCATTGGCATATATAGATTCCTTAACTCTGGTACACATGGCGTGGTAGGACGCATTTCATTTCATTCCAAATTTTGCACCAAAAATCTAATTTTGGGCATTTCACCTTAAATCAATAATCAATTATCAATTAGTACAGGTGTATTGTGAAGTTGATGGCAGTGACATAATCTAGTTACATTCAGAATCCTTAAGTCTGTTAAGCCTGGCTCGGTGGGACGCATTTCTTTTCATTCCAAATTTTGCACCAAATATCTAATTTTGGGCATTTCACCTTAAATCAATAATCAATTATAAATTAGTACAGGTGTATTGTGAAGTTGATGGCAGTGACATAATCTAGTTACATTCAGAATCCTTAAGTCTGTTAAGCCTGGCTCGGTGGGACGCATTTCTTTTCATTCCAAATTTTGCACCAAATATCTAATTTTGGGCATTTCACCTTAAATCAATAATCAATTATAAATTAGTACAGGTGTATTGTGAAGTTGATGGCAGTGACATAATCTAGTTACATTCAGAATCCTTAAGTCTGTTAAGCCTGGC